CTCCTTGTCCTCACTCCACGATTCGAACATCCGCTTTGCTGCCACATGCTGGTTAGGGACGCTTCCCAAGATGTTGTCTGTCGACAAGAGGTTGAGATTCAGCCGCGCATTGTGCGCCGACTTGAAACTGCCAATGCCCAAAGGCACCTCCGACGGGACCATGGACAGCGTACCAAACTCAGCTGCTCTAATATCGCAGGTGAAGAAGCTGGGATTCTTGAGGAGATCATGCAGATCAACAGGGAGGATGCGATAAAACTCAATGTGCTCGGAGATATGCAGGGCTGTAAGCCAAGTTCAGCGGACAAATAGCGGATTGAATGACGGATTAAATGATGACACTCACGAGCGTTTCGTGCCTTCTTCAAGGACCCTCCCTCGCTGAGCGCCTTCTTCAACTGCCGTTGATCTGGGGAGCGATACTCGGGTGCAGATCGCTTGCGAGAAAGAGACTGCGGCGGCGGCGTAACAGGGCGGAGTTCCTGATGAATTTGATCAGCCAGGTTATTTGAAAACATGGTCAACTCACATTTGTTCCCCATGACGCTCGAGCAAGATTACCATCAACCAATGATGATGAATCACCAGGGGCAAGAGCGGAGGGCACGGATGATGAATCACCAGGGGCAAGAGCAGAGGGCACGGATGATTCAGATCCAGTGCGGTTGTGCAAGATCAAGGATACGGAACCGGTCACTTGTTTGGCATTGACAGCAGAGGCAGATCCTTCTGAAACATGAGTCGGATTTTGTTGCATTGAGCTAGTTGAAGTAGATGATCGCATTGAGCTGCGAGTCGTGCGTCGATAAGACCCTATAGTTGAACCCTGCAATGTCTCAAGTCTACTTAGTCTCATGTAATTTCGACGAAACAGACACACCTTCCGAGATGATTTCCGAGTCACTAGTTGTTTCCCGGCTGAAGCGGCAGATCCAGACTCTGTAGCTTCGGCGATCTGTAAACATCTTAGATTTAACTTAAAAAATGTGCAAAATGAGACGTTGTTGTGTACCTCCATATCATCTAAAAAGTTAGTGAGTCAAAGCCATTCACCAAGATCGATCACCAGTGCCACAGAGATCGGAGCGGGTGATGTGAAAACCTTGATATTCCGATCCTTTTCCGCCTTTGCCCGGCCTGTTTTGAAACATGAAGTGTAGTAAAATGGGGCATCGAACGCATCCCCAGTGATCCGCTTCAAGTCGATCCACTTGGCAACGTCACGAACAGTGAAGTTTGTTGTGTCGAACTCAAATCCGTTCTTTGTGTCTCGAACAATTTCTGCCTTGAGCTTTGCATAGACATTGTCAAACACGGTCTGGATGATCATTCGTGGCGTAGCACGAGCATCGACTATGACGCCCTCGCTGATGGCCTGAAGTTGAACAAATTCAAAAGTCGGTCATGGGCACAGATAAAAAATGGCGACGTACCCCATACGTTTTACCCTTTGGCTTGCCCAGAATCTCATACCGCACTCCGATGATGAGGGAAATTGTCTCGGGGGTAGCACCAGCATATGCAGCATGGGCCCATCCCGCCCGAGCGGCAGAGTACTGCGCGTGATTTGCAGAATACCCCTTGCCAGAGTACACGGGCTGCTGTGGCGGCGGCAGAGGGAGCGCAAAGCCACCCATGTTCGGAAGCGATATATGTGGCCCTAAATGACCTGTTTTGTCAGAGTTAAAACAGCAGATGAATCACGCACCAGGAATGCGAGCCAGAGGACCCATTGATCCAGGACCAATAGCAACGAGCTTTTCGTTGGCCTTTGGTGCACTGTCTGAAAAGAGAGTGAGAAATCACATTAGAATGGCAAATGGGAATCTGACTCACTGTTCACCCGAGCGTCGATATTTTGCCGCCGAATGATCACAGCATCGTGGAGCATGCTGGGTGTTGGCTGAGCAGAAGCGGTTCCTGTTTCTTTTTGTCCAGTCAGAAAAATTGAGAAGAGGGAGAGAGAAGCTCACTATTGCGAGCGGACACTGTAGACGAAGATTTGTTGCGATAATACTCATAACAGGGGCAACAGACAGTGCGGTCAGGCAAGTTGGGGTTCTTGTTCCGTACTTTGCAGCGAGTCTCGGTGGGTGCGATCCATTGGTTGCCTCGACAGTCAGGGCCGCGGTCGCATGGGATTGGACCACGAGAGGCGCCCTCGCCTGTGAAAGACGCTTCAATCGAAGGAGCGTTGTCAGACATGAGATGGACGCAGAAGGACAGGGTTCTCAGACACAGGACAGAGCACTCTTAAAGCATTGTGGCGGCTGAATTCTATGCCGGCTGACTATTCCACTGAGTATTCATGATTATGAGATTTCAATGTTAAATGATCCTTTGAGCAACGAGACGCGAGACGCGTTGAAAGCAGATTAAAACATGAGGCACGTGTCAACACGTGCATGATGTCATGTTCAACCCGACCCTTAGGGCCCCCGCGTAGCTCCCCATTTTGCTATGTTCCTTGCGGCTAGAGCCCATGAGGCCTGTATCTCATTCATAATCTTGATAATTTCTTTGTCAGATGCTCGAATCCTGACCAAGACTGTCCGATCATCAACGGAATCGTACGAGCTCGGTGTAAGTTGCAGTTGCCTCATTGTGATAAACGTGAACTATAAAGATGCTCTGCAAGGTGTAGACAGGTAATTACCTGCCACTCTCTTTTGCGTCCTTCTCTCTCAGTCCGCACCTGTTACACATGTCCAATGAACTCAAGCCCGTTCGACAATCCAACCAATTCAAGCCTGCTCGTCTGTCTCGTTTGCTGGTGTCGGCCTGGCCCTCTCTCTCTCTGATCACTCACTTACAGCGCCCGACGAGTCTCTTCGCCCACACATCGAGAAGTACTGGCGGCAGAATATGAGCGACATTCAGATGCTTGCTCAGCTCAAGAAACGCCATATCAATCTGGCTGAATACGGGCTTGAGTGTGTACTCATTTCATACATGAGGTACAAGGATCTCATCCTTACTGACTTATTATCAGGATTCGAACCTTTCGGAAGATACGTGAAAGGCTTGGCTTTGTCCGCACCCGGAAGCAGGGCCATACCGTTGAGTCGATTTGTCCACATGTTGCCAAGCTCCGCATCACATATCCGAAGGCTGGAGGGCGGGAGATGGTCAACTTGTTGAAGTTCGAGGAGAAAATACTTGTGTCACGGTGTGTTCTTTGAACTTTGTCCTTGATTCATGCCCACATTCACATTATTCAGGCCGGTTGTTATGCAGTACTTCCACCTCCATGAGCCCCTGCAGGTCCGCGAGCGTCGACGTGGACATTTTCGTTGAAAGCGGTTCTGGGCAGCCGGTGCAAACGACCTGTGGGCCATGGACCAGCATGACAAGTGGAAGTACAAATTCGGACTTGCGCTTCACTCTGGCATTGATCCGTTCATTGGTCTTATTCACTGGATGAAGATATGGTGGAACAATAGTAATCCTCGTCTGATTCTCAAGTACTACCTGGATGTGATCGAGCGGCTCGGTTGTATGTGTTTCACTTTTTTCCCCGCTTATTTCTCACACATTTGAGTGCATAGTCATGCCCCTCGTCATGCAGAGCGATCCGGGAAATGAGAACACCGCCGTTGCCAATGGACACACTCTAATCCGCCACCATCAAGATTCCGACCTTCGAGGCAAGCTTCAACACCGATGGATGCGGGAGAAGAAGATCATTACGTCGGAGATCACATGGAGTCAGATGCGACGGCGCTTTACGCCTGGTTTTGAGAATTTGCTCGATGTCGGAGTTCATGAAGGGTGGTATGATCCCCATATTCTCCTCGAAGCGTATGTGTTCCTTGAGCTCTTTTGAAACACTATGACCTATTCTGTCTGTCTAGTCTCGTCTTTCAATGGGTTTTCATTCCCTGGCTTCAGGCTGAGCTTGATGCATATCAGTACCGTGTCAACAACACTCGCAAGCGCCATGATCGCAACAAGATCCTTCCTAATGGTGTTCCAATGCATATGTTCGAGTATCCCGAAGACTACGCCATTCTGGATTTCAAGGTAACACTTTAAAATACTCAACAAGTCAGTGCTAAGTCTAACCTGTTTCAGATCAAAGTTGATCCAACTGCGATTGCCATGGTACGTAACTTGTATGCGCCACCGGACCTTCAGATCTTTGAACTGGTTCCACCTGACTTCGACGTCCTCATCTCCGGTTTCTATTGCGACATTGGCTCACCCTCTGTCGACCGGGAGAGCTGCTGGGACGTGTACCTCCAGCTACTGTCAAAGTTTCGTGAACTTGATCAGATTCACAACATCAACCAAAGCGCAGACGAGAAATGGGGCTACACACTTACTCAGGCTGCTGATGAGTACAAGAGCGAGGTCGAGCTTCTTCCCGGTCTCCAGGAGCTTCGCGGTGGAGACGGCGTTGTCGGAGAGGATGGTTCTTATTATATGGGTGGCGTGAACGGCGGGAACGGACTTGGTATGTGATTGGTGCTCTATTAAAGCACTCTGATGGACAAATTCAGATGGCGAACATCGGGCTCAACTCAATGCCATGATAAACGATGTTGAGCCAGATATGGGAGGCGATGATATTCAGGGCGATGATGATGACGTGTTTGCATGGTTTTCAGACGAAGAGAGTCCTGAGGACTTTAATAATGCGGACATGTGGTAGACGTACTTGCTCAATTCGAACTGGATTCTATGGTCTGTGATCACGCCATTCGGTTTTCTCATTATTGTATTCTAGAAAGACGCTTGTGCAATAGAGCGACTGCGCTGGGCGTATGGGGTCTCGAGCACGTGACCAAATTGTTCCGGCGGCCATCAAAGATGGAACTGCTCGCTAATCAGCTTGCCGTTCCTAGCCTCCATAGTGAAGTCTGAAAATTCAATAATTCTGAGTCAAGTATCAGTGTCAGACCTGCTCCATGAGTGTGATTCAGGCCCATAGAGCCCTGATCTTAAAATCAAAGAAAGGCATTCGCACGCATTTTCTCATGCCACAGCACACACGGACTCCATTTAACCGGTCATGAGATGAAGACCATTCAATTCGATTGTACTATTTCAAGTGATTGGGCTATTATCGAGTAACTCAAATCGGCAGTGGAACTCCTTGGTCCTTGAGCGGGGGGTTTGCCCCGGATCCTACCATGACGTGAGCTCCGGCACTCGTCGTCTCTCCGATCGTGACAAAGATGAACGCTAGAATGGAGGCCATCAGCTCTCGGCCTTGTGTCAGATCTATGCTGGACCGACCTGGACCAGGCGGATAGACCCGATTGTTCGGTGGGCTAAGCACAGTCAGAGAACGTTTATCCTTGGACAACGTGGCGTCCATGAAAACGAGCCGGGCACTCGAGTGGAACGCATGTGACGAGTAGCCGAGATCCATCAGAGCCACTGGAATCTCGGAATCAGAAACGAGCGAAACCATGAACGGAGGGCGAGAACCTTTGACGGATGTGGTGGAAACGCCAGCAGGCACGCTGATTTGGATCGTGAACTGCCAGCTGTGAGAAGAAGCTCACGCTCTGATGAAAAACGTACATGCTGATTGAATCTGATGTGAGTGGGAACGTTGGCCAGGATTGGTCGAGCCATCGTCATGAACGGGGGATCGAGTGTCTGCACTCGGAACTCCCTGGAATATAATCAACCTCAGATTTGGAAGTGCTGAGCAGAGAACTCACGAAGGGAAACCTGGCTGTCCTGGAGGGAGAACTGTGATATTCCCATTGGGGTTCGAACCAGCAAGTAGGATATTGCTGTCAAAGCTTCAGCCAAATTTATGCTGGTTCATGGAGTAGTGCCGCTCACCCTTGAGGCGTTAGCGTGACCGAAGAATGATACATGCGAGCGATGTTGGTCGTCGGAAGCCCCGCCTGGGACATACGCCGGCCCAATGGCGCAGAAGGTGTATACAGAATCGGGGTCAGCCTGGTGTCATCATCAGCTGTGTTTTACCACCGTTAAGTGCACCTACACTGGATGGTCGGCATTCGAGTTTCCAGTCGTTATGCCAATCGATTTGATGGCAGCATAACCTGTCTCGCCGCCGTTGATTATGGTGATCTGCCCGTTGGGCATGATGATCATCTCTGGCATCATACGGCCTTGCGGCATATGGTCGACTTCCCAACCCTTGGCGATGCCGGCCGGTGTCAGAGTGATGCGGCTGCACTGCGAAGAAGCGGGATCTTGCGACGACAGTTCCTCCACGGGAGTTTGATCGCTCTTGTCTGATCCACCGCACGCAAGCACCTCTGGAATGTAATCCGGCGGAGACAACGGCAGAAGCTGAGCGGTCCCGTCCATTGGATTGTTGATTCGAACACCATTGGGCAGGTCGGGCAAGATTGTTTCTGTCTTTGTCTCGACGTCATAGATGATGGACTGGTTGCTCGCAATCATGAAGACTTTGCCGTCAGGTAGAGCAAAAACACTGCAGCAGTTCAGAAGCCTGACATGGGACGGTTGTTAAACCCACCGAGGAAACAAGTTCGCAGGCAGACTGCGCTCGAGGAATGCAGAAGGCCGTGGGACACCGCCGTCTTTAGACGGGAAAAATTCGAAACTGTTCACCGGATCTATCGGGAGGGACGAGTCAGAGACTGTGAGACTGCGGGCAGTACCTGCATTCGACTGACCCGTGTTGTAGAAAGGTGTGCCTTCGTGAATCCCACCGACGATCATCTAACCAATGATTAGACGCGCAAAGATAACGCGATAGATCAAGCGTACCAAGGATCCATCGAAGATCCGCAGGGACGAGGGGTACCACCGAGTTTCAGCCAGATGAAGGTGCTCCAAGTCCTCGAACACGCTGCAGCCAGCTCCGGCAGGCGGATCAAGACACGGTCCAAACAGCCTGAAAGCCATCCGACCGTCCGCCGCACCGGTTTGATTCGAGTCGGGAGGCACAGGAAGGTTCCCGCCAACGGAGACCATCGTGCCGTTGCTGAGAAGCGCCCCCGAGGCGCAGAAAGTGTCCGAAACGAGCTTGAGCGGGGTCCCGGTGCTGGTCTCCAAGTTCCAAAGCTCGCCCCATGCCGTCTTGCCGTCGGCGGTCTTGAGGGGGTCGTTAGATGCGCGGTCGAAGAACACGACGAGCTTCGGGGACACCACGATCGCTTCGAGCGCAACGATCCCAGACACACCCTTCTCAACAAATTTCCAGGCAGGAGACGGTGCCGCAAGGGCGGATACGATGACGGCGAGTGTCGCGAACGCGGCTTTGAGTGCACGACCCATGTTGTATACAACACGCGTCTTAACTGGGGCTCCGTACGCTCACTTATAAAGCACGACCGATGAGAGTGCCAAGCGCAGCTCAGTCAGAAAGTCGCCCGACCGTGGAACTGTGGCAAGAGCCCTTTGAGCGCCGTCTTGGTCATGTCTGCAACCTCACTGGTCTTCACAACACCGATCGACCTCGTGCCCTGTTCTCTGGCTAGTTCAGGGTTGGAAGTTCTCCGAAGGCACAGGGGGTGGGTACCAGAAGCGACTTGGGAAGTGCCGGGTATGGTTGCATCCCGGCCAAGCCCTGCCAGTGAGCGGCAACGCAACAAAGCATCAGAGGCTTGTAACATTCGCGTTCGTGGAGATGCGGATTCGATTGGAGCCAAGTTCAAGTGCGCGTTTGGGCGTAAGAGCGCACGAGATCAGAGACTGGCTGAACTGGATGAAATGCCTTGAAGGAAAGTCGAAGTGAGAGTGTGACAGCGGCGGCAATTGGACACGTGAGCGATTACTTCATTGGACAACTCTGAACGGCATTAACTTCTTCGCGGATTTACAGCATGGCTCTTCTGACGCATCCAATGACTCTCGTGCCTCTAGATCGACAATGGAATGCTCTCTTCTTGTATCGGGGAGTTATCCTCCGGAACCAACCATCACATGAGCACTCGCACTGGCCATCTCGGCGACGGACATTTCTGTCGAGTTTGAACCATGCATCCCAAAGATCAGTCACATGCGATGTTATTACTTGACCCCAGGCTCCGCGGAATCGCAAGGAGAACTGAGAGCAGTCAGTGCGCGCTTATCCCTGGACATAGGCGGCCCCGAACACTCGATTGGAGCTCATGGGAAGAGAAGCCGCGACCGACGGGAGCCACCAGAAAGCAGGGGTGCATATCAGCAAAAGACGTCGTACAGAGGGTGGCTCTATTCAGCCTATGACGTTTCATGGCACGTGACTCGGCCGATGGGTCCTGCAAGCCGCGCATGTGTTACGCACTTGATTTTGGGGGTGCTCCATGGAAAGAGCCTACGAGGCGAAGACCAGGGCAATCCCGACTTGGAGGAAGCCAAAGAGGCCAACTAAAGACATTCCGATCGCGGAGAGACTGAACGGTTTGCGTCCGCGAGTCACTATATATACCGACGATCCAGACGTGAGGGATTCGATACGAGAGAAACAACAGGAACGAACATTTGTCAATCCAGGGTGTGAAGAACTTGGATCGAAGCGGTCAGAGTTAAGGATTGTACACCATGTATGTATACTGTTGCATTTCGACCATAAGTTCATGTCATCGGTCATCGAGGGTCATGAACTGAACCTCTAAAATTGTTGTCATCGGTCATTGCGGGTCATGAAGCTAATGACATTTGAAATTTTCTGAGCGCATAGAAACATCAATCCTCGCTTGTATTAAGTATGTAGAGTACTTAATCTGTTATTTGGGATTTACAGGTGGTTTAACCGGTCATGAGATGAAGACCATTCAATTCGATTGTACTATTTCAAGTGATTGGGCTATTATCGAGTAACTCAAATCGGCAGTGGAACTCCTTGGTCCTTGACTGGAGGATTTGCCCCGGATCCTACCATGACGTGAGCTCCGGCACTCGTCGTCTCTCCGATCGTGACAAAGATGAACGCTAGAATGGAGGCCATCAGCTCTCGTTCTCGGTCAGATCAACGCCGGACCGACCTGGACCAGGCGGATAGACCCGATTGTTCGGTGGGCTGAGCACAGTCAGAGAACGTTTATCCTTGGACAACGTGGCGTCCATGAAAACGAGCCGGGCACTCGAGTGGAACGCATGTGACGAGTAGCCGAGATCCATCAGAGCCACTGAGAACCTCGGAATCAGAAGCGAGCAAAACGATGAACGGAGGGCGAGAACCTTTGACGGATGTGGTGGAAACGCCAGCAGGCACGCTGATTTGGATCGTGAACTGCCAGCTGTGAGAAGAAGCTCACGCTCTGATGAAAAGCGTACATGCTGATTGAACCCGATGTGAGTGGGAACGTTGGCCAGGGTTGGTCGGGCCATCGTCATGAACGGGGGATCGAGTGTCTGCACTCGGAACTCCCTGGAATATAATGAACCTCAGACTTTGGGAGTGCTGAGCAGAGAACTCACGAAGGGAAACCCGGCTGTCCTGGAGGGAGAACTGTGACATTTCCATTGGGGTTCGAACCAGCGAGAAGGATATTGCTGTTGAACAATCAATCGACCTTGCGCTGGTGCATGGAGTGGCGCTCACCCTTGAGGCGTTAGCGTGACCGAAGAATGATACATGCGAGCGATGTTGGTCGTCGGAAGCCCCGCTTGGGACATACGCCGGCCCAATGGCGCAGAAGGTGTATACAAAATCGGGGTCAGCCTGGTGTTCTCATCAGCTGGGTCTCAACAGAAATGGATGCACTCACACTGGATGGTCGGCATTCGAGTTTCCAGTCGTTATGCCAATCGATTTAATGGCAGCATAACCCGTCTCTCCCCCGTTGATTATGGTGATCTGCCCGTTGGGCATGATGATCATCTCTGGCATCATACGGCCTTGCGGCATATGCTCGACTTCCCAGCCCTTGGCGATACCAGCCGGTGTCAGAGTGATACGGCTGCACTGCGAAGAAGCGGGATCTTGCGACGACAGTTCCTCCACGGGGGTTTGATCGCTCTTGTCTGAGCCACCGCACGCAAGCACCTCTGGAACGTAATCCGGCGGGGACAACGGCAGAAGCTGAGCGGTCCCGTCCATGGGATTGTTGATTCGAACACCATTGGGCAGGTCGGGCAAGATGGTCTCTGTCTTTGCCTCGATGTCGTAGATGATGGATTGGTTGCTCGCAATCATGAAGACTTTGCCGTCAGGTAGAGCAAAAACACTGCAGCAGTTCAGAAGCCTGACATGGGACGGTTGTCAAACCCACCGAGGAAACAAGTTCGCAGGCAGACTGCGCTCGAGGAATGCAGAAGGCCGTGGGACACCGCCGTCTTTAGACGGGAAAAATTCGAAACTGTTCACCGGATCTATCGAGAATGACGAGTCAGAGACTGCGAGACTGCGAACAGCACATGCATTCGACTTACCGGTGTTGTAGAAAGGCGTTTCTTCGTGGATGCCACCGACGATCATCTAATCAACAGTTACACACCAACAGGAAAGAAAGATGAAAAAGTACCAAAGATCCATCGAAAATTCGCAAGGACGAGGGGTACCATCGAGTTTCAGCTAGATGAACGTGCTGCAAGTCCTCGAACACGCTGCAGCCAGCTCCGGAAGGAGGGTCAAGACACGGTCCAAACAGCCTGAGACCCATCCGACCGTCCACTGCCCCAGTCTGATTCAGGTCGGCAGCTGCGGGGATGTGCCCGCCGACGGAGACCATCGTGCCGTTGCTGAGAAGCGCACCAGAGGCGCAGAAAGTGTCCGAAACGAGCTTGAGCGGTGTTCCGGTGTTGGTCTCCAAGTTCCAAAGCTCGCCCCATGCCGTCTTGCCATCTGCGGTCTTGAGGGGGTCGTTCGTCGCGCGGTCGAAGAACACGACGAGCTTCGGGGACACCACGATCGCTTCGAGCGCGATGATCCCAGAGACACCCTTTCCAACAAAGTTCCAGGCAGGAGACGGGGCCGCAAGGGCGGATACGATGACGGCGAGCGTCGCGAACGTGACTTTGAGCGTAGCACCCATCCTCTATGCAATGCGCGTCCAAAGTCAGGCGCTAAACGCCTGCTTAAAAGGCACATCCGATGGGAGCGCCAAGGACAATTCAGTGAGAGAGTCGTCCGACCGCGGAACTACGGCTTGAATCCTGGAGCGCCGACCCGGTTTTTCCTGCAACCTCAGTGATTTCACGAAACCGGCCGAACCCGTGTCATTTCCTCCGACTACTTTCTGGGTAGCTGGTTCTTCGAAGATGCGCGGAGTGGGTACAAGAAGCAAATGGGAAAGTGCCGGGTATGATACATCCCGGTCAAGCCTTGAGCGGCACTGCAACGATGCATGCGAGGTTCGGGGGTCGCGCGTTTATGAAGATGCGGATAAGATTGAAGCCGGGGTCAAGTGCGCACTTGATCGTCTTTGCATGAGAGCGTACATGTTCAAAGGTGTAAAGACTAGGTAGAGTGCGAGTAGAAGGTCTTGAAAGTTAAGGATAAGCGTGTGAGAGCGTCCTAATTTGGAATGTGAGCTTCGGCCGCGGCCTGACACGTGAGCGCTGGGCGGCAAACTACGCTCTTGAGCAGGAACGTATTGTTATTCTTTACAGCGATTCAATTACTCTCATGTCACTGGACCGGCAGGGGTATTCCCTGATCCTTTACCGGAGGATCGCCTCCAGAACCAATCATGACATGCGCGCCCGCACTGGTCATCTCGCCAACAGTTACAAAGATATATGCTGAAGAAGAATCAGCTTTCATTTCCTGTCGCAGATGGATTAATTACCTGGACCTGGGGGGTACACGCGATTGTTGGGAGGACTGAGAACAGTCAGTGTGCGCTTGTCTTTGGATAGAGTGGCATCCATGAACACGAGCCGGGCGCTCGAATGGAATCCATGGGAAGAGAAGCCGAGATCCATCAAAGCCACTGGCAAGAAGGCAGGGGTATCAGCGATGTCCGTATATAGGTATTCTGAGCAACAGACCTTTGATAGAGGAGGTGGCCCGTACATCAGCGGGGAGGTCAAGGCCCATCGTAAACTGCCAGAGGACATGAGTGTATGCCGTCGGACAAGCGTCTCGGAGAGCCTACCCGCTGATTGAATCCAATTTTAGCGGGGACCTGTGAAAGTATCGGTCGATTCATGCCCATGAAGGGAGGATTCAGTGTTTCGACCCGGAACTCGCTACTCGGGTAAGCACCGAGCCGATGATGAGTGACAAGACATTACGAGGAAAACCCTGGCTGCCCCGGAGGAAAAAGAGTGACGTTGGCATTCGGATTCGATCCGGCGAGAAGGATGTTACTGGCAAGGCTTTTGTAAGTGGAAAGCAGGACAACGACGGACGAGTCACGCACCCCTGCGGAGTAAGAGTCACGGTCGAGTGGTACAGTCGAGGGATGTTCGATGCCGGGAACCCGACCTGGGTCATACGCGCGCCCACGTTTGCAGACGGCTTGTACAGAATCGGGGTAAGTCTGCAATGCGTGTCAGTTCAATCTACGGCAGATCTGCCGCACTCACACGGGATGGTTGGCATTCGAATTGCCGGTAGTGTGGCCGAGTCCATTGAATCCCGCATAACCAGAGCCGGCACCGTTGATGATCATGAGTTCGCCGTTGGGAAGCAGTATCATCTCGGCCAGAACACGAGCCTGGGGCATGTGCTCAACCTCCCATCCCTTCGCAATCCCAGCTGACGTCAGAGTGATGCGACTGCATTGGGTCGTCGCCCGATCCTCCGACGACAGTTGCGAGGTAGGGATCTGGTCGCTCTTGTCAGATCCACCGCAAACGAGCACTTCCGGAATGTAGTGTGGTGGCGCCAGCGGAAGGAGCTGAGCGGTACCGTCCATCGGGTTTGTGACCCGAACACCATTGGGCAGATCAGGCAGGATCGTTTCCGTGTTAGCCTCGATATCGTAGATGATCGACTGGTTGTTGGCGACCATGAAGACTTTTCCATCAGGCAAAGCAAAAGCCCTGAGCCATGATGTCAGAGAAATCGAAAATGTCGAGTGCAAGAAACCCTTTTCCTACCGAGGGAATAAGTTTACAGGCAGACTGCGCTCGAGGAAAGCAGAAGGGCGAGGTACTCCGCCATCCTTGGCTGGAAAGAACTCGAAGTTGTTCACGGGATCTGCTCTCGAAAGGTCAGAGAATCACTTGGGAAGCGAGACAGCCTACCCGTATTGTAGAAGGTCGTCTGCTCATGTATTCCACCAACAATCATCTTGAAGCCATTAGTGATTATATTCCCGGAAACGAGGAACACCTACCAGGGAGCCGTCAAAGATTCTGATCGAGGAAGGATACCAGCGCGTTTCCGCCATATGAAGGTGCTCCAGATCTTCGAACACGGTGCAACCCGGTCCAGCAGGGGGGTCCAAACAAGGTCCAAAGAGCCGGAGAGCCATCCGGCCATCCACCGCCCCAGTGTGATTCAGGTTTGTTGGCTCAGGCGTGGTCCCGCCCACGGAAACCATCGTGCCGTTACTGAGCAACGCGCCAGACGCACAGAACGTGTCCGAGATCAGCTTGAGCGGCGTCCCCGTGCTGGTCTCCAGATCCCAGAGTTCACCCCAAGCTGTTTTGCCATCGGCTGTCTTGAGTGGATCATTGACGGCCCGGTCAAAGAACACGACGAGCGTCGGAGAGACCACGATAGCTTCGAGCGCGACGATCCCCGTTGTGCCCTTCTGCACAAACGACCAAGCAGGAGACGCTGCTGCTGAGACTCCAGTCGAAGCCAGCGCTATGAGCGCAACTGGGAGATTGAAAGCGACCATGGCAATCGCGCACAACTGGGTTCAAGCGGCTGCTCTAAAACCAGTTTCGATGAGAGTGCCAAGGGCGACCGGAGAACAGCAGCCTTCGTCATGCTCCCAACCTGATTGGTCATGCTGTAGAGAAGGAGAGCTTGTGTGGATTGCGTGTATACTGTAGTACCACTCTAGGCGTAATGTTCAATGGAAGGGGTGAGAGCAAAGGATGCCAGAGTGAGAATATCCATGTTCAATGGAGTCACGCGGCCTATCCAGAGAGAAGACGTTATTCTATTGGCGACGGTTACAACCCGGCTACGACTAAACACGAGAAGGAGAGATGACACACCACGGAATAGAAGTTGCGAGTGTGTGTATGAGAGTTGAGATGGAAAGATGGTCACGTGCCGCATCTGAGCCTCACGATTATGATAATCAGTATGGTACATATTACTATCATTGCACTATCGTAACGCAGCATTAGGTGTCATGCTCCCAAAGTATACACGCAATGTTTTATGAGCCGAGAGACCTCACGACAGAAACTAGAATTACTTTCGGTGGTAATTTAAATGATGGCTGCTGAATTCAGACTCGGAGCTTGCGAGTATTTGATCCGTCTGCATGTGCAGTAGCTTTGCACCGAGTGTGCAATTGCTTTGAGAGAGTGTCTGTATTACACATGGTGAAGACTAGTATCAGATTCGATACAAGAACACAGGCAGATGCCTTATCTCGCGCAACCAGTGGAATGGCTGGCTTGCCAAGAAACCTTCAGTGTCGAAGCGAAAAAGGGTCGCCTTGTCGCATACGATGGAGACAACTTACGCAAAACACCGTTATATGTATATCATGAGCCGCCGGGCATCTTTGGCAAACTGCATGAGTGTTTTCCAGCTGCACGCACTGTCGCAGAGCGTGCCAGCGTCGTTATGGACCCGATCGTGCGCTTAGATGTGAGCCGGTTGCTGACGAGTGTGTTCGACAAGTTCCACTCGTCCGACTTGATTTTAAGTCCAGGCTTGCCAAAGCTGATATCCGGCCAAGTGGCATGGTCCTTCTCAACGGACGGGAATGCCTTTCCGGAGGCGACACCAATCTTGGGAGTGTTCGCGTCAGGAAGAGACGACACTAGAGGTAATCATGCTGAGCGACACGCATCATGATTGGGAAAGCAAGAGTGAGGAGAGCTAAAGTCGCACAAGAACGAACGCACACTGAGTGTCACATGCATGTCTTTCCTAGATCCCTTCCCTGTTTTTGCCTTGTGTGCATCAACGAATTTATCTTCGCAGCCGTCAATGCAGCGCACTGACTGCCTTCGTCGTCGCCCGTTTGACTGCTGTCTCAAATCGAAGTCCACCTGAACCTACCTGACTTGCCAGAAACGCTTCGACAGGCTTAGTTCCGTGGTTATAGTAGGCGCCAGACAAGACTGTTGTCTTATTTGGTGAGCAGAGATAAAATAGTCTTGCTTCTTGCGTTCCTTGAAGTTGCACATGGTTCGGACGAAGAACGGCACTTTTGAGACGTGTTGGTAAGTTTTAACATGACAACAGCTACTATCACCCAGAACCGTGGCGGATTGAGCAGAGACGGGTCACGTCTGTGACTGATCGCGTTTGTGACAAGGATGGGCTTCGTATAGATTATTTACCTGCCTTAGCTTTCTTAGTTCTGCTCAACTGGTGTTATAAATTGATCCAATGTGCATTAGATGAGTTACAAAGCGCTTATATGCGGCATGTCTCCTCTGAACAATCCCGGATTGCATCAGCGGCCCTGATTTTTTCGGTCCACTTTCCAAGTTCACGCTATCATTCACGGTTTGCACAGGGATTTCAAACACAGTCGATGCGTATGCGTAGTCATTGACTCTAGCGCGACTTCATTGCGTGTGGCGAGAAGCCCAAGACAAACACCATCCAACTACAGCATCAACGGAACCCCCTGGTCTGGAACCGGAGGATTCGCGCCAGATCCGACCATAACGTAAGCTCCGACACTGGTGGTCTCCCCAATGGTGACGAAGATGTAAGCTGGAATACAGATCAGAATGGGTTGACTTGAATTAGGATCGAGGTGCTAACCTGGCCCAGGAGGATAAACTCGGTTGTTCGGAGGGCTGAGTACAGTCAAAGTGCGTTTATTGTCAGACAAAGTGGCATCCATGAAAACAAGGCGGGCGCTCGAATGGTAAGCATGGGATGAGAAACCGAGATCCATCAGGGCCACTAAGATTCGGACGCATGAGAACAGAGCACTGCGGAGATGAGTGCACGCACCTTTGATAGACGAAGTGGAGACGCCAGCGGGGATGCTGAGATGTATTTTGAACTGCACAGAGTATCTGAGTGATGCAGGAAACCGGGAAGAAAGACACGCATACGTGGTGGTTGTATTGGATTTTGCTTGGAACACTCGAGAGGATCGGTCGATCCATCATCATGTACGGAGGGTCAAGCGTTTCAATCCGGAACTCACTGCAGGGATGAGACCAAAAACGTGTGAACCAACGAGAGCAGCGTACGACGAGTAGCCTGGCTGGCCAGGAGGAACGAAAGTGACATTGACATTCGGATTGGAGCCCGCAATGAGAAGGTTGCTAGAAGAGACCTCGGTGAAAACGGATGCGTTTCACCAGCGAAGACCACTCACCCTTGCGGGGTCAGCGTCACAGTAGAGTGATACAACCGAGGAATGTCTGTAGCTGGAAGCCCTTTCTGGCTCATCCGCTGGCCAACAGCTGCATCGGGGGTATACAAAATGGGAGTGAATCTTGTAAAAAAGAAATCAGCTTGTCTGCAATGCCGGGCCAAGATTAGACGAACACCGGGGAGTCGGCATTCGAATTGCCTGTTGTGTGTCCCAGTGAGCTGAATCCAGCATACCCGGTCTCGCCACCGTTGATGATGATAATCTCGCCGTTGGGCATCGGGATCATCTCTGGCATGGTACGGCCTTGAGGCATATGCTCGATTTCCCATCCCTTGGCGATACCAGCTGGAGTCAGCGTGATACGGCTGCATTGCGACGTAGCGGGATCCAGCGACGAAAGTTCAGTCGTCGGTGTTGAATCACTCTTGTTTGATCCACCACAGACGAGGACCTCTGGCGTGTACAGCGGCGGAGACAAGGGCAACAGCTGGGCAGTTCCGTCCATCGGATTCGTGACCCGAACGCCGTTGGGGAGGTCGGGCAGGATCGTTTCCGTGTTGGCCTCAATGTCGTAGATGATGGACTGGTTGTTGGCAACCATAAATACTTTCCCGTCTGGCAAAGCAAATAACCTAACGGGGACATCAGCGCCAAACCACCGGAGGCAGACGGGCCTACCGAGGGAACAGGTTGACAGGAAGACTGCGCTCGAGGAAAGCAGACGGTCGAGGCACGCCGCCGTCCTTCGCTGGGAAAAACTCGTAGTTGTTGACCGGATCTGCAAGTCCAATCAGCATTTGGAGATCGCTGGCAGAGCTACTGACATGCCTCTGTTATAGAATGGAGTCTGCTCATGAATGCCTCCCGCAATCAGCTGAAAGCGAACAGCGTCAGGCGTGCGTTCTCAGTCCAACATCGCGAAAGAGCTGCTCACCAGAGAGCCGTCGAAGATTCTGATCGAGGACGGATACCAACGCGTTTCTGCCATATGAATGTGCTCCAAATCTTCGAATACAGTGCAACCCGGTCCGGAAGGAGGATCCAAGCACGGTCCAAACATCCGCAGACCCATCCGGCCGTCTACCGCTCCAGTTGCGTTCAAATCAGCGGCTACAGGAATCGTTCCGCCGACGGAAACCATCGTCCCGTTACTGAGCAATGCACCAGACGCACAGAATGTGTCGGAAACAAGCTTGAGCGGCACCCCAGAATTGGACTCCAGATCCCAGAGCTCGCCCCAGGCAACTTTGCCATCAGGAGTGGTGGACGGATCATTCGTCGCCTTGTCGAAGAACACCGCCAGGCGCGGCGAGACGATTATGGCCTCGAGTCCAATGACACTCGAGTTGCCCTTGCGGACAAAAGTCCAAGCAGGAGAAGGTGCTGCTGAAGTCGGCGCGAAGACGAGACTTGCGAGAGCGAGTGTCAAGAGATGAGCCATGACAGGTAACTGGAGACTTGGGCTCGTTTGATTGACTTATAAAGCGATGAGGAGAGTCCAGACGATAACCACACCAGACACCGAAGCTTAGCAACATGTGTTATCTCCGCATTCTCTCGTCAAGTGTCGTTCTTTCTGACCCCATCTACTCAGCGAAGCCCTACCAAGCACGTCTTTTGCCAAACTGTTGATTTGATTGTAACAATCCGGTCGACGCTGGGCCACTTCCGCCGAACGGTCGGATTGATTATGATATCCGATTTGACGCTGTACCGGTGAGATCATGTCGTAGTATATTCAGAGCAATAAAGATACGCAGCACTGTCATTTTTACACACGCGCACAGATCTCGTTTCACCATATCCCTGCTCTTCCTGGACGAACGACGACCGAATCATTGGGGGCGTATCATCTGAGCGTAATGAAGGGTCCCTTGCCACCAGACGACCATGAGAAGTCCGAGGAGACCATGTAGGGTTCCCCAGACGCCTTCGGGCGTGACTTTGAAGCTGACGACGTGTGAATGACCGAAAAAACAAGAAGGATGCTCGGCCATCGACCATCGGGCTGACTAACCTCTCGGCAAAGGCCCCCAGAGACATCGGTATGAAACGCGGGGCCTGGTACAGGATCGTGGAGCATATGGTGTGGTATATGCACAGGCCAATGGCAAGGGCACGTTTTCCTGGCAGGAATTCTTTTTACTGGTAAGGACCTGCGATAGTCTTCGAATTCTGATAGTTGCGCGTACCAGGTAATCCGAAGCAGAGCAATGACACGCCACAAGTCGCAAACACTAGAGCACTATACAACTGCAGTCGTGTGAGCGAACAAGTCATCGCCGCAGGCACAAAACGCGCACGCACCTTGACCACGACAAGGGTCGTATTGTTCATCTGCAGGAACGGCAGAGAGGCCGGGGACCATACTCCCTGGATCGCCAGCGGTATCTCCAGCGCGATGTGAAGAAGAAACACGACGGAGCTAGAGGGGAGATAATTGAGAATCTCGCACGCACGGCCTATAGCACGGCATGCTGAGCTCACAGAGGGCTACGCGCGGACATGGTGGTGGTCGGTGGAAAACTTGTGACGAGGCAAGATGGCAAGCCTTCAAAATGACACGCGCAGATGCTTGATAGCAACTATTCCTTATCTGGCTCGGTGCCTGATTCCCGTTCGGTGTCATCCAGGCCCTTGCCCTCTGAATTGTGGCCTACTTGAAGCCTAGGCATTAAAATCCTCGTCCCTGGCCACGTATGAGTCAATTTCATTTACGAATGCTAGCTAGCCAGCAGATATTATAGCTCAGAGGTATGATACTAATATATATACATAGAGCAAAGATGCAAAGCAGATCGAGGACGTGAATGAAGATGCAAGGGGAAATATGCGTGGGATATGTTGATTTGTTATGCCGGGGGAGCCAGTGCACGGTAATCCTCCATCTCTTTGTCCAGTTCTTCCTTTGACCGCGAAGTTGCCCATTGCTTCTTCAGCCGTTTCGGCCCCTTCTTGGCGCGTCGGCGAGGAGGAACAGGTGCAGCGAGCGTCGCATTATGTGGGGTAGCAGGCCGCGGAGGTGGTGCTGGTGGCGCTAGATTTGTCGCTTTTTTTGTTTGGCTGGAAAGTCATTCAGCTCACGATCCGAGCGCCTGATGCTACGCACGGAGTTATGAACCGAGAAGGCCCACCACTCGATCCCCCCGCACCAATTTTAGAATCCGAGCCAGGTCGTAAACGCTCGAACAAACTTGGCGGTCCTGTTGGGATTGAGTGCAGTGGCCGGGCCGAATCCACCATTATCTCAATCTTGATGGGACGTCCTGTCCTTTTCTTCAGACACCATCGGAAACTTCAAGCCGGAAGAGCCTTACGTCCATCCACTATCTTTCCGTCGTATTTCTCGCGCGCGACTGCTGCATCCCCGGGTCGTTGAAAGGTCACAACTGCCATGCCCTTCGATCGCCCTTGCGAGTTGTATATTAAGAACGATTCTCGGAGCGGTCCGACCTGCAGCATGCGACCTTCTTCACTTTGTGGTATCGGGATGAGCGTCAATATCGCACCGTCTTTTTGAACAACTCCTGCAACAGGTTCTAGACGTGTGATAGCAACAAACGACGCGCCAACGGACCTCCACTTCGTTCTCTCCGACATCCGTTGGTAATCGGCTTAGAAAGATCCTGCTCCCGCCCGCCGTTTCGCCATCCGCGACTTCCTTTCCTTTCGCGTATGCGCCCACGTTAGACCCTCGCCATGCGGGCGGGGCGCGACCCGCGTGATTTCCCAGAACTTGACGCTTTGTACCATGGAACGCGTTGAGACGGGCGTTGGGTGCGTGCCGGATTTGCTGGGCTTGCATCATTGAGAGAAATAATGTCGAGGGACAAAGGTCGTGTGAGACAATGCCGTTGATCTCAAGCATGTACACACACATCATCATCCGTGCCCTGTTGCACGTAAAGCTCTGTGCCTCTGAACATAGATGTCTGGATGAATTAGGCTTCAAGAAAGTGCATGCAGTCATTCTATCTGCCACACGCGATGCGCACCTTCTAACGGTGCTGCGACAGACAGCGAATAGTCACGTGCGGCCCAAGCGAGAAATATCGAACCGAATTCGTTAAGTAGCTTTATAAGCCTCGGACAAACCATCATGATATCCTTGACAGCTACGTTCTGAGACGAACGCAGAGTCCAGATCAAATCAAATGTGGGCGTGTGAAGCTTTGTCATCGCCAGGAAGTAACACTAGTCCATGACCACGACGAAAATGCAATAATACAATATGTGCGGATATACAGACTATGGCTACACAAAATATGGCATCGTATTCTAGACGACCAATCAGAAGATGATCGGATCTGGTGCGGACGAAGAGACCCACCATCTTCCTCGTTTGCATTCCTTTGTCACGCTCGTTCTCTTCCGCGGCACCGAAGACAGTGAATTCGCTTTCGCCGGACTCTTTGAGGGTCAGAATAGCTGCCATGTTACCACAGCGGTAGCCTGCGGTCCAGATCAGTACAACGGTTGATCACAGGCATTCCACGCACAATAGTTGGGTGCACTCCAGACTGTCACAACGGCCTCGTCAAATACGTGCTTGTAGCCCTCGTTGACCAGCTGATGAGCCCGGGCAATAAGCGATAGGCCATTGACATGGTTGAACTCCCTGGCCACTTTGGCTCCGAACAACCAGCCCGCCCCTCGTGGTGAGACGGCCCAAGTATCACCAGCAGCCTCGTCCGGATCAGACCACATCAAATCGCAGAAGGCGCCTTCGTGCGGAATCTCTTGGGCGCGTGCGAGCACGCGGATTTGATCCAACGTCCGGATGTCGGGGGATAGGCCGCCGTGCACGCACAAGGTTGTCCCGTCGATGATCTAGACGCCAGGTCCTGACCACAGCGCGCGAAAATGGCCAGACAGCACGCACCGCAGCGATGCTCAGGAAGTCGAACACATTGCAGCACGCTTTCCACACCGCGGCGCTCCCGTATTTTTGTTGACACTCGTCTGTGAGCCACGTCATTCGTTAAAGTGCGTGTCACGGACACAGCGGACACACCATAGAACCCGTACACCTGTGTTATTTGTCGGCTTTCGTGATTGCCTCGTAGCAGGGTGACCCGATCGGGGTAGCTGACCGAGTCTCAGAATGGTCGCAATGAAGGAGTGACAGACAAACCGAGCCTTCAGGGCAAGCAACAAGGAGACCGTCTCCAAGCTATAATGCCCACGATCCACGAAATCCCCCATGAAGATGTAACTGGTCTCCGGTACAGGCCCACCTCGCCTCAACAGCTCCAAAAGGTCCCAGAATTGGCCATGTATATCGCCGCAGATGGTTACAGGAGATGAGACGGGCTGGATGTTTCCCTCTTCCATAAGCAGTGTCCGAACATGCTCGCAGAGCAGTTTCATATCGGCCTCCGGGAGGTGCGTGCATGTGTGCAGTTGGTTGATGTAGCGGTCGGGGTCATACTGTGGCATAGCGACGGGCAGAATGAGAGAAGCTTGGGGTGAGTGACACAGCACTAAAGCGAAGGCCTCTGCGCCGGGGAAAACCAGGTACGCGCTTCCTCGAGTGGATTGTACAAAAGTGAGATAGGATAGATGCTTGGTGGCTGTGATGGTGCAAATCTTGAATACCGCAATCGATTATCTACCACTGAGCTTATACATACTACACCTAGTTCGACATAAACGGCAGGTCCATATGCAAAAAGATCACTTTTTCGGACCGTCTTCGAAAGGATTCTCAGCATACTCCAATTCGTCGTCGCTGCTAGGTGGTGCACCACTGGAAGGTGGAACGGTGGTTTGTAACAACGAGACCGGACGTTTGGGGAGCATTCCGAGTTTACCTACCCCGCGTTTAGATTGAGAATAAGCGGAGATTTTGGGACGAACCTCCGTCAATAGGCGGTGTGCCCGAATGTGTCGTAGGCGGAGTGGGTGTAACAGTCGAAGAAATTGCGACCGGAGGGGAGCCTGTTTCCAACAACGTAGCGCGTCAAGACAGAACGGATATTGAGCATATGCACTCGCCTGCGTCATAACCTCTGGCAGTGGCACTTGCCGGTGGGCTGGTGGTGGCAGCACTGTTAGGATCGTAATAGGCAGGAATCTCCGCTTGAGTTTGCTGCTGCTGTTGGAAATAAGCTTGTTGGGCATGTCTCCCAGCAGCTGGACCTGGCTGATGCACTCCGTAGTTGTATCCGTAGTCCTGCTGCGGTTGTTGGGCAGAGGAAGAGGCAATGGCACCCGAGGCCGGCTGGTCGAACTCCTGGATCTTAGCCTTGACTTTGGAGAACAAGGTACCAATCGTTCGTTTTCCGCCTGTCAGTGGTCTGCTAAGCACACTGTCAGGCGGTAAAGCAAAGCAAGTGCGCACTCTCAGCGAATTTGTTGAGCTGCTCCTGGATCTCCTGCATGGAGTCTTTCCCTTGACCTGTCGGGTATGCATTATAGGATTGCGGCTGAGTCGGTCTTGGGCCTTGACGCGCTTGCCAAGTCGCTGCTGCCTGGCGCTCATCCTCGATCATGAGCGCTCGCGCAAACTGTTCGTCCAGATCTTCTTGGGTCTGAGCCTGAGTCTGAGGAGGCTGATATGGATGTAAAGAAAACACCTAAGATGCGAGGAAGAGAAGCGTACGAGAGGAGCCGGGGCCTCGGGTTGCTGCTCCGGGACGTAGTCGGGGTCACTCATGCTCAGCAGCGCAGTCACTGCACGTTCCGAATCACCGTTAACAGACTCGAGGACAGAGTTCCTGTGGAGGTGAAACCGGTGTGAGTGTGGCTGCCGGACGTGGTCCCCGTAAGTACGCACAGGACTGCATCATCAAAATCAGGGAACATGGCGCGGAGACCTGCTAAGCGCTCGTCGACAACCAGTTCTCTAGGCCTTGGCGGAGCATCCGGAGCTGTGTCGGGGGACGTGCTAGAGACCGTGGGTTGTGCATGCTCTGTTGCCTCGGGTGAGATCTCCGACGTCACTGGTGCTGTATCTGGAGCAGGAGCAGTGCTGGCTGGCTCCATTGGCGCTGTGGCTGTTTCAAGCTTGGTCTCAGGTACGGTTGACATGACAAGGTCGATGCAGTTCGTGAAAGGAAGCAAGCGAGTAGGGGATCGTGTGGTTCAGTGAGGGTAAGTCTCAAGATGGAAGATGGATGGCATAGCATTGCTGTTGCGCAGTACAGAATCAGATCGCAGCCATCAATGTGATCATCCTTCAAGACAAATCTTTCCCGCCCTCGTCGCTGCATGCTATACCGGTACTTGGTTACCACTGAGCGATAACGAGACCAACTTCAGAGCTTCTCTCTCCATTACCATAGTTGGCTTAGGCAGTAATCACAGTACCGCCTGGTGACCGGTTCGGAGCCGAGCGAAAATTCAGAACACGTACCAGAGGAAAGAGGTGGACTCTGTTTCCAAGCAGTACATATGCGTTTACTGTATGCTAAATCAGACTCGCGAATTCGAACCATGTGATTTCTGAAGCCGGAGTTTTCACAGTTTAGAGATGTCGCCATACAGTCATGGGAGCAAGATTAGATATGGATCTAATCAGATTTGATTCCGAGTCGGATATCTAATCTCGTGGCCTCGAAGGATTGAATTTCACGGGCAACGCGTGATGCATCGACCTCACGGACTCGAAACTTCGCAAGTTACGGCACCTTTGTTCGTAATCATGCACTCGACTATTGCTTCCACCGGCCAGCCACGAGTTCAGCCCCACTTCGGCCTGCATACATTCCAGCTTAATTTGGCCCACCAGTGTCTGGCTACCATGGCATCGCTCGCAGATGTCTTGGCATGCAAACTCCGGAAGGAGTCATTCCAGGGTACATCCCTGGTACATAAGAGATGTTGAAAATTTAAAGCATTCTTCTCGGTAGCGGACGAGTTCTTCGAAACCCAGACCCCTGCTCTTCTCGCCACGAGTCTTCGATCCCACGATGGTCGCCTTCGCTTCCTTGGCCCGCATCGCGGGAATAATTAAAATGCTCATGGAGCTTCGCCCTCGTCATCGTCTCATATCGTCTTCTTTCTGCTTCTGGAATGCAGCGACGAAAACGAGTCAGAAAACCCGCTCGGTGCTGCACTAATAATGCTCCTTGGACCATGACGATCCTTCATTCGACAATGCGTGCCTTGTCTGCCGGGCCAGGATGCAGTAGTAATGGGCGCTCGCTGCAATTACTCTGGTCCCTTCACGAGCTCCCGTGAAAAGCGACCGCTTTCGTCACACTCGAGGCCGAGATCACCCGTTCGAAGGACCGCTAGGAACTCGCTTGTAGCCCGCCGCACATGGCTCATTCTAAACACGCGGATCTTCCTGAATTTGCGCTTTTGCTTATAAGCAACGGGGGATGGATGTGAAAATGCGAACCATGTTTTCCAAATTGTGGACATCCGCTCTTGTGAGCGCCATCGCTCTCGCCGGCACCGTTGGGGCTGGGGAGACGTTCCCAACCAAAGCGCACATGCGGCAGCTGCAGGTCGCCGCTGCGGAACGCTTCACGCGTCCTGTTGTCGAGTCTGCCATCCCCGGCGTCCAGAACATCACATTCACCGACCCGAGGGCATCTCGTGCGTGGTGGTCGTCCCCCTTTCCAGATTGGACGATCGTAACCGTATGCAGAATTCTACGTCGATGGCACGAGCATCCCTGAAGTCGACTTCGATGTTGGACCCAGCTGGTCAGGCCTGCTACCCATCAGCAGTGACCCCAATGAGACGCGCAAGGTCTGCACGCTGAACCCGCTGCTTCGTGATCTGACTTCTTGTGCAGCTTTTCTTCTGGTTCTTCCCGCCTGGGCCGGAGGGAAGTCTCGATGATCTGATCTTCTGGACGAACGGTGGACCGGGATGCAGCAGTCTCGAGGGACTTTTGCAGGAGAACGGGGTATGCTCCCTGCTCTCTGCCCCGTCGTTTGGCTGCCTCTGATTGTTCGCAGCCCTTCCAATGGGGTGTCGGGACGGCCAAGCCCATTCCGAACGTCAACAGCTGGACCAACCTTTCCAGTATGATTTGGATTGAGCAGCCCGTCGGTACGGGCTACTCGCAAGGAACGCCGAACATCACTGTGAGCTGGGCTCTCGATTTCCATTGATTCCAAGCATTCAACATCTACCAGAATCAAGACGAGCTGGCTGCCCAACTGGTCGGCTTCATGCAGCAGTTCCTGGACATTTTCAAGGAGCTGAACGGCAAAAAGTTCTACATCACTGGGGAGAGTGTGAGTGCCCGGTTTCTCCGACGGGGAATACAGTGATAAACCCACAACAGTATGCTGGAAAATATGTTCCCTGTGAGTCGTTCTGACCTCGATAGCGCCCGGATTCTTACTTGGAAGCAGACATTGCCAACTACATCTACGAAAACCCGACTGCATTGAACCTGAGCCTGCAGGGCATTTGGATCGCCGATCGTAAGTTCCAGTTCGTTGAAGGCGCCCATCCTGATATTCTAAACATTCTTGACTAGCGAGCATCGGTCCCAATGTTGCTCAGTCCCAGATTCCCGTCTTCGAGTTTGTGAAAAAATACCAGAACGTCTTTGCTTTCAAGTAAGCGAGCGAGGGCCACATCGCCAATGATGGTGCGCTAATGATTCTCAGCCAAGCGTTCATGGACCAACTCGAGGCAACGAGCAAACAATGCAACTACGCTGATTACATGTCCACTTATGTGACCTATCCGCCCAACGGTCTGCTTCCGACCCCAGATGTTCCCAGCTCTGGGGACTGCGATATCTGGAACACCGTTCTCAATCAGGCGCTCGTGAAAAACCCCGCATTCAACATCTACCGTGTGTTCGACACTTTCCCTGTGCTGTGGGACGTGCTCGGGTTCCCTGGGACGTTCGATAACATCCAATTGGCGCCGTTGTACTTTGACCGCCCGGACGTGAAACAAGCGATTCACGCACCAATGAATGTGTCCTGGACGGAGTGTAGCAACATCGCAGTCTTCCCGCAAGGCGACAACAGCGATTTCTCATACCTTTCCGTGCTTCCAAATGTCATCGAGAAAAGCAAGCGGTCGGTCATTGCGCATGGGTTGGCAGACTTTATCTTCATTGCTGAAGGGTGCGTTTGGCTGCTGGTGCTTGACCATCTGAGTGGCTGATCCAAAGTCACTTAGCACCCGTATTGTCATTCAAAAGTGAGCGCCAGACGAATCATATGTCCCCTAGTACCCCATCTGACAACCTGTCCAGCATGACCTGGAACGGCATGCAAGGTTTCCAGACCCCGACCGCCAACGACAGCCTCGTTGTCGACAACGTCGGCCCGCTCGGCACAGCACACACCGAGCGTGGCTTCACATACATCGAGGTCGAACTCAGCGGCCACATGGTCCCCCAGTTCTCGCCCCTGGTGAGGACGCACTGCACTTTCTGACCCACATAAGCTGACACGGATTTTCCAGGCCGCTTTCCAGAGCATGGCCTACCTCATGGGCTTCAGAGACACCGTTTAGCTATGTACTCTGGACACGACACAACATGTCATCTCTTTCATTCATCCCGAAATTGCACTAGCGTTGTTGAACAATAACCTATCCGTCGTATCTTGTCGTATTCCCGGCATCTGGCCCCGACTCGCCAATCCCATTAGAGCCGATTTGAGCTGTTCTGGTGTGATATCCGAGGCAGGATTGTTGATCGGAAACGGCAGAATCCCAGAAAGGAAGCCAGACCCAAGCCCGACATTCACAGGCGGGCCAATCGAGAAGGGTTGTTGATGTGCAGCCGTTGATTGACTTGAGGGTCTCGGTGGATCGAAAGAGGAGGATGGATATATCGACAAGAAGTAGGCGATCAACCCAGCCGCATGGGGCGCCGCCATCGAGGTGCCCGAGAGCTCTTTCGTGGCGCCCTTCTCACCAATATACGTCGACAAGATGTTCAACCCCGGCGCAAAAACATCGACACACGGTCCGACATTGGAGAAAGACGCAGCTTCGTCCTTGATCGTCGATGCTCCCACAGTGAGGACTTTGGCGGCAGAGGCTGGTGAGTAGTTGCAGGCGTTCTGATTGTCGTTCCCTGTTGGAGAACAAGATCAGTGAGTGAAAATGTCCCAGAGGTTCAAGTACCTGCGGCAACGGCAAAGTGTATTCCCGACTCGACAGCCCCGTTGACCGCCATGTCCAACACCACAGACTTGCCTCCACCAAGACTCATGCTCACAACGGCGCCGCGATATGCGTTGGTGGAATTGAGACCCGAGTTCTGCTTCGCTGCTTGCCTCTTCGCTTGAGCATCCTGGACGGCCCAGTCTACTCCCGCGAGTACATCCGACATAGAACCGCTTCCATCTGAGCCCAGAACCTTCACAGCAAGCAACCGCGCCTGCTTCGCGACGCCGTATGTCCGAGACCCGATCGTCCCAGCGCAATGGGTGCCGTGTCCGTTGGTATCCGTGTCGCCGCCGTTCGTTGCAATCGTCTTACCCCAAACAGCACGTCCTTCGAACTCGGGGTGATGAGTATCTATGCCGGTGTCTATAACATACACGTCGACACCCTGACCACCGGTAGGATCGTACTTGTAGGTATAGCTTGAATCGGAATTGGGCGAGGAGCTGAAAATAAGAGAGTCGCCAGAGCTAGGCAGTGTCTCGCGCTGGCTTAGCCGCGCCAGTCCCTGTTCCATCAGGTAAGAATACGCGTCATGACGCGTCCAGAACGCACCCAAGGCGCGTTGGTCTGCACAGCGGGTGCTCCCTGTGTCTTCATGACCTGATCCCGCTCAATGTATCGTACCTCGGGCAGCGTCCTCAGTTCCTCCACCATGCTCGCCGAGAACGTTGCCGCATAACCATTCCACGCCGCATACACCTGCCCGATCGAGTACACTCCCTCGTAGACGTTGTTGCTTTGATGTGCCGCTTGCAGGTAGTTGAAGTGGTTCTGCATCATTTCTGAGACGTGTATCGGCGAGGACGGGGAGTGAGATGAGAACGACGACGAAGATTCAGGCGCGGGATTGAGCATAACGATGTAAGAGTCGTTGATCAACCCATAGCGGTGCTCTTCAGCGAACGGTGCGAGGCGTGAAGGCGAAGGTTGGCGAGGTGTACCTGGACGGCGATGTCGTTGAGCCTTCGTATTTTGTACGAGGGCCAGAAGAATTGCGTTGAGAAGGAGAAATCCTAGCATGATGAAGACAATGAAAGGGTTCAACACGGAAAGAAAGGAGATGAGTACAGTTTAGTGGTCTCTCGCAAATACTCGCCCAAGTCGATTATGAGAAATTTCAACATCGACCGTCCGTTCAGACATGCAGAACCTTGACAAAGTGACACAACCGCAATCTGAAGTTTGTTGAAAGGATCGAGTTGGTGACTGCTCGTCTAGTGGCATATCTCAAGCTGGATCCAGTCCGTGTCATCAATCTAATCGTTGATGCATTACGCTTCATGATCTAATCGATAAGATTCAGTTTTGGCTGTTCTGTTCAAATTCGTTCTGTATTGATTGTGTGGAGTTATGCGGAAAATCTCCAGATAAAGGTGCTTAAGCTCCATCTTTGACCGATTTCCAGCTTTCACGAGCGCTGATATCCTCGTACCAACGAGTCACACTGGGGCGACCAGTGAACGCATCGAATTTGGCCTAGACGACAGATCAGTATCGAAACCGGGCCGAAGCATTCAATCGAACGCACATGGCCGAGACCATAGAGCCAAGGGAGGTGGATAAGGTCGGCGATGGTCAGCGTCTGCGCATAAGTTAGTCACTGATGGTAATGAAACAAAACAGAGCACTGACGCTGCCAGCAAGATATTTCTGCGAGGACAGAATCTTCTCATAGACGTCCAGCTTGGCATTCAAGCTGTCGATAGACGCGCTGAGTTTTGCCTCGTCCGGCGCCAAGCCACGCATCCTGGATTACGCGACTTGAGTACGGTCTTCAACATGAGGAGCGCGAATGAAACACACGCTTTGAACACCTTCTCGACCATGATGGACTGGGCGAGAGGGTCGAAGTGGTTATTCTCGATGCTCATCGCCTGCTCGAACTTGGCCGTCGCCTGGATGTCCTTGGTGTCCGGGACCAGGGTGCTGCCGTTCCCATACTTGGCGACGAGGTAGCGGGAGATAGCCCGACTTTCGAAGAGGGTGAAACCGTCATCCTGGATGCAAGACATGATGTCAGCCAAGAGCGCGCCGCGAAAGCGACGCGTAAAACGCGCACATCAATGGTGGGCACGAGGCCAAACGGGTGGCGAGCGAGATGCTCGGGAGCCTTCTGCGCGCCGATCGTGATATCGACAGGGACGAGCTCGTAGGCAACGCTGAGCTCTTTGGCGATGAGGGCAGCACGGCGGGTGCAGATCGAGTGCGTGTAACCGTAGAGCTTGAGGACCATCTTGTTTACTGAATGTTGGCTGAGAGAGAGGGGAGAGGGGATGTTGAAAATGCACGGTTTTGGCTCAGTTTATATACTGTGGGATGCTGCCGACTCCATTTCTCCGTCTCGTATCGACGCTTCCATAAGCTTTCTGCCCTTCAAGTGTCTCGGACTGGATGGGTGTAGGAATCGATCAATCAGATTCTCGGTCATCCGGAACACCGCCCAGGCTGCTTTTAAGATACCGGGGGACTCCGAACTTGGGCTGGAGTTTGTCGACAACGGCAAACAGCCACCGTGAGATTTTGGCATTTGATCGGGATCTACCAGCTTGACGTATCGTGATTTCCCAGTGCCGGCTCAATCAGCTCATGCGCTGCGGCTCATCGAGTTGGAGCTCAGACTTCTCATTTCTGGAGCGAGGTTTAAGAACTCAGATCTCAGAGCCAAAGAATTTCCCAATGCGCCACGGCTTCAGATATTTTGCAGGAAATGGGGATGCATTACGCCAGTGGACCCCCATCAAAGGGCATCATTCCCCATCACTCGCGGCGCCCATCTGCGAGCGTTTGTCAGCTATGAAATTCGAGTTTTTTTCAATAATTATCAATAAATATAATCCCCTGTCAGGCTTACATATCCGACTGGACGATTACACACCCTAACTGGAGGGCGTGGTCCATCCGGAACGCCGCTCAGCTGGTTCAGACACAGGGTTGCATGTGTGAGATATTTGGTATCATTTGAATTTCATTCATGTGCATGGGATCTTCCCTACTTCTTCGACAACTACTGACTAGTTCACCACCAAGCTGAATGCAGAACTGAAGGAGGTCAGTATTGTGATGTAGAGAAACAAACGCAGACTGACGTCGTCAAAGTAGCAGACCCGGAAGTCGCCTCCGTTCCACCCTGGGCTGTCACCAGAACTTGCGATGTACTGAGGCCCCGGTTTGCCGTGAGGTACTATTTAGGTGCTAAAATGAGCTACGATTGTGGATATCCACGCTGCATACCTTGAAGAAGAGGTTCAAATCTCCGCTGAAGCTGGTGATCGTTCCGCTGGTCGGAAGGAAAGAGTAGACATTGTTCGAGCCGTTGGAGCCGAAGTACAGGTTCCTTCATGCTGCGATGAGGATACTGTCGGTTGAGAACTCAACGCACAACTTACCAGGTGTGTCCGGCGATGGACAGGTTCGTGGCGACGGCCCTGATGGGAGATGACCGATCAGGACGGTGGAAGTATGCACGCAGGAGAGCGCACGTACACGGGCTGACCCTGGGCATTGTACGATGCCGAGATAGGCCCAGCATTGAAGTTGGCAAGCCAGATCATGATCTCGTTAACGTTTGCGCCCCCTGCGTTGTTGGCAGTGAAAAGGTCGTAAGCGACATCAGCCACGACAGAGCTTGTGCTCTGAGACCATTTCCATGTGCTCTGCAGAGCATTCAGTCTATGAGTAGTCGCACGGTCGTGACCCTCACCGGCATCGTCTTGATGGCTGAAAGTGCCTTGTTTAACCCAGTGTTGACATTGATGTTCGTAAAGCTCTTGATTCCGCCGCTCGCTGGGCCGAGATTGAATTGAAAGACACATGACCAGGTTGCATGTGACGCACCTGTGTTAAAAGTCCATACGGCTTTCCAAGCGATCGTCGTGCCGCTCAGAGATGTGAGGCTAGCACAGTCGGAACCGGTAACTCCTGATCCGAGACCCCACTGGTCCAGATACAGCGTGTATGGACCAACGTTGACGGCATCGTATTGACCTTTGCCCACCAGTCAGATTTCCGACATATGGAGATCAGCAAGAAGAGGCCTTACCACAGTGCGACGAAGTGTCGATCGCAGCAGCGAGCTCAGCCGGCACGGGGGTCGAAAGCGCGATGGGAGCCGTAGCCAGAAGGACAAAAGAGACGAGTTTTGCGAATCCGAACATCTCAGGCGGGTGTCTCAGGCGGGTGTCGAGAGGGACGAATTCGTCCATGTCCACTGCGCGCATTTATATTTGTCGGATTGTTTCTTGGCGGCCCGCTGCCAGAGCACGAGACAGACCTTCGTTAGGTCATGGTTGCATTTTCTTGATGCTCGACGGGCATATGATGCGGCCACAAGTTCCGCATGAGGGAAGCGACCGACAGCGATCCAAGGTGTTGCCAGGTTCCCGCAGCGCTTTCCGGACCCAATGGTTGATCTGAATCATAGCGGACCTGAAGCGTTGCAAGTTGCTAGTATATGACATTGCTGGATAGCTGCACTGAGAATGATTCAAGGCGGCTAGATTCGCTTCCCCCCTCTATAGTAGTTTTAGCCGAGTCTCCCCCATGTATTCAGAGCCACCTACTATAGAGAAGACGGCCGCCCATGAGCGGAGTCAATTCGCTATATACAGTGGGGTGGATTTTTCCGCGTCCAGGTCCCGTGGCCGCGGTCGTACTGTAATTCAACTTCATGTCCGCGATCTCAGAATTGTTGCGAAGTCTCTCCGAACTTGAAGGATTTCGGGAGTAATAATGAATGTCTCTTGACACTTGAAGTTAGAATGGGAAGCATGTCATGACGACGACGCGCAGTAGTATCCCGCAAGGACGGACTGCTGCGCAATGATTCTGTTGCATAGCCCCAGCAAGCCGTAAGTGGTACAAAACGGAGATCGTAGTAGCAGGTTGTCGACTGGCTAGGATGACGCAACGTGATCAGATTGTATGGTCGTGTTTTTTTCCCGAGTGCCCACTGCTCGCGCTCTGCTCCTGCTGCTGCTCATCGTCTGCTCTGCTGTACTTGCTGTTGCTGTACTACATAGACCCACATCTCCCTTTCCTTTCCTAATATATGTACGCTGCGTGTTTTCATTTCTATCCAATCTGACTCTTATGGCGTTTCGTGTTGTGACAGCATGACCACCACCACCACCCCCAATCCCCCATCTGCCCCTTCTACCGACGCTACCTCCGCTCCTCCCACTCAGGTCCCATCGTCGCGCACTCCCAATCCGTCGGAGGTTGGCTGGCAATTCGTTCCTCAATACTACACCTTTGTGAACAAACAACCGGACCGATTGCACCAGTTCTACAACAAAAAGTCTACTTTCGTGCATGGCACAGAAGGAGATGAGGGGAGGGTCTGTTTGGGACAACAGGTACGTGTCGCGTCCTACTCGCCGTGTTTTGCGTATGGACGAGACGCTGATGGGGACAATCACTCACGTAGGAGATCCATGCTCGCATAACCGAAATCGGGTTTCGTGACTGCAAAGTGTTCATCCACTCTGTTGACGCGCAGTCTTCCGCCGATGGGGGTATCATCATTCAGGTGATCGGTGAGATGTCGAACGACGCTGAGCCGTGGCGCAAATTCGTGCAAACCTTCTTTCTCGCCGAGCAGCCGAATGGGTACTTTGTTCTGAACGACATTTTCCGGTTCCTCAAGGAGGAGACGGTGGAGAGCGAGCACGAGAGCGAGGATGCGGCGAGCGAGGTCGTCGAGCCGGAGCACGCGTCCGTTTCCGTTGTCGAGCATGCTGCTGCTGTCGAACCCGTGGTTGTCGAGCCCGTCGCTGTCGAGCCTGCACCCAGAGAGCCCACTCCTCGCGAACCTACTCCTCCGCCCGCTGTTGAAGAGCCTCCTGTTGCCGAGGCGCCTGTTGAGATTTCGCAACCGAAAGCAGTGACGCCACCCCCGGCACCTGCGCCGGCCCCGGCAGCAGTCCCAGCACCGACCCCGGCACCAGCGCCGGCACCAGTGCAAGCGCCTCCTCCCGTAGCTGCACCCATACCGGCTCCCGCTCCCGTACCCGCCCAACCGCGTTCGTGGGCAAACCTTGCCGCTGCGAACCCGAAAAAGTGGGGATCGACCGTTGCTGTGGACTCTCGAGGGACATCCGAGATCGCGCCGGCTACAGTGCAGATTCCCGCTCCTGCTCAGCCTCCAGTTCAACAACAGCAGTCCCCGGCCCCGGTCCAACGACAGGGTCAGCCGCAGCAGCATCCCAGTTATGCTGCGGCAATGAGTGTGACGACGGCCCAATGTTTCGTCAAGGGTGTTCTCGAGCCAGTGACGATCAATGCTCTGCAGACCCAGCTGACAAATCGCTTTGGCCCACTCAAAGATCTGGAGATTGTACGCAACAAAGCGTGTGCATTCTTCGAGTTCTTGAGCCTGGATTCTGCACGCAAAGCAATCGCGGCCTCTCTGCCTCAGTCGCAGGGTGGTGAGGGAGGATTCTGGATCGACATGGGGCCTGACAGCACGTTCAGGTGTGCACCAATGATGTTTCTCTTTTGCACTTCTGACACATTGCAGAATCTCGATCGAGACAAGAAAAGAGCGCAGCGAACGGCCAGCTAGCCGACCGCGAGGTGGAGGCCCGATGGGTGATGGCCAGCGGGGTCGCGGTGACGGTTTCAGAGGTGGCCGGGGCAGGGGCCAGCCTCGTGGTGGGCCTCCTGGCAAGTAAAATTCTGACAATGCATGGCAATGCCATCGTTGGTCTTCATCCATCACACTTTACTTACTTACCACGCAATCACTACTATCTCATTTTGGGGTCTTGAGAATGCTCGGGACCAAGGTACAATTGAGTTTTGCAATCACGCTTTCAAAGGTGGGACGATTCTACAATGGCGCCTTTTCTCTTTTGCAAAATTTTAAACTCTCCAAGTCAGATCCTGAGGTCCCACCGGTGCTGTAATGCAACTAAACCGCAAGCCCTCGTAGGGATTGAGTGAATTGAGGTCCACAAAAACACCACGTGGCATGCGACCTATTTTTGCTAATGATCGACATGGCGATCATTTCATAGCGCTGCTCGCTCCTTGGCTTCAACCATCCTGATACCCTTCGCCTTTCACGGAACCCCTCGAGTTATAACTTCCCGTCCTTACTTGCTTTACTAACGCACTGTCGACACCATGAAGTTCGCTCGGTGAGTCTTAATCCGGGACCTCTGCTCCGCTTTCTAATGCGGCGGCTCAGTTATCTCGAGGACACACAAGTGAGATAAGATTGCAGTTCTGCTTGCCGATCTACCTATGTGTACACTCTTTCGCAGGTGCCCGAATGGCAACGCGCTTACATCGACTATAAGCTGCTCAAAAAGAAGATTACGGAGATCCGGCGCCAGAAAGAATTGACCGGCCATCAGGCAGGACAGGCGCGTCCTTCGGAGGATGTGGACGTGGTGCTCGAAGAGGACGACACTCCGGATACGAGTTCAACTGCTCATGCGTTGGCGCGCAAGCCGAGCAGCACGCAAACGACAGCGCCTCGTCCTCCGGCCCCCGTGCGTCGATTCACAGGTCTGTGCGTCATATGCTGCCACTTTTGTGGAGGCCCTTACTTGCTGTACTAGTTGTATCCAAGCCCCGCCCCTACTCATCTGGTCTGCTCTCAGCCCTTGAACGGTCGTTCTTCACTACACTGGATGGGGAGGTAGTCAAGATCGACAAGTTCTTCATCTCGCGTGAGAAAGTTATGCAAGAGCGGACACAGGCGCTGGAAGGACAACTGGAACGGCTGGATGAGCACCGCAAGATCTTCGACGTGAGTATGATCTGTTTGTCGTCTGCTGAGATTCCTACGAAGTACACATTGCAGGCCACCGCACACAGCTCTACCGCATGGACGTCTGCGATCAACACCGCTGCTCTCCTCAAGTTCAAGCCCAGCACGAAAGACCCAGGCGACCCAGAAGACCACGCCGAATCGACCGAGTCCCTGCCTTTGCCGGATGCGGCTCTGAAAGCAAAGGGCAAAGCGCGCCACCATCTGAAAGCCCACTCCGTCTCCGAGCTGCCTGATGCTCGCGACGACTTGGATCCAGATGACTTCCATGAAGCGAGGCATCAACTGAAGAAGGCTGTGTTGGAGCACTACCGGTAAGGTTGGCTTATCAGATCCGATTCTGCGTTGTGAAGTTCCCCAGGGGCCTGGAGATGCTTTACAACTATCGAGTATGTGGACCCCATCCTCCAATGTCGCCCTTTGAACGAATTCGGGCCCGTTAATCAGGTTCTCAACCTCACCGGCATCCGGAAGGCTTTGAAGAAGTTTGAGAAGGTGACGCAGGTTCGTAACGTCGCCCTTTTGCGGATGATGGCTCATTGAGCTGGTCAGATTGCTGCTCAAGATATGTACATGCGGGAGAAGGTCTCTGCTCAAACCAATGCGTTGCTATGAAGCTCATTGTCCACAGGTTGATCCCACAACGTTCGCAGCAGACACGACAGTACAGTCGATGATGGAGACGATCAAAGACATGTATGCCAGTCGGTTCGGTGAGCAGTCTCAGATAGACTCGCTGTCCAGCGTACTCACAATTCTCAGTCCGCGGAGATCGTAAAAAGGCTCTTGACCTATTGCGGTTAGGACCACAGCACAAAAGCCACCACGTGAGCACATTCTGGTCCGGATTGTTCCTCGGCCTAGCGGTCCCAGCGCTGGTCTCTGGTCTGTATCACAGTACGTGCCCTGGTCCAGACAAAACTCGTTTTTTGACTTGTCAGGTTACCAGCAGAGCACGCGGGATGCAATACCTGGATGGGACGGGCTGTTGATGATCTACGGCGTGTTCCTCATTCCGGTCCTGCTCGGCTTGTTAGTAGGACTGAATATCCTTGTTTGGGCCCAATGCAGGATCAATTATGTGTTCATCTTCGGTGCGTACGATCAGTCAGCATCCAAGTATGACTCGAAGTCGGCGATACAGAGTTTGATCTAAGAACCCGCATGGATCATCGAGAGTATTTCCAGGTTCGTTCAATGCTGACCTCTCGTGCGAGGAATGCTTACAGTTATCCGCAGCTCCCGAGCATCATCTTAGCGGGTCTGTGCTACGCATTCTGGCTGTCCTTTGCTCGGATCGGTGCCCCACACATTTCGCCGACAACATGGCCACTCGTCTGGCTGGGATTTACAGCAGTCATGTTGTTCGCTCCCCTGCCACTCTTCTTCCTTTCGTCTCGGTTGTGGCTGTTGAGAAACGTGGGGAAACTCTTGACATCGGGGTCCAGACGCGTCGAAGTCAGTGCCACGCTTAAAAAGCCTGAATCTCGCTAAATATCGGATAGTTCACGGATTTCTGGATGGGGTCAGTAGAACGCGCCAGCAATGTTTTCTCGATCTCCGAGTTGATCCGTCTACTAGGGATCAGTTTTGCAGCCTGGTCTTCACTTTGTCCAATCTGTTCCTCTTTGTCTGCCTGTATGCCGAAGGATTCAGTCCCCAGTGGAGGAAATGTGGGACCTCATCGAGATTCTGGCCGCTGCAGTTTGCTTTGGCGATCCTTCCCTTCCTCGTGCGGTTGGTGCAAAGTCTCAGGCGTTTCGTGGATTCTGGACTGGTGACTCATTTAATTAATGTGAGTCCATGCTTTTGATTTGGAGTGCAGCACATGTCCGGCTGAACTCTCTCAACCCAAGGGTGGAAAATACTTCTCTGGGATTATTGCCTATCTCTGTTACTTTCTCTGGCGGCACCAAGGTGGGTACAATCCTCCTGTCAATTTGTCAGCAGTTCATCTCCTCCAGGAAGCACGCCTGCCCTGATTGCTTGGTGCATCTTCCAGGCTCTTTATTCATTTTATGCCTTGGCATGGGTATGGGAATTGCCACGGTTGGGCTGGTTAACTGATCAATTGTTGGGCAGGATTTATGGATGGATTGGTCCATCATGCGCCTCGATACGCCCTATAAATTACTCAGAAAGGAGCTGATATACACGAACCATATCTATGTATGCGTTTTCCCATTGGTTTTTGTCCCGGCTCATCCAACAATCTAGCTCTATTATGTTGCTATTGTGATTCCGGGTTTAAATTTTGGCGCAGCATTCTGACAAGAATAGGTTACCAACACGCTCATCCGATTCATTTGGGTGTTCTATATCCCGAAGCGCGGGCCTGACATGATGCTACGCACCTTTATCGCCGGTTCATTTGAGATGCTTCGGCGCTGGCAGTGGAACTTTTGTGAGTGGCCTGCAGTGCGGTGCTATTTGCCATTGGCCTGAATTCAGCGCAGATCGTGTGGAGAACGAGTTTCTCGGTAACGTCGACCAGTATCGTGTCACGGTGAGTGGTGTTTCGGGTCCTCGACCGTTCAACGCTGACTCGGCCGCGCGCGACAGCGAGAAGTCCCGCTTCCTTACCTGCTGGACCGAGGGGATCAGGATCGAGACGACGAGGGCAGCCCTTCACGTGATTGGCGTGCGATTCCTCTGCGTAAACAACGAGGCTCTGCACATGTGTAGACTAGGACATTAGAGTTCGGAGCCATGCGCGCGAGTTTTGGTACAGTCAGCCGTGCGACTGTGAAAGCTTCTGCCAACTTGCTAATTATAGCCTATCTTCTGCTGCGATTTACCATGTGCACGGGTCAGGTAGTACAAAGCTCGAGGAGTTCCGCACGACAATTTCACAACGAAAAGACTCACCCCTGCTCACAATAATGAAGTTCACCAGGTAATCAAATCTCCGATTTTTGAACGAGTTCAACGGGCTCACACGAGCAGATATATAGAAGACACGCAAGTCCCGGAATGGACCCGGGCCTATCTGTGGACCTGATTTCTGTCGCGTCTTCGATGTCTGATTGAAATGTTCCAGGGACTACCGTATTTTTAAAGACCGCATTCGTGACATTCGGAGCGCCCAAGAATCGAACCACGCGTTCCCTGGCATTGAAAGTCCCTCAAACTCACCGATCGGCGGCTGGGCCCAGCAGAGCGACCATTCCGTGCTTTCCTTTGTAGACTCGGCGGGAAACTCCTCGTATGGTGGGAGCGAGATCCACCTGCCCCTCGATAGACGGCTCGGCGATCTCGCTTCCAACACAGGATCACCACAGCCACAGCGAGCACGTGCTGTTGACAGCGTCTCCCCGCCACCGAATGCCGCCGCAGGCCGGCTGCATCTGCAGGTGGACTCTCCCATGCCACCGTTCGTGCCACGTTCGCCCACATCTCAGACCAATCGGGACGCACTTCCGCCCAGCCCTGGTGGCGCAATTCAGTTCCCAGCCACAACGGCGCAGCGCGCTGTCAGTCCCAGGATACTCCTGCCACAACTAGGTACGCGTTGGAGATAAGATAAGATGAATGCTTTTGATTGCATCGCTGATGGGATCTTTGGCAGTTGTTCGACAGGCGACTAATCGCTCGCACCATGCGCCCCCAAGTCCCCTCGGAGATGGCTCGACAATGCACGGCCGGATGGACACCAAGCGACTCGGGGCTGACATGAGTTTGTTTCGGGATCTCATAGGGCTACCATTCGCATTGATGAATTGCAGTGTCCAGGGTTCTGACGAACCACTCACAAGCTCGGAAGGGCGACACCGCGCCGTCCAGTCCAGTGGTTTCTCCATCCACGGTCGGCAGTCGGCTCAGAAAGGGAATCTCTCATCTGAGTAAGTTCACTCTTTGAATCTCATACTGGAGAGATAACTGATTTCTGTCGGAGTGGATCCGCTGCGCCGGGATCCCTACTCGGAACTCTCTCTGAATGTGCTGATGCCACTGCTATCTCCACAGGAGCTGGCCTTCTTCACCGCTCTTGACAGCGAACTTCAAAAAGTCGACAATTTCTTCATCGAGAAAGAGAGGGCAATGAAAGTTCGCGCCAAAGATCTCGGGGCTCAACTCCGTGCGCTCAACCAGCACCGCAAATTATCTGTTGTGTGTTATGCGAGGTTACTATCCCGCGCACATCTCGGCTGAATCGAATTGTCATAGGATAAAAACTCCGACGCGCCGCGCTCCTGGCCTGCGTTCTGGCGCGGCAGCATCTCTGCGTTGCTGAAGCTAGTAGGACGCCAGTCGCTCAGCAAAATGCATGGACACGTCCACGACGACGATGGGGCTCGCGAGGCCAAGACAGAAGTAAAGACCTTCGAGACGAGTCGGGCGCGCGATGATCAGCGAGATCCCAAGGCATATCCCCAAGCCAAACGCAAGTGGAAGAAAGCAATCCTGGAGCATTACCGGTGAGCTGCTGACCGAATCCACTCTAATCGATCATGTGATTGAATGCACGCCATCCAAGGGGCTTGGAGATGCTGCAGAACTACCGGGTACGTACCTTCAGCCGCTCTCCCGAGCTCCATCGAGATTGACCTCGAAAACAGATTTTGAACATCTATGCTTTCAGGAGAGTGCTGATCAAATTTGAGAAGGCGACGAAAGTACGTGATGCCGTTGCAAGAAAGTCAGATCTGCTAGAAAGTGTTTAGATCTCCGTCCAAAGAGCATACATGGAAGGAAAGGTCAGTTGCGAGTGTCGTTCCCAACCTAGCCCACTGCCTAACCGCAGGAGTTTCGCAGGTCGAGCTGGCCGCATTCTATTCTGATGACAATCTCCGCGCGATGATGCAGGAAGACGAAAACCTATACGCCATCAACTTTGGCAAGGTGGTCAGCGATCTCAGGGGCCATCAACTCACCTCTTCACAGTGAACGGCAACAAAAACCAAGCCATCACGCGTCTTCACGCTGGGACCCAGCTGAAAACCCATCACAAAAGCACGTTCCAGTCCGGCCTTGCTCTCGGAGCCGCGATGATTGCTGTTGCAGCGGGAATATTTGATAGTGCGTATAGTCGAGTCTCTGCGCTCTAGCACATCGTTTTGAACTGTTCTCAGGTTTTCAACCAAATACACGTGCCGCTATCCCCGGATGGGACGGATTAATGTTCATCTACGGGGTCTTGGCTATCCCCGCCATCTTTGCGTTGCTGGTAGGGCTGAATCTTCTTGTCTGGGCGCATTCTCGGATCAACTACGTTTTCATCTTCGGTCCGTGTTCTTTGCCTGCTTTCTTCGATCAATTATAGACGCCGGCACCCATCAGAACTAGACCTGAGAACGCGTCTCGACCACCGCGAATACTTTCAGACTCCCGCCATCCTTCTCACCGCCCTTTGCTATGCGTTCTGGCTTTCCTTTTCCAGGATTTTAGATGCCCATGTGGCACCTGCGACGTGGCCACTGGTTTGGCTGGCGTTCACGGGGATCGTGATGTTCGACCCTTTTCCCCTTCTGTATAGGCCCTCCAGATACTGGCTTGTCAAAAGCACTGCGAACTTGCTCAAATCGGGCTTGAAGCGCGTCGAGGTTCCGTGGTTCTTGTTTCGAATGATGCTGCCCACTGATGCTACCCAGTTTACGGACTTTTGGATGGGGTAAGGCTTCGAGAGCTGTCCTACGCCGTTCGGAATTCTGAAGATCAAGATGCAGAGACCAGTTCACGAGCCTGGAATTCACGTTATCGAACATCCCTCTGGTCAGCTGTGTTTACGCGCGCAGTCTTGATGCCGACTGGCGAAAATGCGGAAGCACGTCGAAACTCTGGCCGCTGTCTTTCGTAATCGCCGTGCTGCCTTTCGTCATCCGCATGGTGCAGAGCATAAAGCGCTACGCCGATTCGAAGCTCACGACGCATCTCATCAATGTTAGCCGTCTCCCCTCCGCAACGACATGCTGATCCTCCTCGTGGAAATGTAGGCCGGGAAGTACTGGTCTGGAATTATCAGCTATCTGTGCTACTTTCTCTGGCGTCACAAAGGTAAGCGGCTCTCGGTCACATTTTTGCGCCGCTCCATTTCGTGCAGGCAGCAAATACGACCTGTCGTTCGCCTTTTGGTGTCTGTTCCAATCGCTGTATTCCAGTTACGCACTCACATGGGTAGGCCGAGGATCCATATGCAGTCGGCAAGGCGTAACACACGCTGACCTAACCGCTCGCAGGACTTTTTGATGGACTGGTCTATCTTTCGAAGGCACAGTCGGCACTGGTTGCTGAGGAACGAGCTGATCTACTCGAACCACGTTCCGGTGCGTGGTCCGCCTAATATCCGGCTGCCCATACTCAATCCACTTCTGCAGTTGTACTACACCGCAATCGTCAGCTTCCCTGCGCCCTTGCCCAGCTGATTCGCATCTGACCTCCGCGGCGGATCTCTAGATGATCAACACGGTGATACGGTTCATGTGGATCCTGTATATCCCCGTCCAGGGGCCAGACCCGATGCTCCGCTCGTTTTTGGTTGGGCTGATGGAGATCTTTCGGCGGTGGCAGTGGAATTTTTGTAACCGGTCCTTCTCAACGAGTGGTTCGCTTGCGCTTACGTCTGAGCCTCGCCAGATCGTCTCGAAAACGAGCACATCAGTAACATCGATCAGGTAAGCACATCCATACACACTCTCTGAGCTGTTTCACACCTCGTCGGTTATTATAGTATCGAGCTGTGAGAGAAGTTCCGCTGCCGTATACACTTGACATGCAGGAAGGGATTGCCGAAGAGTCCCAGCGATAACGATCGCACGCTAAACCCCAAATTATGTAAATTCGAGCAGTAAATATGAACAATCCGTCTGTCTTGCAGCTGTAGCGGGATTGAGGCTAGCCTGTTCCTGGCAGTGGACACCGTGTTAGCACCATCACGTGATCGCGTTCTGCTATTCGCAGTGGTCTGGAACATCGCTTCAGAGCCGGCTGACGGAAAAAACGGACATTGTGGGCGCGAGGAAGGTGCACGTGCAACGTCCATCTGTTCTCCATGCTCAACATCGCACGGTGATGATCACCATGCATGGAACCTGCGAAGCTGATGAAAGCAATGCTACTTATTTACAAATGTACAGATGGTTAACGAAAGGTGGATAGTGCTTATACTGGGGTCTATGAGTATGATGAATACGAAGTGTTTTGGAAGTAACGAGCGAGTGTGTATGTGTGTGTGAGCGGGTGTGTGTCGTGGGGACGGTCTCAGATCATGCGCAAAGGGACGCGTCCTCGAACTTCGTCCTGACCGAAAAGAACGGAAATGTCCATGTAATACTGCATCACAGTCAGCATGCATCGACCGGCTTCGTGCAAAGACGCACCTTGACAGAAATGCCAGCCCAATCGATCGTCGGCAGCATGTCGCGCCGGAGCTGGATCTTATCCTTGTGCAACCCATCGGGGAGAGCACGTTGCGACTCGAGCGTCGGATGCTCGTTCGGGCCACCCTGCTGCTGGTGCCTCGGTCGCTTCGGGAAGCCAATAAACATCGAGGAATGGATCGTCTGCGTGTCCGAGAACGCCGTCTGCGTCGGCAATCGCGGTAGTGGGGCGTCGGGGACATCTCCGTCTGCTGCGCGTGGAGACCATGGCGAAGTCCGGGATCGTACTCGCCGCAGAAGCCTCGTGCGTGGCTGCGACATGGGCAGAGAATCCGAGGAAGACTCGCTGAGTGGTGTGATGGGTGGGGTGATCGGTAAGGCCGCCGTCTCGGTGATCGTAATCTGGCTGAAGATTGAGATAGAAATAGTCGCGTCGGCGGCTATCTCGCGTGCCATTGTCCCCGAGCGAGGTGTTGTGGTGAACACTACGAAGTAGGGGATCGAAGACGCCCGTGAGAATGTTACAGATGTGGGCAGTGTCACCTGGGCGGAGATATCAGCACCGATCGAGAAACAATAAGCTAACCTTACTGCGCAGCGGAACGCGATTGGCCTGTCTGTTTTGAGTGGAATCTCCAACCAAGAACTGTCGTTCCCCGCCACCGCACTCAGCGAATGAAAGCCCGTGTCGGGGTGCAGTATGATGGGGATTTCGAGGCTGAAACAAACCGCGTCAAAGGGGACAGCAAACACCCGACCAGAACAGACTTACAAGGATGGGTTTTCGGTGATGTCAGCAGACTCCCATGTCACAGAGATCTGGTAAACCACCTCGAACGGGGCACATTTAGGATCCGACGAGCAGAATGTCGGCGGCATCTCTCGCCAGATCGTTTGCTCCGAGGCAGCTCAAATGCAAATGGAAAAGCACGGGGTTCGAGGGCCAAGGACCGTATGTTGGAGCCACTGGGGCGTCGCTTGAGCACAAAGACCTCACGGAGCGTGGACCTCGGCTCCCTCGCGTCGGTTGCTGCTACTTGCGTCACTTTGGAAGACGAAAAGAACACATGTTTCCTCTTGGCCGGGATAGTTCCGTACGGTGCAATATCGTCGTTGGGCTTCTCCGTCGAGTAGAGGAACGCGCCCTCGATCTGGAGCAATTGGTTAGTGTCGAACAGGAATGAAAGCCTGGCGGATGGGGCGCACCGTTACACTCAACCGTCCAACCTGGCAGCTCGGATCTAAGATGACCTTTCCGCTCACAATGTCCTGGTCACTGAAAACGGCCAAGGCCTGGTTCGTCGTATACGGTCGTGAAACCATCTTCACGGAGGGGCTATAGATCAAGAGCTCCATCTGAAGTGACCTGCAAGAGAAATCCAGTCCGAGCGGAATCAACAGGACGCGCCTGAGACTTACCTGTAACTGGAGGCATGGGAGTACAGCGGTGTGTTCACTGGCGGCGCAAAGGACGGCGGAAGCGCGTCACTCTGCGCTCGTGCGCGCGGACCAGTGCCGGGAAGCCCGCGGAGACTGCTGGGAGGAGGAGCCATGGAAGGACGAGGGGACGTGACCGGGAGCAAGAGAGTGGACAAGAAGAGCCGTTTGGGGTGCGCCCAAATCTTATTTTCAAATCAGAAGGACATCAGAAACGGTGTACATATGAATCTTGATTCTCACACAGCTCTTCTGAGAACATCCCTAGCTCGATCCGGCTCCGTTGCCTGATTGTCGCATGACAACATGCGGATTCCGGAGGCAATACGGATGTCCCCCAGATTGATCTTCGCCAGATCTCATGGGAACCTTCACCGTAGTTCACCGTTCAACAAGGGCTGGCTGTTCGGGAGGTCCTCGGGCAGGGTTTGAGGCGCTCCTCTACAGGGCTCTGGTGTCACCCACTTGGGCGCGTTGGACGTGCCTTGACGGTTGTTAGAGAGCATTAATAATCCACTTTGATGGAATCACTAAAAGCATGGGGAAACTATATCAGCTGAGCCTGGGGTCTAGCACTGAGAGACTGAGGCTCTTACATAGATTCGTTGAGTTTGGTCCTCGAATGATATGAGCTCCTCAGGGCCGTAGGACATGGAGAGGATAGGCACCAACTATGTTGCACCGCCACTAGATCGGGGTCGATTGACAGACACCGCTTGGCATCACTGTTTTCTTCAACGCTCGACGGAACCAAAACGTGGGCAGGCCTCCTGTTGCTGGAATGCAGACTACGAAGGCGCAAACATGTATGAGATGCATTTGGCCACTCACGATCTGTCGGAACTTGATCTCTGATCACCTCTCCAAGATTCGGGTGTCGAAATCCCCTCTCCTGTACCGCTGACAGCGCTGTTTTCGAGTCACATGCAGCCTTGAGTGAGCGTACGCGGAGGTTGTGTCTGTGTCTGTTGCTATGCTGCCCCTCCTATCATTTCTCTTTACACTCAGGGATTTTGCGTGTAGCAGACACAGGAGAGTCCTGATGGCGACATCAATGCCGACCGGCTACCGGCAGAATGCGCCCCGACCACAATGGCACCAAGCGTCCCTCGGGGATCCGATGCCTCGATGCGACTCGTACAGAAGGTGGAAGCTAAATCTTGTCTCGGTGAGAGTATCCATTGTCTTACATCTAGATCTAGGAGGTAACCTAGGGAAGAGTTCACTAGGAGGATCGAGAGGACAGCCACCCTACGTAATGTAATCCATGTAATCTCGAGTAGGGTGAGTCTTTTCTGCGGGTCATGAATTTCGAAGACTATGAAACGTTCACACGATTATTCCCAATACTCGCCATCATCGCGACGGTACCGCTGGAAAATAGTGTCTAATGAAATCAGCGCACATAGAAACGCTGAAAATTCAATCTGTAGGTGATCTTATCACTGATGGCATCGATCTTATCTTATCACCTTTCTCCTTCTAAACTCCACTTAGTGTCTGCTCACAAGGACTCTCATGGGGCTCAAAGTCATCGTCACAGGCAAGCCCAATTGAATCGGTCTATTTCACATATTCCTGAATATCAGAGAAGGTGCTTCAGGTGTTCTGGGATCCGCCATCCGAGATGCCTTCAACGCCGCAAATACGGAACTACTCAGCCTCTCTCACACGCGATCTGGCGATAACCTGACGCAGCTGGACCTTCTCGACTTTCCTGCAGTAGAAAAGGTCTTTGGGGAGTTTAAACCAGACTGTGAGATCCACCCATAGCTCTCCCTCGATCTGAGCCCTTGACGCGCTTGGGATCAGGGGTGATTCATTGCGCAGCGGAACGTCGACCAGACGTCGCAGAGAAAGTATGCACTTTTCGAACATCTTATCGAGTATCTGACATGTCCACCCGGCGTTAGGATCCTGAAGCAGCCCGCAAAGTGATATTCGCGCTCCACTCTTCCATTGAATGACTGGCTTAGTGACCCACATGTAGCTAAACGCTGCAGTGCCCTTGCACCTAGCAAAGCTCTCCAAGACCCTGGGCTTCACTCTTGTGTACATCTCCACCGGTGCGTCCATCGCCTGACGATCACAGCCTCCTCGTTATGACTACCCAGACTACGTGTTTGACGGAACGGCTCCACCGTATTTCCCGACTTCGAAGCCTCACCCGCTGCAATTGTACGGCGAGACTAAGCTTGCTGGAGAAGAGGCTGTTCGAGACGGGAACTCCGTCATTCTGCGCGTCCCCGTCCTGTGCGTCGTTCCGCTCCGGCGTTCCGTTCCCGCCGAGTCGGACGGTATAGCTGCTGACAGCACACAGCTATGGACCGGCACCAAACAACTCGGACAGTGCTGTGAACATCCTTCTCGATGTGGTCCAGGATCAATCGGGCAAGACATACAAGATGGATCACTTCGCAACCCGATACCCCACCAACGTCATCGATATTGCCAACTTTCTCGCGAGATTGACGGGCGAGTTCTCCCTGCCCGTGGTTACGGAATGACCAGTGTGCTCACTTTGGTGTAGCCCTGAAGGAGCCTCTTCCTGCCATCATCCACTATTCCGGCGCGGAACCATTCACGAAATACGAGATGTGTCTCATCTTCAGCAAGATCCTCGGCGTTCCTCACGCCCATATCATCCCAGATGCGGAGCCTCCTAGTGGAGCTGGAGCGACAACGCGACCTCGCAACTGCCAGCTGGACACCGCAGCGACGGAGGACCTGGGACTGGAAGATGGACTCGGGCTCTCCCTGTTCGAAGAGTGGTGGACTGTGCATTTGAAGAAATGAATCGCCACATGGCATGTATCATACAACGCGCTTTCAGCTCTGTTGGGTAACGTCCAGACGAGTGATCGCTTCCTGGGCAACCGCAACACCCTCCTCAAGTCCAATCTTCCTTGACTGGTCAATCGCAGAGCGATAGTAAGAGGTCGCTTGCTTTGCATCGCCATCGAGCTGTCAGCTGGTCAACTCCAGTCACGATATATCGTCCATCGCTACCGACCTCTCGCAACATGCCAGAATTGAACAACGCGACAGCCAAGGCGAGTTCGCAAGTCGGAATTGATTCCGTGGAGCGCTTCCTTGCGGCTTGTATCGTCGCAAGAGCGTTTTTGGCCCAGCTTTCAGCATATTGACGGCGCTGAGGCGAAGATGCTGGGTTGACCAGTTCAGAAAGAGTGTTCATCAGATCGGCTCCTGACAGAAAATGAGACGGGTCATAATGTGCAGCACAACCGACACACCTTGACACATTTCTTCCGGCGAAGAGTTTCCGGATACCAAGAGAGTGATGGTTTGCACGTATAATGGCATTGCATATCTGGAATGTGTTGAAGACTTGTTACGGGGGATGCGTGAAACAGACGCACTCCATTTTTCCCGACTTGCCGTAAAAGGCCCCCAATTCTAGTAGTGGGACAGCGATATCTGTTCCAGTCATCCACGGCGGGAATTGTACTTTCGCGAAGTCAATCGTTTGCCCTTCAGCAAAGCATGTTTCCTGAACAAGTTTCAAGATTCCCTCCACTGTCCACACACGCAGGGCCTCCTCCTCCTCGACTGACCAAGACACAGTCGGGTCTCCGCCGAGGGACGCCATTTTGACCGCGATTGATACAGCCCGCAGCCTTTCTGGCCCAGACAAGGTCACATCAGGAGCTCTGAGCACACCTAGAGCTTCTGATAGCAGCTCAAACGCATGTTTTTTGTCTCCATTCTCCTCCAGTTCGCCCGCGAGGTCCACAGCTATGCCTGTTAGCTTCAAGTACGGCTCAGACTTGAAGGATTCGATCGGAATTCGTTGGGCGGCCTCCCACGCTCTAACAGGCAGTATGTAAGTGTTCAAGAATGCATGATTCGAAGGGTGCACGTACAATCTTTTGAAATACACGCTCCCTTCTCTGTCTCCTGCATGCTGAGCCGCAATTCCACGCTTAAGATCCGCGCGGACTTCGGGGGGAAAGAGGTTGCGCCAATTATCATAGTAGTCATAACTGTCTCACTGAGATTGAATAGATTCCAGAAGAAGAAGCGAAATGTGGCACGTACCAGGCGTATGATAGTGAAGCAACGCCGATGACACCGAGGGCCCCGATCCAGGTGTTATGATTTAAGCGAGTGGAGGAATTTGGGACAGATTGGGATGATAAATGTCGCCTTAGGAATGAATTGGGAGAAGAAGGGCTTCGTCGGGTGCATGTCAGAGGTAACCGGAGGAAACGAGGTTTCAAGTTCATGAGATGGACAGCCAGGACAGAGCAATTGACGTCATCATACCAGTCCTGATCACAACAATCGGAATCATTCATGGAAGCAGTATGCAAGTATTCACAGACGACGAACGGACTAGTCCAGGCTTGTACACAACGTATGTCGAGGAGCACTCGGGCAGTCGTTATATGCCCTGGATGTCTCCACTTCAAGAATATTCTTTACGGGTCGGGGAAGGATTGTTGGGAAAGAGTTCCTTCAATATACGATTGGCGGGATTCCCACAGTTTGGGACATTTGTGGCGTACCGAGAAATGCAAGAACTGGAGAAAAGGGTTCATAAATTGGAGCATGGGGCCTGTGCTGCGGAAACATTGGATTTATTGAATACTTAATTAGATCGACAGGAAAACGAAGGAAAACACATCGAGAGCAAATGCAAAGCGAGCAAGTCTAGTGGAGAACACTCATCAACTGGCTCTTGAATCGGAGATCTTGGAGAAGCTCCGCCAAAGATCCGTGGTGATTCTTCAGAACCTCCATACAATACGGAAGATCCCAGCCAGAAGCAACTGCGACGGCAGTCAGCTTGACGGAGCCTCCGCATCGAGCAAGGACGTTATCAAGATCTGCGTCTGAGCGCAAGTATATCAGAACGTATGGCAACAGCTTGAGGTAGTCCCGAACCTGAGAACGCATCGACGCGACTGCCAGCGATCGTGCGCACGATTACTCGGGCTCTCGCCATCGTTTTGATATTGTGCGGCTGGACATTGACCATCTAACACGCAATTCAGATTCTTCACAGTAACTGCTACACAGATATTGCAAACCAGGTTCCCGTAAGTGTTGCCGAGCTTGATTTGTATTCCAGTGGATATCATATTGAGAACCTCAAGGATGCAGGTAAGTCAACAGACGGGAAAGAAGACCACACAATCCCACCATTTTTGTCGCCGTCCCAGCCTTCATGCGAGTGCTACCAGCGATGACTTCAGGCCCGACCACAGGATTGATCACATAGTCGCAGTGGCCTTCATGATGAAGCAAGGTGAAAGGAGAGCAAACTAAGCCGACAGTGAGTAGGCCGTACGCCCGGGCACTCTGAAGTGCCCCGAGAACATAGGGTGTACCGCCGGATGCGCTGATTCCAACGAGAGCGTCCGCTCGGCTAGGTAACAGGGAGCCAAGGTCGGCAGCACCAGCAGCACGTGAATCTTCAACTGACGGGCGGGGAGTCCGAAGTGCGCCATCGCCGCCAGCAGAAAGAGCGATGTACTGCATCGGATCTCTGTCGTACGAAGTGGGGAGGTCTGCCAAGTCCATGACACCGATTCTACGTGACAGCCCCGTCAGCCACGAAAGCCGACGTCCTAATATGCAACGCACCTTCCGCTGGTCCCAGCTCCCATATACAACAAACGTCCATCCTCCAGTAGTCGCTCCACTATACGATCAATCACGTCTGCAATCACAGGAGTTACCACCTCCACCGCTGAGGCTACCATGGCGTCTTGTGCATTGATGGCTCTGCACATCTCCAGTGTACCGAGCTTGTCGATCTTCGTTGTGAGAGGATTAACGTCCTCCAGACACATCTCTGACAGCGAGGCGCGATGATCCGGATGTCTAGGAGCCGAAGGCAGGGATGAAGAAGATGCGAGGGATCCAGCAAGAGCGGCGAGAGCCGAGACTGAGGATCCACGCGCGTCATTGAACCAACTGGGCCTGTGGACCTCGTCTTCTTTCCCTTCCTTCCAAGAGGACATATCGCATTCAAGTGTCCCTCGGTCTAGTGGAGGTGCGATGCAGATAGTGGTTTGTAGACGAGCATATCTCCTGCTGTTGAATATATATCTCCGATTTCCAATTTCAAGCCGCCAGGAAAAACGTTTGCCAAGTGTATGATATCTGCGATCGTCGACTGCAGATATCGGAGTTGCAAGGAGTTATGAAGTTATCGAGCATGAAAAGCGGCGAGATGACACAGAGGGTCTAAAGCCGACAACAGGGGTTCGGTCTGTTCAGGGCGGGGACGGCAAGCAAGCCGATAGCAAGGGGGATCGATGGGAGCATGAACGTAGCTGAATGTCGTCGGCCGAAAGGTTTGATCCATCTCGCTTGCAGTTTGATCTAGACTTCGTTTGCAGTAGACCCCAGTTTCGACTTGAATGAGACCATCATTCAGGTGGTACGACCAGAGCCGAGGCTGAAGTGCTCAGCTTTGGAGTCTTGCGCCCAGCCGGTGCCCTGACGGTGGCCGCCATGTGAACCCTGCGCAAGGCAAAAATATGAAAACAGCTTTATCGAGGCGCTTGCACTCAATGAACCCAAACGTTTCAATTACGCGCGCGCCTTGTGAACCGAATAGAAGGCGTCTATCGAGTCGAAATACATGGTTGTATAAGTACCGAAAGGAATCGCACAAGTGTTCTATAACTAGAGCTGCCAGCAAGCTGAGTCTATGATATGTGCCATGTAATACTCCAAATGTTCCATCGTACAGAGCAAAGACACCCCGACCTCTACTTTCCCATCGTTCTGAAGAACACAAGTCCGGCGAGAGCAATCGAATAACCTGATCAAAGTAAGAGACGAAACATCGATTTTTAGGCCGCGGCGTACCGAAAACTTGCAAAGGTGAAACCTGAGCACTGAAAAGGATGACAGATCCAGTGATCAACAGAATGTCCTGAAAGCAGATCAGTTTCATTCTAGCGTACGTGCAAAACACGAACCTTGAGCACACCGGCCAGCGTGAGCACCAGTCCGCTGCCCACCCCAACCAAAAACACGGCGGCCACGTTGAGCAAGAAGGCGACCGCTGCGTTGCTGATCAAGATGAGCGGTCCGATGCGGGCAAGTTCGTAGAAGGGCTGCAGTCCCTCGGTGAAGGGGAGGAACACGAGATTGATCATGGCGCAAACGGGCGCATAGTAGTGAAGCGAAACCAGCGGGTCCATCTTCATGCCGTGAAGCAAGACCTCAATCATCACAAGTCTGGCAGCCTCGAAGCCGACCGCGGCAGCTTGGATGATGAAACCGAGCAGAAGGAAATGCCGTTCGCCGGTGGATGTAAGCGCGACACCGAACGAGATCATGAAGACGATCACGCCGAGTTTGCGATTCGGCTCTGAGATGCGGAATGCCCATGAGATGATCAGGACGGCGACGGCATTGAACGCCTGTGGAGCATGCTCAGATGGTGGCGTTTCGATGGAATCAAATACTCACCTTGAGCATTTGGATGTACGACACGCTGAGATAAAGGTACGCGGTGTTGCTGAGAATGAGACTGCCACTGAAAAGCACGCCAATAGGGAGAATGGACCGGAGGAACATGTCCTTGCTCATGTTGATGTCCTTCGTTCCGTCTAGGAGGTTTGTCGTTCGCTGTAACACACGGGTACCGATGGCCTACGCGAGAATCATGAGCATAATTAATAAGAAAGAGCGCTTTTGCGCGACGCACAGAGAACGTGAGATGCCATGTAACGAGGAATACGGGATACTTGAATTCAAGATCGGAGTACAAGTAATTATTGTAGAGAATGACGGAGACGGAGAGGGCCATCCAGACAGGTATGATGACGAAGATGGGCACTTTCGGTTTCGGTTTGGCGGCGGGGGTGACGGAGACGGGGGCGGGTAACGAGTTGGAGAATGACTCTCCCTCATCATCTTTGAGCGAGGTCAGAGAAACGGATTGGATTTTGTCGTCTTGGATGGATGACATAGTGGTAACGCTGCGAAATTTGAGCATAAGAAACGCTTTGAGAAAAGAGGAATGCCACGAACAGTGACTGGGTTCAATGCAGGACAGGAAATGGGAAAGGGAGACAGATGGCCGTGTGTGTGAGGGCGCTTTGAGTGGCAGTGCAATATGTCAAGAATCGGAGGGCTTCTTCCGTGTCACGATGAGAAGCGCGATAAATTGCTGTGGTCCAGCAGTCGTCTCTCTCGGAATAAGCCGAGACAGCGCGGTAGTAGTCACCGCTCAATGCAATCTGCCCTCAACGCGTCGAGTTCTATCTACGGAGACTTCATTCGCGGCAAACTTCTCCACAATTTCTCAAGCCCAACTGTTTACGTGGCGATGCCGCGGTACACGGGCCGTTATTCGTGCCAATCTCGGCCCTCAGCGCGTTCACATCATGGATACTCTGATCGCCTCCCGAACACGAGTGTTGACTTGATCTCTTGTAAAGATGAAAAGTTGGCGGGCGGAGGCTGCTGAGCACAATCATCATTGCGCACACTGGGGGGAGGGCAGATGATTATTTTTTTTGAAGTATATGCGGGGAACATGAATCTCCTGCGTGAGGTCGCACATTGACAAAGATACCCAACGAAAGGTGGCAGGGAAGGATGAGACGAAGTAAGAAGTTCCAAATCGATGTTTCGACCGATGCTATTCGCAGACAGCTACTGTAGCTCGTTGTAGTTTTGTGAGACATCAAGTACAGGCGATCTCCTGCGTGCTTCCACCCGACACTGCAAGACATAACGCCCTGACCTTGAATACGCGGATGAGGACAGACAGTCAATCGCGATCGCGCGAGGCTCCATTTGCAGCAGAAGTTCTTTGGGCCATTTTGAATGCTCGTCAACGCGACGGACAACGTGATCATTCGTTCAATTGCACTCCAAACGTCGGCCCTTTTGCGCATCCCTTGGTCCAATGGGGCAGTCGTCGAGATTGGTTATGCGCTAATAGCGAATCGGTGGTATCGGCTCCGCCCGAGTCGCGCTCAGATCGACAGCCTGATCGATTGCATCGTCAACTTCGCCTATGAGAACGCTGGACAGGAGCAAACACGGTCAAAAACGGCTTCTTGTGCAGAGATATACGCACATCATGTCGCCTTTTACCAGGTACAGTCCTAGAGGGACCTCCTCCACGCCTTCCTCCATGCTATAGACTCGCTCCTTGGATTCTGATAAGACCACGTTCGACTTTTGGTCAAAACCGGCTAGGATGCCCTTTCTGACGCGTGAGAGATAGCCAATGGAAAACTGAGAATGAGTACAATGATCACGCGTCCGTCCTGCAGAATAAGAGTGACGCGACCTGGAGACAGCTGCAATCAGGAGACAGTAAAGAGCATCGATCTCAAAAGCGTACGGTCGACATAGCCTTGCAAACTAGACATGGACGTTGAGGCAGACTCTACCTGTTTGGCCGCCAAACACTGCGAGACAGAACGGCAAGGGTGTCGGGCCGGCCCGGTCACCAATGCACGTGAGTGGAGTGCACGATCACGTGAGAATTATTGAAAAGCATCGTGTAGAAAGCTAAATACAAGCTATTTAGTTATACATGATTGTTCTCATATGTGCATGGTGTTATCATAGAGTGGCATATTTCCCGAAGGGAGTTGATTCAGTGGTTGAGGCCGCTTGTGGCACGGAGGGCTGCTCCGCGGTAGTAGATGTAGGCAGGGCTGGGTAGATGAGATAAGCAAGTTCAATTGCATCATCAGGATCGCTTACAAAGGGAATCCCAAGAGGATCGCAATTCCTGTGTAGACGTGAATCTCTAAATCATCACATTTCCAAGAGGACACTCACCTCCCAAAAGTGTGTTGCCCCATCCGAACCCCATTTTAGTGAACATGGCATGACCAAACAGAGGAAAAGAAAAGCCGAGCATAGACCGGAACAGCTATTTCAGAGTGTTCAGATAAGCCGTGGCATCTTTGTGAGCGAAACTCGTACAAATGCAGCAGAAAGCGCGCTGGCGGCGTACTTGAAAGAGTCGACGAGGTAGAGTTGGATGGGCAAGAAGGTAGTCATCATCCCTGTGAACGATCAGTGAGCAAGGATTGATTCATCTGAGACGTCGTTCGAACCGTATCCGAAGATACCGGAGCCTATCACCGGCATAATCCAATGCAACTTTGCTTGGGCCGACCAGCCATACCACCTGTGAAAGGTGAATCTCAGTATCTATAGTCGTCAGAACTTATTCAAGGCCCTACAATAAGCCAAGAGGGACAAAGACCGAGCCGATGAACATGGGCGGGATTCGCATTTCCGGTTCACCAACTCCACCGTTCTTATCAGCTAGCTGTGGAAAGTCAGTCCGACCTAAATCACGCACACAGCCAACGGGGTCGACTCACATATTTGTAGAAGACGTTGGAGTATCGGGCATTGCAGAATGCAGCCAACATGAAACCTGCACCCAGACCACCGTACATCAAGCCACATGTCTCGATAGAAAACCCGTATGTTTTGCGAAAGAACGCTGCAGATATTTCGAATTAGCACGGCGTTTTCAAAAGTCTGGAGAGAAGAAAAGACAAACCATTCAAAGTTGCGAAGAAGAGGTAGTATATCCTGTCACATAGGAAAGATGGGCTGATCAGTGCACCTTCGTCGGCCAACGGTGCATAGACTAACCCATACATGCTGTGAAGATTCGTTCGGAAATGACGCTGAAAGCAAGAAAAAAGAAAACTTACAAGGCCATATACAAGCTCAGAGTAAAGCAAATGAAGCTGTGCGTTAATAGATGCAGAGGCCGGCTGAAGTTTGTCCAGAGGAAGTTAATTTTCTTCGGCAGGCTATGAACGCCGTCCGCGAGCTGAGGGGTCTTTTCTGGGTCCGTGGGGTGTGGGGTCACCCGGAGTTTAACAAGTGGACCGTAGGTTTCCCTGAACGAGTTCGGCTGATGAAGCAGAAAAAAACTTGAAAGGGACTTACTTCAAGAAAGGCACTCCGATGAGACCTGCTAGTGCGGTGACACCTAACGGTATTCAGATTCTGAGAGAGCTCGGAAGAGGGTGATACTCACCTGCCAGGACGAAATACACATATTGGACTCCGACTAATTGTGCAATGAAGCCTGTGAAAAGCTCAGGATTCGAAGCTGGGAGGAAGAAGTCAACTGACCTCCAGCGATCGGTCCCACGACTAGATGATATGCATGAGTTCCTCATTTAATCAACGGAGTTGTCAGGTACCTGGTCCAAGCAAGGGTCCAACGTTGAATAAGGCCATGGCCGAGGCCCGTTCTCGCTCGCTGAAAAGATCGCTGACAACAGCTCCTCCGCAAGCGACTGGTGCGCTTCCTGAGAATCCAGCTGCGCTCAAAATCAGCCTTCAAAAATAATAATTAATGAGGTCTTTTCACTCACCGAGGAAACGAAATACGAGAAGGGTGGCTGTATTCGGTGCAAAAGCACAACCCAAATGGAATACAATACTGAACATGTTTCCGGCGTGAAGAATCTGAGGATTTCGTCGACTTAGTGTTCGCTCAGATGTCCCAAATTGTGTAGCGCACCCATCTCCTGAAAATTGCGGCAACATGGTTGATCAGTCTTGGCCAGTCGATCGAAAGGAAAAAAAAAACTCGCCTTCCGTACATTTCCTAAAGATAGTAAAATCAGTTCTGCGTGGCGTGGAAACGAGCAAATGCACTCACCGACAACGGAGCCAAAAACAAAGGTCCAATCCCGAAAGAAAGCAAAAAAATCGAAAGCGTCATCGCGAGGATGGTCTCGTTGTCGATGTTGAATTTAGCGGCGATTTCGGAAAGTCCCGGGGACATAATAGAGCTCGAAAGTGGGGACACGAACATGTAGAAAGAAACCTGAGTGCTTCAGAGAAAAACTGATGCGTCTGGGCGGGTGAACCACATACAATAGATACGATGCTCCATTTCCTGCCATTCGACCAGTTGCGCGGATTACGAGGATCCGAGAGCCATTCGTCGGGCGGGGCAGTTTTCAAGTCGCTCAGTCCAGTTTCCTGCGAGAACAGAGGCGGTGGCTGAGGCTTAAACTTGGCCAGCGATCCGGGAAGGTTGGAACTCGAGTGGAGGGTAGCATCATCGGCTTCATGGTCATTCTCGGGCCCGCCGAGATGAGTGATGGAAGAGGAACAGCTAAAAGACATCGTCCAGACGAATTTGAAGAAGGGGAGAAGGGAAAATCAGGTGGGAAGAGAAGTGGAATTGGGGCGTCGATGGGAGCCTTGCGTGATTTTATACCAGTCTGAGAGTAGTCCAGAGCGCACCACTCGACCAGGGCAGACCAGGATCAGCCGCAGATGCCTCCGTTCCCTCGCTCTCCGAGAGCAACCGTGCCAGCAGAACTGCGCATAGCAGCACATCGGTGGGTCAAGCATGGCTGGTGAGGGTGAGGTGTGTCTGGAGATGAAGTTACGGTCAAACCTTCTCTGACAGAGGTTCGGTTGCGTTCGTTGTGCCAGTTGCTGCGGCGGCCAATTCTGATGAGGTGTGTCCGCAAGGTATTCTGATTCGCGAAGCAGTCTCGCACAACTACGGTGCAGAAACGGCGAGAAGTTTTGGTACATTCCAAGGCCTCGAGATGTTCAGCCCATCACCTGGGAAAAATCGGAGCAGAAGTCGCGCATCCTCTGACAAGAGGGACTTTTGCTAGCGTATTCCACTGAGAAGAGCCATGTAGCGCGCGACACTGGACCGTCCGTTGGATGGCATGCAGAGAAGCAGTCGACGGCAGTATAGATGGCCGGTGGCCAATCCTTCCGCGATGATTGATCGGACCGAACACGCGAGAAAACGCCAAAATGAAGGGACAAACTTTCTCGCTCGAGTCTCCTCGGTAATAGTCTATACATTTGATAAGTTCCATTCAACCAGACAAAGAAAGCCAAGCTTGATAAGACTTCCAGGCGAGACGGGCACCTCGCGCATGAGCGTGTACGAAATGAAGCCACACATCCCGCACATGGGGTTGAAACAGCCACAATCTGTGGGGAATTTGATTCCAAAAGCAGTCGTCGGCTAACGCATAACGAATCGAGCTGAAATGTGCCGCAAACCAGAGCATTGAGACATCCGAGTCAAGTTACGAAAAGTACAATGAATCTTGCAGATTTTAGGGCGTTCTCGACATGACCAACAGCGATTGCGACATTCAGAGATGAGTGACGGACTGTCTTACAAATTATTTCGAGACAGCGACGTCACTTGAATAGCAAGAGAATGGGAGAAAATACCTGCGAAAAGCTCTCAAAGTCGCAATTAATTGGAGGCTGAGGCGAGATCCAGGGCTCGTCAACGACGCAACCGTAAAAGGGAATATGCGATCACGTTTTCCGTTCTGAGCGTCAAGCGGACGACGTTGTTTGCTTCAGCTTGTCCTGCACTTGCTACGAAATCTTGCTCTCTTTCTACACACTTGGGATAGCGATGAGGTGGACGGCTCCACCAACCCGACGTGAAGTTTCCCTCGCGCTATTCTCCCTCATCGTCTTCGCTCTTTCATATAATATCGACTCTACAGTACGCATCGTTGGCGTCAGCCGAGAGAACGCGGTCTTGTCCCGGCTTGGTTTCGGCGGCAACAGTGCGCTGGGTCCAGACGGGATACGTATTTCCGGTGCACAGGACGCGTTGGAGCGAGCCATATACGGCGAATGGGCCTGGCAGGAAGGAGAGGTCGCCGGAGATGCTGCTGGCTCTGGTCAGGCCAAGGGTGTGGGCCGTTTCGGTGCCATGTGGTTAGGGAAACGCGATATTGGGGAAGTCAGAAGTCGGACATTGGGGCAGTTAACCGTGGATCAGGCTATCTGGCGGTGGGGCGACGACGTGCCCAGGGGCAAAGTGGTTAAGCATGTTCCTGGTGAGTTCGCAACGCTTCGGACTGCGCTCAGAACATTGACACCGCACAGGCTACACAACAGTGGACAATATTATTTTATTCAATGGGACCATGAATATCGTTACCGAAGATCCCGAAAGCGTACCGCCGCTGTCGCATATAGTCTTATCCACAGACTTGAACAAATGGAACGTCCTCACACCTGATCAAGCGCGACGTAAATTCGGATCCTACGGCGGAAGGTGAGGCCTACATATATTGCATGTCGATGGTTACTGAACTGGTCCTCAGAATCTCCGGTGTTTCTTGGATGGGAGCAGACTCTTCCCCGCACAATTCGACCCTGATTGCTCTATGGCGGGCATACAGCATGCTTGATCCTGACATCGGACCCGATGGAGTTACCAAGTTGTCTCCTCCCCGACGACTAATTTATCCCTATTATGGATTCTTCACCGACCCGAATCCGGTGCACGCCGATGTGACCACGAGACGACAGCGAGTGGTCAATGGAATTCACCCTGAGCTGGTGAAAGCTGCTTTCCCACATCTGACTGTCATGTACTACGGAGACTGGGAGGATTACCACAAGCTGGGAGCACCGTTTGTTTTTGACCGACTGGTCGTAGCAGACCGGACGGCCGCTACCCATGGGGTCCGGGATGACGAGGCTATTTACGCTGCAGCTTTCAAAGCGCAGGGACCTTCAGAACATTGGTGGGAACCAGTGCGCCGGACGTTAGCAACGTACTTCGAGGTCTACGGAGCCCAGGCACCGAAGAAGGTCGTCACATATGTCTCTCGACAGTCTCATGCAGATGGACTCCGACTCAGTCCCAGCGACCACAACGAATTTGTTGCAGCTTTGATGGACCTGGAGCGGGATGGTATTGAAGTGCATGTTGTCTCCGATGTTGATGGCGAGACATCCTGGAGTGACCGATTGCGTGCAATCACGCGCTCAACAGTGAGTTGGTCATGGTTTGCTGGCTGGATTCTAACGGACCACCCAAGGTTGTGGTCGGTGTTCATGACAATGGCTTAGTGGACTGCGCCTTCATGCAGCGGAATCCGCAAGCCACATTGATGGAACTCTTCCCACCTCAGACTTTCGCCCGAGATCAGGAAATCATCGCTCGATCGCTCAACATCCAGTACATGGCCTGGTGGAACGACAAGTGAGTTCTCGCTTCAAACCAGATTCTGCGCTAAACGCTGATACAGACGATTTACATCCGACAATCTTCCCGTTGTCTCCCCTCCCCATGATCACCATACTGTGCCTATCGACATCTCAGCGATGATCAAGTCCATTCGCCAAACATTACATTAGCATCACTGTATACTTTCCCATGATATATTATGTTCCACGACAGTTTCCTTCGATTGGTGTGGCTGCGCTAATGCGAGAGACGTGTTATTTGCACGTGTTAGGATTACGCCAGCGTGTCCCTTCATCATTACACTTATTCTACGGCCATGTCTTCACCCGGACAACTCCCTCCTGGCTGGATCGCAGAATGGTGAATGGGACTTCCATTTGACGCGCTTTTGTGCTCATAAATTTGTAGGAATGAAGCGAACCAGCGATACCTTTTCGTCGGTCTGTATCTTCAGTCATCTCCGTTCTGACCACGTTTGAACTTTACTTTTCACCCAGAGACGGCATCCGGCCATACACAATGGGAAGAGCCAACTGGTGCTCCTCAATCTCAAGGGCCTCCCGAAGCGAGCGTGCCGACTGCCGCGACACATGGACACGGAAAACGACGCCAGTATGCTGCAGGTCAGACTCAGGCGTACTATAGTACCGACCAGCTCAGTACCGCGGGTGCCGGATACTACAGCGGCGCGAGCAACGAGAGCACTTTGGTCAGCCAGGAAGCCGGCGGGCAGCTCTTCACACCCGGTCTTGCTGGGGAGGGACAGTTCCAGTCGCAGCAACAGGCCCCCGGCCAGCCCCAATATTTCCAGCCCGATCAGGGTGCGGGATACGCGCAACAGCCTATGGGGTATGGACAGCAGCAGCCTGCTTACGGGCAACAGCAGCCACCTGCCTTTGGCAAGAGCCCGATGGACAACCTCACCAACCAATTTGGCTCGATGGGAATGGGTGGACAGAAGCAGTTCCAACTGAACACGGTCAATCTCCTCACCTCTCCTCCGGATCCACGAGACCTGCACGTACCACCCCCTGAGATTCGTCTCCCGCCGGGCTCCAGTCTGTCGCCTGCCCCGACTGCCGTTGCCGACTATTCATACCAGCGCCTCACCATGAACGCGGTCCCCACGACATCCTCGTTACTAGGAAAGTCCAAGGTCCCTCTCGCATTGGTCATCACTCCCTACCGCACACTGGACGAGGGCGATGAAGCCATCCCTCTTGTTTCTGATGTTATTGCTCGGTGCCGGCGGTGCCGTATGTATATCAACCCATACGTCCAGTTCATCGATGGGGGCAACCGCTGGCGTTGCTGCATGTGCAATATGTCCAATGAGGTCCCGCAGACGTTCGATTGGGACCAAGCTCGCGGGCAGCCTGGTGATCGTTGGCAACGAGCTGAATTGAACCACTCAGTCGTGGAGTTTGTTGCGCCGACGGAATACATGGTCCGTGCACCCCAGCCGGCGGTGTACGTATTCCTCATCGACGTCAGCCACTCTGCGGTTCAATCCGGTTTGTTTTGTGTGGTTTATCTCACGACTTCCCCTCACTCCTCTGCGCAGGAATGGTGGCAACGGCAACTCGCGCTCTCCTGGAAAACCTGGATCGAATCCCGAATGATGAGAACATGACGAAGATTGGTATTATCTGCTACGACGTGTCTCTCTACTTTTTCTCTATGGTCGTGCGTGTTGACACTTCAACCTTCCGAACAAATACTTATATCTCAACAGCCGGGCAGCACAGAATCTAGCATGTTGGTTGTGTCGGATGTTGATGACGTCTTCCTCCCTAAGCCAACTGACCTCTTGGTGAACCTGACCGAGGCACGACCTGCATTGGAAGCTCTGTTGGGTACCATTGGGGACATGTTCAAGGACAACAACATCATCGGGAGTGCTTTGGGCCCTGCTTTGCAAGCTGGTTCGAAGCTTATGGTGCGTGCCCGTTTGTTTTCGACGCTCGTTGCCCATCTCTGACCGCTCTCATCATAGGCTCCGATCGGCGGTAAAATCTTGGCGCTCGCTTCCAGCCTTCCATCTGTCGGCGAAGGAGCTCTGAAGAATCGTGAAGATCCCAAAATTCTAGGAACGAGCAAGGAGTCGTCACTGCTGCAGGCCGCCAACTCGTTCTACAAAACGTTTGCGATTGATTGCTCAAGAGCACAGGTCACGGTGGATATGTTCCTGTTCAGTGCTGGATACCAGGACGTTGCGACACTAGGTGCGTTTTGCATTGCGATGTTTCTGCTGTTTCCGATTGCCCCTTGCAGCCAATCTGCCGCATTACACGACCGGTAACACCTACTATTACCCGGCTTTCAACGCCGCACGATCGGAGGACGCGATCAAGTTCGCTCACGAGTTTGGAGAGGTTGTGGCCATGCCTATCATGCTGGAGTGCATCACCCGTGTCCGTGCATCTAGGGGCCTTCGGATGGCATCGTTCCACGGCAACTTTTTCGTCCGATCGACAGATCTGTTGGCGATGCCGACCGTCCCTCAGAACCAGTCGTATGCCATCGAGGTGGAGATCGAGGACACGTTGACGACTCCGTTCGTGGTGCTCCAGACTGGCATGCTCCACACAACATGCTTTGGTGCGTGGATAGTCTGTTTCACATATGCTTTCGGTGCTCATTTTGTTTTTGTTCTATGAAGGCGAGAGACGACTGCGTGTGGTGACCACTGCCTACCCTACGACCAGCAACCTTTCCGAGGTGTTCGCTTCCGTGGACCAGATCGCGGTCGCGACTTTGTTGGCGAACAAAGCAGTGGAGCGTTCTTTGTCGTACAAGCTGGAGGATGCTCGTGACTACATCTTCAAGAGACTGGTCGACATCTTGATTGCTTACAAGAGCAGTATGACGGCTGCTGGAGCTGGAGCCAGTGCCCAGCTTGCGATTGCGGAGAACACCAAGATGTTGCCGGTGCTGGTCCTCGGCTTGCTCAAAAATGTGAGTCAGATAAAAATGAGGTGTGCCTACGAGCGTATGCTAAACCAATCGCATGACAGGTCGGCATCCGGCAAAGTGCTCAAGTCCCGCCGGACATCAGGGCTTACTCCCAATCGCTGCTCACGTCGCTGCCGTCTCAGCTCCTGGTTCCGTACCTTTATCCTTGCTTCTATTCTCTGCACACGATGCCGCCCGAGGCTGGCACCGTGGGCGAACAGGGTGTGATTATGCCTCCGGCCCTGCCTTTGACTTCGGAGAGATTAGAACGGCATGGTCTTTTCCTGATTGAGGACGGGCAGGTTATCTTCCTGTGGGTGGGACGAGATGCCGTGCCCCAATTGATCATGGATGTATTTGATCTGCCGAATTACGACAGTCTTCGGGGTGGGAAGGTGAGGATTGTGCTCTGGGTTGCGACCGGCTCTGACGTGCTGCGTAGACGACGCTGCCGCTGTTAGACAACCCGTTCTCGCAGCGGGTGAATGCTGTGATCCAGAAGACGCGTGAGATGCGGCGTGGGGTGTTCTACCCTCATCTGTACGTCGTCAAGGAAGATGGCGAGCCGCCTCTGCGTCTGTGGGCTCTTAGCTCGCTCATCCAAGACCGCGCGGATGTGCTTCCAAGCTACCAACAATTCATCAACCAGCTCAAGGACAAGGTGCCGTAAACCACGTGTGTCTGTTATTGCATTTCTGACGAGGACTTCCCAGGTAAATGGGGTGAACTATTGAGCACATTTTTACTGTAAAACTATATATTTCATTATGGAGCGAAGGAAATTAGCATTGGGTGTGACGTTACCATTACAGTACGCAGAACGCAGTTCCTTTGGACGTGGCACACGGCTCGGTGTGTCCGGCAGCGAAATTGAGCAGCCGGGCAAGCACTGAAGACAAGCTGACTAGGCGAGACGCAGAGAATGATCACGAGACGGCAGCGTACCTTCAAAGTACGGCAGTTTGGGATTGCCCTCCGCGTCGAAGAGAGTTCCCATGTGCTGCAGCAGCCAGTTCAGGAGAAGGATAGGATGCAGACCGCGTCATTGGCGTACCACACCCGTGTTGAAAGCGTTCAGCCACGATTCGTCGTCCTGTCGATTCAAGTCAGCCGGTGTCGATTCCTATGAGTTGGATGTTATGAACGCGATTGTCCCAGACAAGAAACTCGTTGCAGTTTGAGCTGTAGAGACAAGAATCGAGAATGTCTCCAAAGATGGAAGCCTGCCACCGCAGGCTTTCGGTCGTGTTGTCAGGAAGCCAGACGTCCATTTCCGTGATCGCGCCCGTGAGGCCCATGTTCTACGTCCAGGAAACATCAGCAGGAGAACCACGTTGAATTTCGACGATCATCAAGCCAACCTTGAGACGGTCCATAGTAAAGTGGGCCGATTCCTTTGACGGGAAGGCCTGTGGATTTGCGCTGTAATGGGATTGGATGCCGATTCCGTCGATGGGCGCTTTGGCGGCTTGCAGCTGCGATATCAGTTTGAAGGCGCATTCGGTTTTGGCTTGCGACGGAAAGTCTCCACCGCTGGGAGAGTCAGTGGATCACAGTCTTCGAAGGCGAGGGGAGAAGGTATATTACACTATTAGCATGAAAGTTAAATTCGTTTTGTTCGGCGTAAAAGACGCACTGTTGTAATCGTTGTAGAAAAGCTGGATATCAGCACCGAGTTTCCGGCGAGCCTTGCCAGCGTTGATGAACGCAGTGTTCACGAATGAGTAGTCGGGGAAGAGCACAGCCGATGTGTTGTCGCCGTCGACGGCAAAGTTCGGCCATCTGCATCGTGCATAGGATGCGATCTCCAGCCATAACTCAACCGTGACGTACCTGCCGGCACTCACGACACAGTCGACGAGATCCATCCCGGGGACGGCAGCATCCGATCTATGAACGAAGATCTGCAAGGGGCGACAGCCGGTCAGTCATTCAGACGCACAGCGCTTCGTTCACGACGTCCCAGGACTTGAGCTTGCCTCCAAGCCCGTGAATGACGGACTGAACCGCGGTCGGTATGATCGTGTCGTTCAGCTGATCCACGGTAAACGCCGAGGTATTGTTGACAAGCCAATCGGGTCTCTGATTGTGCCAGAACCTGTGGCAGGTGTCACCTCGAGCACGCGCTGTGCGGATGCCTCCTCGTACGTGTTATGGCTAGACAAGTCGTGTCGATCACAGGGGAATGAATACCGGAACCGACTCACCCTCGAAAGGCGATTCCGTGCTGGAAGGCATAGTCGCGCAGGCCCTCACAAGCAGTCAAATTGAAGACCCCCTCTTGCGGTTCGTTCGAGAACCATTTGCAATCGTTCTCTGCGACTGCGAGATTCCAGGTGTCTTTGAAGCGGGCCTACGAACATTCGAATACCCATCAGAGCTTGGCGAGACGATGCCGGCCCGGCACTGACACTGGTCCAAGCGGCATTCTGGGGCGACACGCTCTGATCAGCGAGTGTGCTCCCGAAGTAGAACGTAGAGCCCTTGAGCTGCTTTTTGTTGATGTTATTGAGCACAGACACGAGGGTCAACTTGGACAGATTTTGGGGCTGGTATTGAGGAAGATCGGTCAACAGAGACACTTCTGGCGTGAAGCTGGCTGCCCAGGTCAGGGCAGGCAGCACGGCGGCCGCAGCTAGGAGATGCATGGAAAGACAGGCCGATATGACTCGCGGGTGTGGAGTGCTGAGCAATTAAAGAGGTCGCGGAGAATCTTCGGCCACACAAAGCTCTCACACAAATGCATCTTGGACGTCGAGAATCCTCGTCACTTGGGCAAGATCAGAAAGCGGCTGGAGCAGGGAGAAGTACTGCGTCTGGTCAGCTGAGACCCGGTTGGAAATGATTAATGGGCAGCTACAAGCCCACGCGGTACGATACATTGACTCTACAAGTCGCCTTCGCAGAAATATAAACAATATGGCTTCTATTCGTCTTTTTTGTGGTCATCATCGTCGCCCTCGTCGTCGGAGCGGTCGTCATCCGTTACATTCGTTACGATTGTCCTGAAATATAATGGTCAGGCGGACATCCAACCTGCAGATAAACCAACGCACCGATAAAGAACACGCATAATCAAGTAATACCAGAACAGGTTTAGAGCCTGGAGCAAGACCAGAGGAGCAAAGACCTGGTATTGCATCCACCAATTCAGATAAACACCCTCGGCCCAAATCCATTGCTTGGAAAAATCGCTGAGACGCCGTTCAGATATGAAACGCAAGACACCGAACCAAGACGGCTTACGGAATCAGATCGTATTGGGACCAGACAGACCACAGGATCACAAAGTTCAGGTAATGGCGGAAGTACCTGCAGTAAGTCAATTCGTTATCGTCGACGGGAGATTCTCAAAGACGCACGACCAGATGAATACAAACGAGAGGAACGACACAACTTTGGCTCGGTCGTATTGCATATAGTTCAGCATTTTGGAGAACTATCCATAATTGAGCTTGGGAGACAGAAAAGTCGAACAAGGCCTTACAGCAAAGATGGTATCCGGGAGATCCATGCTGATATACACCGCATTGCCAATCAAGGTCAAGTTGATCAGGTAACTCCATCTGCATAGGCGTGAGTGAACCTGAGTGGGATACGTGTTGGGACAAACTGACCCGACGAGCCAGAGAGTGACAAGATGGTGCGCGACCAATTCCGCATAGTCCTTACGGGGTTTTTCTAGCTTCAGGACCAGAACCATGAGCTCCTGCAGCCAATGTGCCATTTGCATGAGATAGTAGCGCTTCAGCTCCGGCTTCATGTCCCAGTGGGGATAATCTGAAGCGGATGAGAATGGAACCGGATTTAGGCATCAAGAGAGGGCGAACCTAGCCAAAAGTACTTCGTGTCATACCACCAGGTAGGTAGCTGAGACATGATGCGCTGGGTATCGTTTGTCAGTATACAGGACATAATAAACGTCGATATACTCACTACGCCCCAGAGACCCGAAATGAGGAAGTACACGCAGGTATAAAACTGCTCTCCGTACCGGTCAACTTTGGCAGGCTTTTTGATCCCGAAATAGCGGGCCAGCGCGCGACCCATCTTCACCGCGAAGGTCTGCCGGAAGCACGAGAAGAAAACAATGTAGTACGCGAGGAACAACAAGTCGAACCAGCCTTTGGCGTAGCGCGGGTCATCCGAGCTCGATTCGGGCACCCTGTGGGAGAGGAGGAACAAGGGAGCGAATGGGTTGGGAAGATGGCCGTCTGGTGCATATGCTGCCAGGGAAGGGACGAAGGGTTGAAAAAGACCCGCCAGACGTGGCGTTAACAGCTCCCAGTTGAAGTACAGGATTATGGGTATGGAAAGCAGTCTGAGCGATTCCACTGGCAATGTTCAGCTGGCGTTATTTAGAGCAGGAGGCGGACTGACGAGGTTCTACGGCCCATCGTAGCCAGGGACTAGCAGAAAGATGAGGTCAGGGCGTAAGCAGTGAATGCGACGTACTGGACGGTATGGTGGGCCATGGTCGTGGTCTTCGAAAAAGACGCGCTGGGCATCAACGGCATCACGAGGAAACCCCGCTTCTGAAGCTCCTAGCTCGCGGACTGATCACAACCAACAGCTACTACCACCAACGCACCCACACTCGTTTTATTTCGCCGCTCTTTAAACTGTCCTACATGCCCTCTTCAAGTTTCAGCTCTTTTGTGGCGATCGCTGTGTTGCTTTCGACCGCAGAACTGGCCGAGGCGCGCTCTTCACAACCCTCCAGGTCGCACAAACGACCTCGGCAACACCACGTCAACGAATACTACGCTCGCCAAGTTATGGCCTTGACATCCTCAAGCTACGACTACTGGTGGCCCTATCCACCCGCCACTCAAACTCAAACGAACTCTCCCACAAATTCCCCTGTGCCAACCAACACCCTCATAGTTGAACCTTTGGCGACAAACACGCCTGAGGTCGCTTTCTCGTTCGATTCAAGCACCTCAAGCATCCCGGCTAGTACCATCTCTGCCTCCTCCACACTCAGCTCCTCGTCTTTCTCAGGCTCAAGCTCGTCATTCTCATCGTCGAGCGCGTCGCCTTCATCTAGTCAGTCTGTCCTCTCTATCAGTGCGCTGCCTCCGTCAAACACAAGCATCCCTGCCAACTCTCATCGCAAACTCGAAATGGTATCGAGTACCAATCTCTTGTATATCGTTCCTGCTTGCGGGGTGGGTGGCCTTGTCATCGGCGGTCTCACGGCTTGGCTAGTTTATGGTTGCATCGCCCGCCGAAGTCTTCGCAAACGTGGTGATCTCATCGCTGGACCGGAATACAGACCACCGACGCCGAGTCTGGCGGCCAAAGTGGACCACGGAGAAGACGAAGACGACGAATGGGCCGGGAACGAGAAACACCGTGTCGAGGAGCTGGACGATGGCGTCGCAGCGATGTTTGTCGGTAACCTGCGAGGAAAGGGCGACAGAGTAGGCGGCGAGGACGAGGATGAAGACGAGGATCAGCGGGAGTCCGAGTCCGCGGGATTTCTTGACCCAGGAACGGCACAGACTCGGCCTCTTCGTGTCAAGTCCGTGGCGAGGACTGCAGCTCCATCTCGGGGCCGAACGATGCGCAGTGATCGCTCTCCGTCACCCACGCCTTCTGGGCGAACTTCTATCTTTTTCGATCGGCCAGACAGCGGCGATGAAGCTCCTTGGGAAACTCTGCGGCACAAAAGCATCAAACGAGGCATCCTAGAGCGTCTGCGTGATGAAGATAGCGAACGCGCTGGCTCTGGTTCGAAGGATCGCGTCAAACGCCGTGCCTGGCAGTCTCACGGTCGACACGATTCCGACATACGCATCCCCGACAACCAAGTCTCTCTCTCTCGAGCGACGTCCATGGCGACTGCTTCGCTTTCTCGTGCTGCATCCACTGTTAGTACGGCCATGGGGTTCCGCATTCTGTCCGAGTCACCCGCGCCGACCCCATTCAAGGAACAGAATTTCGCGTGGCCCAGTGTAGAGGAAGATAAGTACACCCGCGTGCCGCGACGCGTCGCCCGCAGCCGCAGTCCCGAAAAGCCAATGCCGAGTCCAGTCAAGTACACGCAACCGCTCCGGCGGGCTGCGAGCCCGGATGGGCCGTCCCGCAGCCGAGGGCGGAAGCGCAAAGGGCAATCTGCCGATGGACGTCTCTCACGGAAGCCGACTATTGAAGAGCAGTATCGCAGCGTGCTGCCTCGGAGTCCACCGTGTATATCCAGTCCCGTCCTTCATGAAGCATTGTGCTTCACCCCGCCCTCTCAATACACCGAAACTGTGGCTTCCTTTGCCGCTTTTGGTGTTCCGGATGAGCAAGAGCCCGTGAAACGGGGACGTAGACATTAGTAATGTGGCTTACTAGGTCACGCCGAATTGACGCGTCGCAGAACCACGTTTCCTCAATTCTCATCCAATGCACTGTCGAGCAGATTCATTTTTATTTCACCCCAATAACATGCCAACAAAAAGATCTAGTAAGGGCGGGCGGCAGCCTGACACTGAGAGCAGAGTGAATAAGTTGTTGTGAACGCAGCGGACAGTAACGCACGGCCTTGAGCTGCTCGAGATAGTACGAGCAGGACTGCATGTCGGCCTTCTCGAGGCACATGGTGAAATCTGGCACAGCGGAGGATTGTGAGTGGTCGGAAGCTGGAACTCGGGAGATTGCGCACCCTTTGCGGGCTGCTCGCAGCTCATGCTGGTCTGCTGCTGCTGCTGAGCAGGAGGTGCCTGAGCCTCGGTCGACTGAGCCTGTCCTCCGCCACCGAAGAGCATGCTCGAAAGACCGTGTCCGATGGTGCTTCCAACGGCAACGGAACCGGCGGTAGCTGCCATCTGGGCAAGCATACCAGGCCCCTGGGACGGGGCAGCGGCGGTGGGAGCGTGAGCAGCAGCCGCAGCCGGAGGTGCTGGGGCATGCGCCGCGTTGCCGTATCCAGCCGGGGCAGCAGCGGTATGCGCGCTACGGGTCTGCGCCGGGGCGGGTGCCGGAGCAGCGCGCGCAGAGGAGGATGAACGACCACGGGATTGACGCTGGAATGAGTGCGGTTGAGATTGAATTCGGGAGAACGCGAAAGCTTCGGCTTACAGGCATGATGGAGGAAGAAAAGAGATGAGCGGGAACTCAAGATGGAATCAACAGGTGTAAACTTTTGATGCTCTCTCTCTCTCGCCGGCGTGTCGTCCCGGTGTCCATCCGCTGCTATGCTACCAAGACCTCGGTAACCCCAAAGAAAAAGAGCAAAAAGCCGGCGCTCTCCCTTCTGAAGCCTTCTTCGAGCCGGCTGGCACCCCCTGCACCAGATGCAGACCTCAAGACGAGATTAATTCTGGCAGCTCACAAGAACTGGCAAAAGACACAAACACGGGATAATCCGCCTATAGATGAGACGGGAATGACGGAGGAAGAGGTGCAGGTTGCACACGTGGAACGGATTCTGCGAGAGCGCAAGCTTTTGAAGGAACAAGGGCGAGCAGTTCCCGACATTACCCTTCCCTTGCTAGGTTTGTTGTTCCCAGATGTTCTTGAACTTTCCTGTTCTCAATCGCTTCACAAGACCACATGCTGCCCTACGCTGTGAACTTCAAGACCTATTCTGAATACCCGACATGGCGCGACATGTACGACCAGTTCATGTTGAACAGGTTGAATGACGGGAAGAACGCCTTTTCGCAAGTCTGGTTCCTCCCTCTGTTCGGAATCAGCTAATAATTTGTGTTAGTATGCGACACATTGGTCTAGCTGATTCATTCCCCGGCGTGTCAATCGATCCTCACATGAGCTGGTACAAGTCTTGGTTCACCTTTGTGAAGCATAGCCTTCGGGCGCGGTCCGTCAAGTCGAACGCATGGGTTGCACCGATGCGACAAGAGTTTTTGGACTGCTACATCAAGCTGAACAAGGCCCTGATGCAGTTCGTCATATTCTCCTCCTAGTGCCGTTCTCTCGCTCATATACATCTTCTAGTAAATCCTCGCGACTGGAAGAGCTGGCAATGGAATCATACCTCGACGAAGCCCTTTCTCTCACTCAGCAGCGCGACCCCCAGCACCTCTACATCTGGCGGTTCCACCGTGAGGTCTCGCCCACGCGAATCTTGTCTCTGCGGGCCAGCGATGGTCATTTCGGCAAGGAGGCGCCGAAGACTGGAACGCGTGTCGGTGTGCAAGCACTCGTGCGCTTTGACACAGAGCAGAGTGTGGAGATATACGATCGCAAGGGCACTCCGCTGCACGAGCCGGCCGTCGGCGCCGAGCCCATGGCACCTGAGCCCGGCAGGTCGCTGACGATAGTCCCTGCCATTCCAAAAAGGGTTACTGAATATTTGGTGCTCGACAACCCCATGTACCTCGAGGGATCACGGTGGAGGTTCAGGGCCCGGCTGGAGCCTTTACCAGGGCGTACAGTTGCTGCGTAATCATAGAAGGAGCTTGTTATAATGCCGACCTCGTAATAGTGACGACCATTCACCTGCTCAGTGGAAATATCAAAAATGTGAATGATCAGGGCCGATGATGAGTTCTAGCTGTGCTGCAAGAACAAAAAATGATTCGACCCAGGTTCGAACTGAGGACCGCCTGTGAACAGAGCAGATAAGCTGCTGACTGTTAGACAGAAGTGATAACCAACTACACCATCGAACCGATGTTCGAAATGCACGTAAAAGTGATATGTCCAATGGTACTGATAGAACATTGTCCTACATCTCAAGATACATGACTGGTATTCAAGTCCTCTGTCGCTCGTCAAGATCACCAATTCCCGAAGCAGTAGTGACGGCACTGCCGACAGCCGGGACACTTTTGAAATGAACCGCCTGAAACTGCAACAGATGTGTGGTTACGGGAGCGGGATGCCGGACGTGGGTACGTACCGTGGAGGTGGGCATGCTCCCAAACTCGGCATTTTGGATCTTTTGAGATGCCGAGTGCAGTGCTACCCGCGAGTTGAGGCTGGCCAGCAGCGAGTTTGAATAGACTAGATCTCGTTGGATGACCAACGCACAGCTGTGGGAAATAAGCTCACTCACGGCGCGCGGCAACAACATAGCATGCCAGCCATATGACTTCAGTTGCTGCCAATTAGACATGATAATTCAGGGGGGCTTTCGACGTACAGTTTTCTTTCATGGTCACGAACTGGACAAGGGGAAGTTAATGCCAATGTCAGATCTGGCAAGTTTGCTCACGCAGATGAGGTTGACCAAGCCTGCTGCACTGAGAAAATCAGCATTTCAGAGCGTAGCGATACTGATTGAGAAGCACACCTGGTCAAAAGCCCCGTTTCTAAGCGCGGTCAGCGCTCATACATGGACCTTTCTAATAGATCACGCACCCATGGTCCACATAACGAGTTTATCTATCAGCGGCACAGTCCTTTTTCCCTGAATTTATCACTCTTGACTTAATTTTGCAACCACCTACCTGGCATCGAGCCCGGCCCGTCCTCTCCGCAGACACCACGTGATCGTACCAGCAATAAGCACATCATTCGCAGACGTGATGGCCCAGAGCGCGGTCAACAGCCAACCGAAGCGAGTCTCGAACTCTGGGATGGTCAGAGTTTTGAAGCCGTACACGCACACCAACGCGGATCCCAGCAGCCGCAAGAACGAGAGAAAGAGGCTCAGAGCCGGCAGCGGGAGCGAGTGAGATAGAGTGCGGATACGGTGGGCGAAGAACGCTTGCACTGGGGGAATCAAATTAACCCCTGTTACATGCAGCGAGATCTGGGAGCAGACCGAGTGCACCGATGAACCCTGAGAACAAGACTGCAACCGCGAGCGTCCGGGGGATCAGCACCAGTCGCTCAGGGTGCGTAAAGTTGGAGACTGTGATCGAGTACAGACTGTGTGCGATGCAGGCAGCGTGTACGACCTCGCACGTCCTGTGAGGGCATTCAGACGCGCGCCTTCAGACGACGCTTGCCACCAACCAGATGACCGCAACCTGTGAGTGTGAGCGACATATCCCTTCGACGGATAAGATGACTGACCATTAGCTTGACGCCCGGGCCATCGCGCATATACGTTCGATAGTAGAAATACGTCTGCAGTGTCGTGAGCCCGAAGAGTGTGTAGGACACGAGGACTCCGATCTCATATGCGCCTATAGAACATAATCAGTTCTCGACCGGAGCAATGTGCGCAGGCGCAACCAATAGTAGCGTTGAAGGAGGGAGACTCGAGGCCAGCCATGGTACCAACAGATGCAACAGGCGTCCGACGCCAGTTTATATTACTAGTCGACGGACGCGCTAGATTGTTCCCAGTGTGGTTCTATTCTGGCCCCAAAGCGCGTCTCCACCGCGGAAGCATTTTCAAACTGAGTGTGCAGTAAAGACCGCTAGATTCGGAACTAAGAAGTACGAGCGTGAGAAAGAGCATAGATTGCAACGTTAGAGGAATAACGATAGGTGATATTACACGAAGAAAGGCGTTGGAGCCTGAACAAAGAAAATTAATCCTGCCACTCATCACATACGATGCCGTTCTCCTCTAGTAGCACTCGCGCCTCAATCGCTCTCTCTCTCCACCGCTCGGCTTCTTGCTTGAGCCCAGCAATGGTGTCCTCGAGTAACTGTTGATGCTCCAGCTTGCGCTTCCGGCTCTTGCGGGCCGCAAGCGTGTTTTGTCTGCGCTTGTGTTCGATCGCATCCTGCTCGCCAGGAATCGCCACCAGCTCCTCGTCCCCGAATGCATCAGAGTGTGCTCTTTTCTTCGCGAACGCAGCCGGCACGGCCTTGCGCGACGTCGCACTTGGCGTCACGTAACTGCGTTTTTGCGTTGGCGCCTCGATCGGGATTAGTGTCGACACCTGCAGGTTCTTGCGGGTCCCTGTTGCGACGCGCTTGCGCGTGTGTTTTGGTGGGGGTGAGGGCGGCGGTGCAGCTTCGGCGACGGAAGCAGCAACGGGGACGGACACCTCGTAAGTAGGGTATGCCGATAAACCCCCGAAAAGCTCCATGTCATCCCCAAACCCGACGTCGGCCACGACCGGTGAAGTTAGAAAATCGGTATACGGGCTGCCGCTGGAGATGAATTCATCGGGGGGCGGAGAGAGCGGAGAGGTCAGAAACGGTGTGGAGGTGTCTGACAGAAGTGGCGATGGCGAGAAAGAGAGATCGGGAAGAGAAAAGGTGTCAGGGGAGGCTGAAAGGGGGATCAGATACGGAGGAGCAGGCGTGTCGATGCAGCGTACACAGGAGGTCCTCAATACGCAGCCCCTTCCCGACCTCGGCCAGAGCAGGGCTGGTCTCTTGAAGATCTAGCAGCGTGTTCATTTTCTGATCGGATTGCAGGGGTTTCAGTTGTAGTGTAAAAGTTGGTTAAAGCAGGTGATTGAGACAGCGAAGAGATCAGTTCAGTGGGCGACATGGCGACGAGGGAAGGTAGTCCGAAGAGAATTCAAGGGGCTTTTAGCGGGACATGATAGGGGTTTGGGGGGCCGAAGGCGCGAAAGACGGTGTGGGTCCTTCAATTCTCGAGTACGAGATACGTTTAGCAGAGGGCGAACATCTTCAGCGATGCTCGCGGGGGTAGGTTATGTGTATGTGAGACGAGACGAGACGAGACGAAGAAAGAACTATGAAAATGATCAGTAATTGGACGATGGAATGAAGAGATGGCTGGTGAAGAGACCGTCTTCGCACGACACTCATTCCCGAGAGCATGAGGCAGGCAAACAAATCTCTACATCATCGCAGACATCAAATATTCACCTATCAGATCGCTTCAATGGATGGATTCCGGTTGGTGAGCGTGCTGGATAATGGAGGACAGGAGCGAGAAGGATGGTAACGGACGGGCTATATGTATGTGCGTTTTTCAATCTAGGCCAAGAAGAACCCTGTGCCCTTAGGCCGACGGCATTGATCGGCCGATCGTCGCATATGACGTGAGGGGTTATCAGCTGCTGCCAGAAATTGTCCCGACGGTCAACCGCCGGGACATCCCGAATCCGACGATGAACGTTGGAATCTCCGAGTCAGGCCCCGTTGGGCTGGCTTGTACTCGTCTGAGCCTTGTCTCTGCTACCACATGCTCTGCACTCATGCATTCACCTCAATCCTGGGTCAGATCCGATTAAATCCCGGCCAGCTCCTTCCAATTTCGGTGTCAATGAAATGAGCACTTCGGATCAGGCGGTGACTTGTAAGTAATCATAGCCTGGTGGTCGTCAGTCTTCCCGGACCTGCGCCGTTTGTCGTCTCTAAATAACACACTTAATCACGATGCAATTGCAGGGATATGCGAGTATTCCGCAGGCCTACCGCTCCAGAAATTGATCTTTTATGAAGCAGCCCCGCAGCTGGTGATCACGCGCATCCAAGATAAACCGCCGCCAAGCTCGGAAAATGAAATTCACCTGTCAAGAAATTGCTGGAGTAGCTGCTAGCATACCGAGTGCGAAGCTTCCCGTCCGCCGTCCGGTACTGCCCACTCCCGTCTGAGCGCCACTTGAAAACTCAACCGAGGTCGCCCCGACGTGCGCTTTTCATCTCTTGCTGTGACCATATCAACCGTCGATTCTTGTCGCTGGCACTCAGAGCCCTGAAGAGGTGCTCACGATTCTGCTTTGCGCCCCGAGGTCCGTGCCCGCCGGTCTACCCGTCTATTTTGACGCGGTCACATGACGGCGATCTGAGACACCAACTTGGCGCGTCACACTCACACTGACGTCCCAAACCGGTTCACAAGGGAAATCGATGGATACAGCATCGCCGCAGGCTCGCATTCATCATGATTCCGGTCTCTTTGTCGTCTCCCAACTGCAGACAGGCTGTGACGGCTTCCTGATCGGCAAGAAAACATCGAAGTCCAGCGAGAAGATCAATAAGTGTCATCGGTTCTGTTCCTGCCCGCGTTAACGACTCGGGAAAGAACAATATTTTCGAGCTTTCCTCTCAACCATGACTCAAGCAGCGAGGCACCAGACGCTATTGAAAGTCATCTATCCCGTCAATAGTATTTCCGCCGTTTTTTCTAACCATATATGAACGATGCAGGATAGCAGCCGGCATTTCTACTTTTCTCACAGCGCTGGGTGTCGGATCTGTCCCACCGTATCCTGGTATGGAGATCGAATCTGCTGTGCTAAATCTATCGACTGTGCCTGTACGAGTAGCATGGAGAAGACAAGGATGTGCGTCATATAAAGTTGAGTCTCAACTCGCCCCATGCCCTCCAATCCAACCCATCGACGATGCCTCCAGCCTCCAAAAGCACCGACCGTCGCCGCGCCCACGGTGCCCACTGCGCGAAGCCAAGCCGCGCTTTCGTAGCATGCAGTCACTGTCGGCGGCGGAAGATCCGGGTATGTGTGCTTTTACTCGCGAGTCGGGACGGGACTGACGGCCTAGGGATTCAGTGCCTCACAAACGACGTGACGCAAGAGCCGTGCAGGCGCTGTGTGCAGAAGGGGCTGTTCTGCGAGTACCGTGCAGTCTCCGAGGACGAGAAGGACTCTCTCTCCGCGTCACCCACCGCCGGCAGCGCCGATCTCTCCGAGTATGGGGGATCTGATACCTCCGAGTGCAGTCCCTACCTGCCCCACCACACCTTGCTGCCGTCTCCAACCTGGCCGCCACCGTCACCCAACGCATGGCCCGTTCCGAGCTACGTCTATCCAGTGGAGCCGGGCTTCGTCTACAACCATCTCCCAGAAGCTGGCCCATTCGGACACGATGCCTTCTCGTCGAATGCGCTTTCTATCACTGTGAAGCAGGAAGACGAGCAGCAGTTCTTGTCCCCCTACTCTTGGGGATGGGGAGCGGGACTTCAGTAATGTTAGGATAAACGACCGTGTGTGTACGTTAGGATCAGTCAATCCGACTTCTCAGATGAGAACAGTCAGTATCTGCCGGTTCTGATACTAGGACACGTCCGCGGCTTCTCATGTTTCATCCCCCAAATGTTGCGGATCTCGCGGACAAAAAACCAGCGAAAGCAGCGCGCAGTGCCCATCAGGCTGACCACCAGCAAGCACCACATGTCAGTACAGTTATCTTCGCCGTGTGGCTCTCAAAGCTAGCCTTGTGTGCATCATTCGCAGTCCGGGTCATCGATCCAGGGTTCAGAACTGATTCGCCTTGGGCTCTGAGTGTACCAAGCATTCGCACGAATCGGCGATCTCTTTATTGAATCAGCTGCAGTCAGTCAATCACTTGGAATGAGCGAGGGCGTATCCAGATAATTGCGTGTGTTTGTCCCACCGGCATACATCCAGCTACACATCACCGATGGAGCCCCAGAGCTGATGGTGTTCCAGTGATCGGGAAGACAACAGGGATTGGCATCACCAGCGGACGGTAGTTTAACGGTGTGCTCGCGATCTCACACGCGAGACCGGACGAAAGAGACCGCCCTGAGACTGCATGTCATGCGGGGCACCCCGAACAGAGAGAGAGCGGGTAGATCTCGTCTTGTATATCGGTCTGGAACCCCACAACAGCCCTCATGATGGACCATCACCCACTCCAATTGGCCGCTGCTGGACTGGATTCCCGGGCCGGACGCGTGTGCAACCCAGCCCGGATTGCTCGAGGGAAGAGCTTGTTGGATCGTGACCGCATGACCCGCCTCGGGCAGACAAGGGATGTTGGAAGCGCTTGACGAGCAAACACGAGGAGGGAACGTGGGGGAGGGGGTCTCAACTTCGCTCCGAAATCAATGCCGTCCCGATCGCTTGCAGCACTGGGCGCTATCGTGTCTCCATTCTCCAGCGAAGCAGTGTTTTTGTCGTTCCGGACACAGCACGGACACCAACTACGGGTCTGAGATAACATCCACCCGATAGGCGCGTCGTGTTATCTAGAACACGGGAGCGCCACCGCAAGCACGCAGCAACTAGGGACCGGTCTAGTCCCTCGGTTCGCTCAACTGCAATCTGCTGTACACCGGAATGATATAACTGCAGCACATGCATCAAACGAAAATACATCGGACTGGACATTGCAAGTATTTGCACCAATCACTCCTTGGCCTGCGTTAATCTCGAGAATAAGCTAGTGGACAGACGGATGCGGTCTACGGAATCGATGCATCGATATTCCAGACCACATTTTCGTAAGATTCTTGACGCGATTGGAATGCGGGGGGCGGCTCTCGCATCGTTCCATTTGATCCAAGTATAGTCTTCAAGCGGGGAGGGGGAAGACTGACGAAGGAGTTTCTGCTGCTCCAATTCGAACGTCGCGGAGACGAGGACAATTTGCGAATCGAGGTGTGAAGAAGGAACAAGACCAGACACAGGGTCAGAGAGTATGTAAGGCGTGAATCGAGCACATGTTAGTCGGTAACGTCGGTAAGGAAAGTAGGATGCTCCCAAACACAGCAAGCCCCAAGTTGAAATCACGATGGCCAAAATGGTGGGTAATGGCTTCCGCCTCTTGGCAGCCGGCTGTTTAACAAAGACTGTCGCACTGCTTGATTTTCGAGTGCATACGCTTACAATAGCTTGCAGAATAAGCACCTAGAGCTAGCCGTCGAAGACCTGTAAACTGCGCTTTAATTCCGCAGACCACCATCAACAGAGATTGACAACACTCACCTCGGCAGGATCGATGTGGCTGTTGGGGGCATCGAGGAGTTTGATGTTGAACCAGAGAATTGTGATATTGGGTTCAATGATCTTGACGTAGATCCCGAGGATTCTTCTGTGATGGAACCTAAGTGTAGAGTTTGCAAGGATGCTGCAGTCGCAACGGAGGTGGCTGAGCTCGAACGAGGTAATGCAGTTACGCTGTTACGCTGGCCCCAATGTGCGAGGAGGAAGAGGTGGAGAAAGAGGGCGAGGGCGAGGATGTTGAAGACGATAGCTAGGCCAATAGCGCGACTTTGACAGAAGTGATTCTAAGTGAAACTCCGGCTGCAGTTGATATCACCACAACAAAGCTTTCTCTCTGATGTCAACTGCGAAACCATCATGATAGTATGCGACACTGACGAGTCGGATACAGTAGCCAGGCAGTCGGTCTCTGTAGTGTTGCCAGGTCTTCGCTTTATTTCAGTCGAGAACAGCCGCACGTCCAGTCTGAACTATCACCGCATCCAAGACGGCGGTCTGCCCGGTCGAATCTGCGACTTCGGCTGTCATTTGCACGCCTGTGATTCATTCGCACATGTAGATCAGCCATTTGCCGCTCTCTTTGAGTCCGGACACTCACCAGCGGGGAAATTCGCCGTCCACTAGAACGAGAACGAGCCCAGGATTTGTAGAAGACCTCCAGATGATCTCACACTGGATCAACGCAGCAAGTCAGCAGACATCTCCCAGGCATTCTCGACTACTCACCGCTGTAGATCAGGTCAGTGCGTATACACCGTGAGGGGGATGCAGTCATGCGCACGAAATTCCACGGGCCTGAACTGATAGTGGAAACAAGGGAGCAGTGTCGCAACCATACGTACCTAATCCGCCCTGCCATTGTAACAGCAATGGCACGCACGTCAAGGGTGTCTGCGAGCTGCAGAGTTCGGAATGAGCCACACCACACCATTCGGTGAGTCGTAGAAGACGCACATCGAGTCTACGATGAACGAGGCCTCGATGAGGGAAGAAATGGACAGGAAGATAAGGGCAGGAAGAACTCGAGGGAAGGTAGGCATTGTTGCCGGATGCAGCCCTCAATGGAAAGTGAGGTATGCACTATGTATGCGCGCACCCTGACAAAGGTCGGGCGTATCAGTCGTTCTCTGGCGACCGTCATTTCGATCACGGATGCATGGATGAACAAAACAGAACAGGAAACTCAGATCGAGATATTCTCAAGCTCGCATAGTTGTCGATGGGGCAGGGGTGTGTGAACAGGCAATAGAGTTGAACAAGGCGATTCGGGAAGAGGCACAAACACGCGTCTGACGCGTTTGTCAGCGATGGTCGATCAGGCCCAGAGCGAGTGCGTGTTTGACTGCAGTGCTTACATGAAAGACCCAGAAGAAAATAATGGACACAACATGTGCTGGCGGTGTGGCCGTGTGTAAAATAATAAGTATGTACTCCGGGTCTAAGCGTCGTCGTCCTCGACTTCCTCTACTCTCGCAGCTCGACTGTCGGGACGCGACGCACTGGAATCGTCTGGAATCTCTTCAATGAATGCGCCCTCAACAGGTCCAGCGGCTTTATCGCCCTTTCTCTTTTTCGACTTCTTCTTCGGCAGATCCCACTCCCATAGCGGAATGAATGACTCGACCTGCAACAGTCAGTATAAGCTTCGATTTGAAAACTACAACACGTACGAAGCCGACATCCGCAAACAACTTTGGGAAGATCCATATGCCAGGGCTGGCGACAACCACAGTGATGATGTAGAAGATGAGGCGCACAATCGCGATGGCGAAGAAAAGTCCCAACAGCCCGAGCATGCCCATACTCAGATAGTACACGCCGAGCCGCATGAACGGGGGCCACAACGGGAACATCACGCCCCCAAGCATCAGACCGACCATGAGCACCGCGCCTGCGTAGGTCGTCCACTGAGAGCCCTCGAAGAACCAAACATAGTACTCGTCCCCAACGAACATCTGCTCCGGAATCACTTGCAAGACTTTGGGTGATGATGATGAGCTGCCCGACGGGGCGCCGCGCTGCACACGCAGGAAGAACGCGAAGCTATTCACAGACGCAAGTAGAGCAACGGCTTCGGCCTCCGAAGAGACTTTCGGGACGCCTTTTTGCTTTGCATACGCGGGCGAGAGCAGGGCTTTGATGGCAGATTTGCCTGCGAAGGGTAAGATAATATCAGCCCTCGTACATGCTGTCAGGGAAGGGCAGCGACAACTCACCCTTGAAATAATCGAATCGCTTCCCGTTCAGCGCGCCAACGCGCACTTTGATTCCCGCCTTGCCGCTACGCAGGAATGTCGCGACTTTGCGAATGTCCGCCGGCGCCTTTGCTTGTTGTTCCATAGCTGACGGGTGATGATGTTAAGAGAAAGCAAAACCCGTATTAGCTGGGTGGCTCACTATGGAGAAGGAATAAAGGAGCGTTTCTGCGATTCCTTTGACTGCCAGAGACAAGGCGCGATGCGCTGGCTCAGTGACGTGTCACAGCGCGTTTGCTAAGTAGCACAGCCACGCTACATGTGTCTTTGGTGAAATGGCCAGTTCGAGTCAAGTCACCGAACAAACAGTCCCAGCACGTGAACTTTCCGACTGACGTGTGTCCTTCGAACTGCACTTCATGATTTCGTAGATTGATGAGGTGTTTGAGAGGTTTGTATGATAAATGTACAGAGGAGAGCTAGTAACAGATAGCGACCGTCACGGACACAATCTGATGCGGAGAGTAAGGTTGGGTGGAGAGATAGAGAAAAGGAGATGACGCCCAGGAAACCAACAATCTTATAAATCCTGCATGCCAGTATTGACTAGATCAGTCGTCAAGACAGAGCATGCTGGAAAGTATGCCGAACCGCCGATATCGACCATGACAAGCGACTGCGTCTATGTCATGGGAGGTGGATTGAACGACATGATCTCCTCGTATAACAACTCTTTCAGCTGTTCTCTGCTGATGTCGTCCTTGTGCACTGTACAACATGTCAGACATCTGCGCCGCATCAATCAATCAGCCAAACGCACAGTCAAACTCAAAGAACTCTGGGTCCAACGGAGGGGCAACAGGTTCATCATCAGGGTCATGCTGTCTCAAAGCGTTCCGGTAAGAATGGGCAACGATTCAAGCGAATAGAAACAACGCACGTAGGCCTCGAGATAGGGGTGTGCCAATGCATCCTCAACGGTGATACGCTTCTTCGGGTCGAACGTCTGACAGTGTTGAGCATGAAGACGAGCCAAAGTCGGTGTGTTGAAGCACCACGCACCAGGGTTTTAGTCAAAAAGTCGACGGCCAGAGGATTAGCATTCGGGAACAGCTGGGCAAACGGCCGTCGCTTCCGGAACGGTAGCGCCCGAATATAGTCTCGCGAGCGGCGAGTGGTGATGGCGTAGAATTCGTCCAGTGTTGGTGTGCCAAGCACGTCCAGAATGAGCGTGAGCTGGTGGTGGTAATCGCGCCCCGGGAAAAGCGGCTTTCCGGATAACATCTCAGCGAGAATACATCCGACCGACCATACATCGATCGCCTTGTTGTTCCTGATCAGGACAGTCTCGAAGCAGACATGAGAGAAAAAGCGCACTTTGGTGTACTGCTTGAACGTCAGCATAATTTCGGGAGCCCGGTACCACCGTGTGGCCACATATTCCGTCATGAAACCCGTCTCAGTGCCCGACGGCTCGGCTGTCTTGACCGACCGCGCAAGTCCGAAATCGCAGACCTTGAGGTCGCAGTTCGCGTTCAGTAAAAGGTTGGAGGGTTTGAGGTCACGGTGGATGACATCGGCAGAATGAAGGGCTTTGAGCGCACGAAGAGTTTGGTAAATGAAATATTGCGCGTGGTCGTCAGAGAGATCTTGGGTGCGAATGACACGATGCATGTCTGTCTCCATCAACTCTTGGATGACTGTGAGGAGAGACGAGGATAAGCACATCGCATATCGGGCACGACGTGGCCCACGTACGATAAACCTCCTTGAACGCTTCTATCGACGGTGGCTTGATGATATCGAGAATGGAGATGATCTAGGATCGAACGTTAACGTTAGTGCTGGAGGAGAAAAGAAGCCATGAAAGGTGGTACACACATTCTCGCTCACTCCGGCTTCAGAGAGGAATTTGAGGAGCTTGAGCTCACGAAGCGTTCGCAGACAAAACATCGAGTGCTCGAATGGTGCGATCTTCTTGATCGCAACCTTGCGGCCGCTGGGTCGGTGGACTGCGGAGCAGACAATCCCGTAGGCGCCCTCGCCCACGACGTCGAGGACCTGATACTGTGTACCGACATTGAAGCGAACTTTCCTGGGGGCGGGGGCGGACGACTTGCGGGCGGCTGCGGACTCGGCTGCAGCGGCGGGGGCAGCGGCGGGTTCAGGCATGGTGGGTGGAGGAGGTGGAAGAAGTAAACAAAGAGCCGGGTCGCGGTCAATCAGGGTATATGTAACAGAAAAGAACAAAAGTTAGGAACAAGACGCCGGCTGGTTTCTGGAACAACAAGGCTCTGGCAAAGAACAGTAAGCTGTACATGTCTAGGAATACGGACTACTTCAGGCCGGTAACTAGTCCGTTTCTAAGGCAATCCCAAGGCCTCCTCATAGCTTGCCATGGCAATAGCAACTGATCACCATACTGGTGGGTCAAACTGATTAAAACTGTGTGATCTTGACCTCCAATGATGCGGACAGCCAGAGCGATCCATATGCTTCACGGGCGGCCTGAAACGGTGTCATCTGCTTGACGTGTTTCGTGCTCGAGATACGTGGTTCTGAGACAAAGTATGAAGAGCAGCATGAGTGACCACTGCTGGGTCACAGACTTGCAGTGCGACCCACAACTTGTTACAGTAACACAGTGCACCCGATTCCCCTCAGGAGCGGGGACTGTCAATGAACGTTTGACAATGGCCGATCCTCCATACTCGACGGACCGCTGTTCCTATCACCGCCTCTCACTCTTGATATGCATAGACACCGTGGCATCCATCTCAGAAACGCGAAGCCGATACCTGCGGGAAACACATGGTGCGGGAAAGGGAAAAAGATTTTGGATAAATCATGCAAGGTTCCATGAAACGGCCCATTAGTCAAAGATAAGTCGAGTTGTACACGCTCACATCAACCATCGTGGTGACTTCAGGTGTGGAGAGACGTGATATGGGCTGTCCGAAACGACTCGGAGGTGTCAAGTCTTATGGTGGTAGTGGCTGATGAACAATGAGAGGGACATTGGTCCTGACTAGCCGCACATCGGAGCCAAGGGCCTCCAATACCAGTCGATCCCTGAGCGAAGAACAATTTTTCACTGTGCATGTGGTGGGATCCACAGTCGGAGTGCATGGTGATCGTCAGACAGAAGCGGCTGGCTTCTAAGCCCGAGGCACACATTGACGAGACGCAAGCGCACAACGTGTCAGAACTTGATGCGTTACGGTTTCTCGTGCGTCCGATGCCGAGAGTGCATGGAGGTATCGATCCTTCCTTGTGCAATTGGCAGGTGAAAGATGCGTGCAGATCCCCAATCGTAGTTGGCCGAGCTTTACCGTCACTTAGAACAGAATGAAGGATAAACGTAGCACAACGATTGAACGCAGAGAAGAATTCTAAACAGACTTGACACGGCGCAGCGGAGTCCGTGTATAACATGAAGGTAGAAACCAGATACTCTGGAGTTATCATTCTGGTCACGAAACGATTGGTCACCTATGATGGTCCGAGCATCGCAACACCCAACACAGAACATCATAAGGGTTATCCGTCACAGGTCACATATCGGTTCGATGGTGTAGTTGGTTATCACTTCTGTCTAACAGTCCGCAAGTCAGTCCGCAAGTCTTCTGCGCTGTTCACAGGCGGTCCTCAGTTCGAACCTGGGTCGAATCACTTTTTCACGCAGCGACTTCTTACGATCAATCCCCGCCGCGTTTTGACATGTTCTCTTCGCTCCACGAGCACCAGAGTAATGTTCCGGCCATTGCTCTTTATTTTCCACCGTGAATCTTCAATATTTTGATACAAGCGATCATGCAGCATTCATTTCAATATCCTCGCTCCCTCTCGTGACTTGGACCTTGGATTGGTCCATTAAATATGCCAGTGTCGAGCCGTTTTCCTCGCAGCTGATCGAGGTGGTCAGCAGGACCCGACGGACGAAAACAAACCACATACATGCGAGAAATGGACTGTTCGAAATCCGCCAGACTCTTTTGCAACACTCGGAAAACGCTCGCAAATTCAGCTGAACGATCGCGCAACATACGTCCGTGAGCCATCAGGAGAGTATTTGTCCAAAGAAGATCAAACTCGAGGTGCGGCGTCCGTGCTAAGTGTTCTGCGACGAATCTCAAGAGGAGAGGCACGTAAATGACGGGAAGTTGCCGAGCGACGAGACGGATATCGGCCCGAGGGACAGCCTCAAACACAGTTTGAATGAGTGGTTTCTCATTCAGACGGAAAGCCATCACGAGTGCTTTGAGATACTCTCCATCAGCGAGTGTGTCTTGGATTGCCTGCGGGGTCAAATCCATGGACAGGTCAAAAGGATCGAAGGCGACTGCGTCATCCAGGGAGTAGATCAGAAGACCTTCGGTTGAAGCCGCAGCCCAAGCACGTCCAGTGGGAGAGAACCGAACGCATTTGGTCCGCGCCTCTTGACGGTAGCGCCTGATAGACATGTCACCGGCACCTCGACTTGCTCCAGGGAGGCTGACGTCCAACCGATCTTCCAGGTCGCTGTCGTCCCCATGAGTGTCGATCAAGTCCGTGTTAATTCCTGCATCGTTAACCTTGCGGCTATCGAGAAACTCCTCGGTCCCATCCAATGACAGATTCTCGGATATCTGGAATTTCTTGACCATGACACCTTCTCCGTCCCGCACATCGTACAGGACAACATACTTGCTGTTCCCGCCGGCTAGAACGCATCGACCATCGGCAGTGTATGCCAAACTGTTGTACGCTTTACCCGACGTACTGTTCGCGGCAGAATTGCGGTCGTGAGCCTTCCTGCCACCGGACACATCTTTCCTGCCCTCGATCGTGTTCGTTTGTTTGCTCAACTCGATATCGAAAAATGAGAGTTGCCCATCCAGAGTCGCAGCAGCAAGTTCTTTGCCGTCTGGTCGGAACGCGACAGCGAGCACATCCGAATTGAGTGCGAAGGGCTCCACAGCCCGCGAACGCCCGAACACACTCCAGACGCGGACTGAGCGGTCCCAAGAGCCGCTGACGAGCTGATTCGCGCCTGCTGGCGAGAAAGCGAGCGAGCTCACGGGACCCTCGTGTCCCGTCAGGATGTCGAGCAGCTTCCCGGTCTGTACAGACCACAAAAACACCTCGAACGAGTCGGTCGATCCAGCTGCGACGACTTCGCCCGAAGGATCCACGGCCAGGGCAGAGAACTGGACGGGGGAAGGCGACGTGAACGTCCGGAAGTTGCGGTAGCGCACTAGGTCATATGCCCGCACTGTCCCATCAAGAGACGCGGTGAACAAAACACTCCCGTGCTTGGCGAACTCGACACAAGAAACAGGCGCCGAGTGTTCACTGAAGGTGACAAAGCAGAAGCCAGTATGCGTCGACCAGACTTTGACCTTACCATCATCACCTCCGGTAGCAATAGTCTGCCCGTCCGGCGAATAAGCCAGGGTATTCATGTCGTAAAAGTGGCCCTGCTGTTTGAGAACATATGACTCCGACTGCCATTCCCAGACCAACAGCTGCCCCATCTTCCGCGCCCCAAATGCCAGCCATTCTCCCGATGCATTGATCGCCACCGAGGTGATTTTTTCTTGCGAGACGCTGAGTGTGTGGATGTTTGAGAAGGCGGGCATCTCCCAGAGCCCAAATACGCCGGTGGAGAACCCGACAACAAGCAGATTGGAAGCAGCATGGAAGGTCCCGCACACCACTTTCGTGTTAGCCTGCTTGAAGTAATGGCGTTTGTGCACACCCCATCGAGTGTTGGCGATTCGGTTGGCATCAGTCCCTTTAGAGCTCGAGGCCACAGGTTCGTCATCGTCTTCGTTTTCTTCCTCCGACTCCTTTTCTTTCCACGTGAAGACAGCGCCGTCACGACTGACTGTGTATATCTGTGCATCCCGATATGAGACCAGGCGTGGATGATAATGGGAGAGAGCGCGTGCTCACTGTGTTTCCATCGGCTGAGAAATATGCACCGAGAACGGCATCCCTGTGACCGGCGAATGTCTTTGGTCTGAACCCTTCAACGGGGTTCAGCGTGAATAGCCGAGCGGTCATATCTTGGGAGGTAGAGATGAAGCATCTGCCGTAGTGTTTAGCCACAACCGAGAGATAACAAGTAAAGAACGCACGTCGAGTCGTTTGACCACTGAATACTCAGGACCTCCTCATGATGGCCGGTATACGTTCGGTGTAGGTTGAAAGGGGCAAACTCGCGAGCGAGATGGTTCGGTGTACACCACACTTGGACATGGGTACCATGCGTTATCGCGATGTATCTTTGGATTCCCACATCAGGTTTCGGCGCTGTGCAAACCAATCATTAGACACTCACTTGCCGTCCGGAGAGAACTTGATGTCCTTGACCGGTTTTTTGAAGTTGAAGTGATGAAGAACGACTCCTCGACGGAAGTTGACTAGAAGGGCGCGGCCATCTTCCGAAAATATGAGAATCAATGGAGCAATCTTATGGGACCCTAACCATCGTCGACCGAGATGAGAACATTGGAATCTGGACTTAGAGCAAGCGATGCAATGTTTTTGCGGTTCTCGAACGGGAGAGTGAAGGATTTGTTGCTGATATCGAGGAGGTGTCAGCTTCTTATCAGGGCGTCACCGTATGTGCACGCACTTCACCAAGTCGAACACAGAGACTCGATTGCCGACTGGGCTAAGCAACGAATTCCCATCCGAAGTGAAGAGAATGTTCCCTTGCCGATAAACGGTCCCGCAAATGTTGGAGAACTGAAGAAACCATTGAAATTCGCGTTCTTGGCCGTGTCATCGCGTACAGACCTTATAGTTCGCCTTCATAATCCGAGAGGAAAGTTGTCGGTGATCAAGAAAAGAGTCTCTGATGACATTGATGGCAAGCAGGTGCAAAGGAATATCCTCCCGATTAGGACAGCCATCACTTCGCTGAGACCACCGTTCACTGGCATGCTGCGACGTCAGATTCGATTCTTGTCGCGCTCAGCTATCGTGCGTGCAGACCCGTGGCCTCTCCCCCATTCGCCGGAGCATCTATCCAACACTCAAACTCCGTCTGACGCTCCAGCTCCAACCCCTCTTCCGCGACTGAGCGAGAATGTGTCGACAATGCGCGCACGGCTCGTATATCAGTCACGGAAACGTGGGACACTGGAGAGTGACCTGATTTTGAGCACATTTGCTCGGGAAAATCTGCCGACAATGTCCGAGGCGGAGCTCAAGGAGTATGATAAGGTACTACATAGAATATATCGCCCGGCATAAACCTGTTGCTGATGCCATATACAGCTCTTGGACGAAGCAGACTGGGACATTTACTATTGGGCTACCGAGGAGCGAACGCCCCCACCACGATGGGCCGATTCTCCAATCCTCGCAAAGCTCAAGATACACGCGAGGAACGAAGGCAAAGTCGTTCGTCGGATGCCGGAGCTGTCATAAGAACACATTAGCAACAATGAAAGTAGGAAGCTAGGACGGCGATATTCGCATTGAACTGTGACTATTACACAACTGCGAGAACTGTGCTAGCACGCAAACTATCTGCCTTGATATCCCACTGCCCTGCAGCCCACACACAGACAAAATCCAACAACTCAACCGCGCCAAAGAAATGCCCGACATCACGTCCATTAAAAGTGCAGCCTCGCAAGAAAAGTGAGAAAGAGGTTCTGGGTCGACATAGCAAGCAAATCGTGAGGGTCGATAAAAATACAGTCGTGAAGGAACCAGAATGGAAGGGGACGATTTGCTTGTGTTTAGTGTAATATATGAGACGAGGTACTGCGGAAATGGGTCATGTAGTCGGTGGCGGCTGCTTGGTGAAAGAGCAGTGGCAGACCGCGCCTCAGATAGCTCTTCATCGAGGTCCTGGCTGGCCACGATAAGCCCCAGGCCCTGGTGCCATTGATCCGTTCGCCCGCATGGGCATTGGCGATCGTTGTTGGGGAGCGCCACCATTGCTCTGGTAAAGGACCTGTGGCTGGGGTTGCATATGCTGCACAATAGGGCGGGGAGGTCCCATGGGTTGCGCTGATTTCATCTGTTGTGGCTGTTGCTGCGGCTGCTGCGGCTGGGGCCGTTGCACATCGTCCTGGGTCGCGCTCGGATCGACATACAATCCACGGTCAATGACTTGCGGGATAGGGCTGATCTCGGTGCCCAGTTCCTGTTCGATTTTGTACAGGTTGAACCGATCCTCGTAGGTGACCAGATTGATCGCAAGTCCAAGATGTCCAAAGCGACCTGATCGACCGATACGGTGGAGATAGGTCTCCGAGTTCTTGGGAAAATCGAAGTTGATGACGACGTTCACCGCTTGAATGTCGATACCACGCGTCAAGAGGTCGGAACAGACAAGATTGCGGCAGACACCGTTACGGAAATCGTGGAACACGCGGTTACGGTGTGACTGCAACATTTTCGCGTGCGAGTAGAAGCAAGAGTATCCCAACTCTGTGACTTTCTTGGCGAGCAATTCGACCCGGTTCGTAGAGTTGCAAAAGATAATCGACTGGTTGATTTGCAGCTGATGAGCAGACACATCAGAAAAAGCTGAATAGGACGAGGAGACGACATATACCTTGGAGAAGAGCGTGTTCAAACAGTGCACCTTTTGTCTCTCCTCGACGTAGGCGTAGTACTGTGTAACACCACGCAGAGTCAATTCATCCATGAGGTTGATCTCGTAGGGAGCTTTCATATGCTTCTCCTAGAGAAAATGTCAGTGTCGAAAAGATATGGTTCATGGCAGCATATCGTACCTTGAAATCTTTCACGATCATGGGGAACGTGGCACTAAACAACATGACCTGTCTCTGCGGAGGCAGATATGACAAAAGCTGCTCCATAACCGGCGAGAATTCCGGAGACAGAAGCTTGTCTGCCTCATCCATAACAAATACGGGACACTCGCTCAGGTCGGCCACACTTTTGCCGGCAAGGTCGAGTATACGGCCGGGTGTACCAACCAGTACATGAACCGTTTCGGATAATCGCATGATATCGTCCTTGAGCGTTGTTCCACCAGTTGTAACCATGACTTGGACGCCCATGTGCTTTCCCAAGTTCTTACAGACTTGTGAGGTCTGCAGTGCAAGTTCCCGAGTAGGGACCAGTAAGAGCGCTTGAATCTTGTTCTTGGTGACATCGACCTGCTGCAAGGCAGGGATCGTGAATGCGGCGGTCTTGCCCGTCCCGTTCTTGGCGCGTGCAAGCACGTCGCGTTTAGTCAATGCGATGGGGATGGCTTCTTCCTGGATGGGCGAAGGCTTTTCAAAACCTGCTTCGAATATGCCCATAAGCAGTTCTCGGCGGAGGAACATGTCCTCGAATTCCATCCCCTTCGTGGCGGTAACATCGAGAGTTTGCGGTCTTGCGTCTTTTGGTGGTGGGCGAAGATTAGCTTTCCACTCAGAATTGGCGGGCACAGGGCTATAATCCCAAGCGGCTCAGAAATCGGGAGCAAAAACATCGAGAGGAAACTAGACAGACGTGGATGAAGATGAAGAAATGGCTGCTTGTGACATTGGTAGTGGCAAATCTGACGCGCAAAAAAGCGGAGCGGTAGATTTTTTGAGGAGTCAAGGATGAATAAAAACCAAAACGGCTGGGATGGCCTGGCTCGATGGCGCGGTTCAGATGGTTATGACCACGAGGTGGAGGTAGAAGAAGGAAGTCAAAAGTTCGTGTGGCCGAAACGATATCAAGTTTCACACGGGTCTTTGTTGCGTGAAGAGAACCTCTTCGCGCGGCAATCGTCTCAAAGAACAGTATAGCGTCCCTCTCCGGCTTCGGGCTCAGTGATGTGCTATACTTGACTGAAAGATGATGATGAGATTTGACGGGGGCGCTTGCATAGCAGTCAACAAGGCCGATGTAAACCGTGTTCGCATACCACCGCATTCTCCTGTCCTCCTACACCCATCATCCTAACACACACGCTATGGTCTATGGCGAGCTATTTCTTCAACGCATGCGACCCAAAGCGTACACGGTTCGGTACGCTCGTTCGTGGGTTGGCAATCCCCTCCTTTATGTTTCCGGCGCGATGGCTTCTCTGGGCGATGCTCTCTTCGGTTATTCGCAAGGCGTGACTGCGGCATTCCAGGTTCAGCCTAATTTCATCCATCGAATGTATGGACAAGGAGTTTCCGTTGAAGAAGTCAAGATGGGGGACATGGAAGTGTGGCCGCTCTTGCCTGCACTTATGGTCGCCTGTCTGAACATCACTGCACTCTTCGCCGCTCTTCTCTCAGCGTATCTTTCCGACTATCTGGGGCGCAGGCTGACGATACGTATCGGCGGTGCTATCTACTTAGGTGCATGTGAGTGTGCGAGCTGGGAAGTGTTGTCTATCTGACCCGATGGCAGCCATCATCCAAATGTTTTCGCCCAGTTTCGCCTCGCTAGTCGTCGGTCGTATGATTCAAGGTGTCGGGACTGGTATTCTCAGCACCACGGTGCCCATCTATCAATGTGAAATTGCACCCACCAGCGCTCGTGGTATGTTCATCGCCCTGGAAGGTCTGTGGGAGAATCTGGGCTATTGCTTGTCGTCTTGGATCGGATATGCGTTCTTTTTCGATATGCGCTCTGAACACTCTTGGCGCGGACCCTATGCCGTGCAAGCGTTCGTCTCCTTGGTGCTCTTTACCTGGACGTTCTATCTTCCTGAAACTCCTCGCTGGCTCATTCAAAATGGATTCAAGACAGAAGGCTTGTGGACGCTTGCAGATCTGCACGCCGGCGGCGATATTACAGACGTCATGGTTAATCGTACCTACCATGAGATTATCGACACTCTTGAATTCGAGGAGCGCCACAACACTTCTACAGATTCCCCTTGGCGCTGCCTATTTCAAGAGTACACCCGACGCTCAGTCATGGCTTGGACGGCGCACATGTTTGCTCAACTGAATGGAATCAACGCGTTGCTGCACTTTCTTCCAGAAATCTTGACAAAAGCTGGATACCCTGTTGCCAAAGCCCTCTTCTGGTCCAGTATCTGCTCCGCGTTCTATCTGGCTGGGACCATCCCTGCAGTCCTCTACATCGACAAGCTTGGTCGTATTCGGTGCTTGATTTTAGGAAGTGTTGCCTTGACAATAGCACTGACAATCGTCGGGGCATTCGAAGTGTGCATCGAGCACTGGCCGCATAAACTGTCCACTGATAGTGGCGCTCTTGGTGTTGTGGGCGGAATGTCCATCTATCTTTTCTCTTTTGCCTCGACGTGAGTACTCTGGTTTCTGGATCAGCCCTCGTTGAATGACCTCGGAGATGGGGTCCAATCCCTTAGCTACTGGGAGCTGAGCTTTTTCCTCTCAAAGTTCGCGCCAAAGGCATGGCCATGTCTACCATTTCCGATTGGCTCTTCGAATTTGTTGTGGCATTTGCAGCCCCTTCGATGTTCAGAACGCTCCGGGGACAGGCCTTCTTTGCTCTGGCCGGGTTTTGCATCATCTCCGGGCTCACTGTGCATCTCATCTTCGTTGAAACAGGCAACCAGACTCTAGAGGAGATCGGTGGGATCTTTGGAGACGAGATCGTTCCCCCGAGATTGTCCGACGAGCAAGATCCCGTGCACAACGTTGAACGACGTCGCGGTCGGGGCCATACTCTACTCAGCATGAACTCGCAGATTACCGCAGCCACCGCCGCTGTCCGAGCCACTGGACATGCTCCACATCGGGAATCACGCCGTCCGCTGCATTCCGCTTTGCTGGCGGTTCCTGTTGCCCGCCACCATGGCATAAATTCTCAGACGACTTTGGTGGCTGAAAACAGTGGCTCGAAGAACGGAACGGATGAAGACAACGAGAAACGGCTGTGAATAGTTTTGCGAATTCATCCCCTTACTACTGTAGTTGAAGCATACACGAGTCTTAGCTAGGCATAGGATAATACAAATAGATTTTTTTGTTATATCCTCAAATGTAACAATGAGAAGGGAAAGTGTTGTCTTTTTCGTGGCTCAGAATTTTACATACAGTCGAAGGCGTGTAATGGATGGAGCCGGTCTACATGCAAAATCGTGGGGAAGTGATCACGGATCATTCCTATCTATCTGAGCTCTGCCATTCCCCTCGAGTCATCACAGGCCCTTCCGCTCATTCGTTGAACTACCGTTCGAATCCTGACAAGTTGCGCCAGAGAATAGACCACAGAGATACCACCACTCTACGACACTCACGCCAAACGCTCCATATACCTGCAGTGCCTCACACGTCTACACGACACAACTCATGGCGGACTCCACGATAGAAATTGACCTCGACTCTGTTATCGACAGACTACTTGAAGGTGTGTGAAGAGTAAGAAATTCCAGACGGGCGGTACTCATTGGTTCACAGTGCGTGGCAACCGCCCAGGCAAGCCCGTGCAACTACAGGAGTACGAAATAAAATACCTCTGCACCAAGGCACGCGAGATCTTCATAAATCAGCCCATCCTCCTCGAGTTGGAGGCTCCCATAAAGATTTGCGGGGACATTCATGGGCAGTATTACGATCTCCTGCGGCTCTTCGAGTATGGCGGGTTTCCGCCCGAGGCCAATTACCTCTTCCTAGGCGACTACGTGGATCGCGGGAAACAGTCGCTGGAGACGATATGTCTGCTCCTTGCGTACAAGATCAAGTACCCCGAGAATTTTTTCATCCTGCGCGGGAACCACGAGTGTGCGTGTATCAACAGGATATATGGTTTTTACGATGAATGTGCGTCTGCTGCGCCATGGGCTGTGTGATATTACTGACGGCGGCCGTCCACACAGGCAAGCGCCGGTATAATATCAAGCTGTGGAAGACGTTCACAGACTGTTTCAACTGCCTCCCCATTGCTGCGATCATCGACGACAAAATCTTCACCATGCATGGTGGGCTGAGCCCGGATCTCCAGTCAATGGAGCAGATCCGCCGGGTGATGCGGCCGACGGACGTACCAGACACGGGTCTGCTCTCCGATTTGCTTTGGTCGGACCCCGACAAGGACATCACTGGATGGTCCGAGAACGATCGTGGAGTCTCATTCACCTTCGGCGCCGACGTCGTCTCGCGCTTCCTGCAGAAACACGATATGGACCTGATATGTCGCGGCCACCAGGTGGTGGAGGATGGCTACGAGTTCTTCGCGAAGAGGCATCTGGTTACGTTATTTTCGGCGCCAAACTATTGTGGAGAATTCGACAACGCCGGTGCAATGATGAGTGTGGATGAATCACTCTTGTGCTCGTTCCAGGTGTGTTGTACTGCGAGGATGGTCGTGTCGTCATGCTTATTCGGGGTACAGATTCTAAAGCCGGCTGAGAAGAAACAAAAGTATCCTTACCCTGCGAATGGAGCCGGCACACCCCGAAGGCAGAAGAAACGGGCTTGATCGCCTCGCCTGACGGTCATGCTGTAGGATATTTGCTCTCTGTCTATATTTGGCCTTTTTATGGCGGGCATGCACCTCGACGTGATGTAGGACTAGTGTACATGTATACAAGTACATCCCATTATTTATCTTGCAGAATCTCAGATTTAGAGTAAGAACAGACCATGAATTTCTACCTCTCAAGGGAAATGCGCAAAGTCGATCGTAGTGATGATCAAAATGTGATTCGACCCAGGTTCGAACTGAGGACCGCCTGTGAACAGCACAATTAAATTGTCAACTGTTAGACAGAAGTGATAACCAACTACACCATCGAACCGATGACAGCAGGTCAGCAGTAAAGAATATAATCTTGTTTTTGAGATTAACAAATTTCGTAAGCCTCGAAGTGTCCGTGTGTGCACATTTCGAGCTCAACACTGAACCAAAGTTACCCATCCTGAATAGCAAAGCAAAGCAGGATCGAGAGAACCACCGCAAGTAACATTGCACGAAGGTTGACCTGACGAACTACGTCGAGAAGCGCAGTCAGCAAACTTGTCTGTCCTACTCAAGAATCATCATTTGGGCGAGTCAATCAGATACATGTTCTTCGTGCCCAAAGTCCAAACAACGCTTCGGGCATGTTGTGCACTCCCGAGTCAGAACACGTTCATAGATGAGGGTTGGAGAGGGCTTTGGATCTCCGGTGAAGGCCTGCAACGCCCGCCTAATGCAACTAGCGGGACCTGTGTTCAGAGTCCATGCGGTGGCCAGAAACTGGCATCCGTGGTCTCTAGGCCCGGGAGTAGCGATGCTTAGACGTGGATACAGTAAACCGAAGATATCCGAGACGCTTTCTGAAGGAGTGTGCGCAGTTATCGAATGAGAAGTATCGGAGCAATATTTGTGACCGTGCCCGAGAAATTGAGAGACCGGCGGTCCCAATTGGCCAGGCCAGGCCGATGCGCGGTCCCGCGACTGCGCAGTTTGTAGTGTCGCGATTTTTGCTTCCTAGGACTACTGACACTGACGACTGATACAGCTCACACCCCCTTCAGCTTGTTCTTGGCTTTTCTTGTCTTCCGTCCGCTAACAAGATCGCTGCCTGCCTCAGTCTTGGGCACGCCAACCATCGTGTCATGAACTATGGAGCGGATGATCAGCACAAGGAGAAAATGGCATCACATTGGAATCGCGTACATTGGCCAGCGAGAAGATCATCAACAATCGGGCGACTGCCCGACGTGATGTACTTTGTCATCACGCCTCGCGCGACAAGTGGCTTTGCGAGCATCTGCCTCAACTTGTCTTTCATGTGCGCGGCCTTGAGATCCCTGGACTTGCGCTGACGGTTCGATGGCTTGTCCTCGTCCGAGTCGCTGGGAAAACATCCCTCATTCAGAAGGAATGAACACAATGAACGGGATGCGAACCTCATGAAATCCGAATCCAGATCCACTTCAAGAGCCTCAGCTGCCTCTTTGATCCATTTCTTGTCGTGGTTCGCCTTTTTGACTTTGTGGTGTGACGTTTCAATCTGGCGTGCAAGCTGGACTCTCTCTTTCAGCTTGTCAAGCATGCCCAAGTCGACCTCCATTTCAGCCACTTCGCTTTCCTCTGCCAGATCCGTCAGGGATAACGCACAGAAATGATTAGAAATCCGACTCACGACGACCCAGACTGCTCAACAACGCACGGACCGTTTTCCGCTCGTCTGGAGCACACATAAGCATGCTGAATCCCTTCTGGTTCGCGCGGGCCGTTCGTCCATTACGGTGGACATAAGCATCTGCTGTGCGAGGTATTTGATAGTGGATGACGTGGTCCACAGCGTCAATGTCCAGCCCTCGTGCGGCAATATCCGTCGCCAGCAGCACAGAATTCGGTGTCGATTTGAAGCGATCCAGATTCTTAAGCCGCTGGCGCTGCTCCAGCTGAGAATGCAGAGGAAATGCCTTGACATTGAGGAGCTCCGTCAGAGGCATCAGTCGTCGGATACCATCGATGGAGGACAGGAAAACAAGCGAGCGCCCAGGGTATCGAAGTAGGAAATAATAGAGATAGAGATCCTGTGCATGGCTTGAGCTGAAAACGACTGCCCAGCATAAAACGTACCTTGTCTGCGGAAAGGCACTCGATCTTGCTTTCTTTCAGTGTGGAAACTACCCCGCCCTGAGGACTGAGATCGATGACCTTGGGTTCGGGGTCGCGAAAGTCAAGCCGCAGTAACAAATCATCTGCAAGGAATGAGAGCCAGATAGAAGGAAGGCGAGAACTACGCACCCAGTGTCGACGCTGGCTCGTGTTGCTTCCCGCGCTTATAGTTTGACGGTTTGGAACGACGTCTTCGTTTCAAATTTTGTTGTAGGTCCTTACTCAGGGTCGCAGAGAAGACAAAAGTCTGCAGTCCATCATGAACAGGCTCTGGTTCATCCCCTTCTTCCGGCTCGATCTGGTCGGACCTGTACGGAGTAGGATTAGTCGTCGGTGAGACTCCGAAAAGAAGAAGGAACATGCTTGGACTCGCGCAGTGTTAGTCGCAAGATGTTCTCCAGCTCCGCAAAGTGACCCGCTTCGATCATCCGATCCGCTTCATCCAGCACAAGGAACTTGAGGCTCTTGATCTGATTCGCCAAATCGTCATCCTGTGCGCCTGTCAGTGAGACAGACCTTCCGCCAAGATCTGAGGAGCCTACATCCTGCATGATATCCCACAATCGACCGGGGGTTGCAACCAGGACATCGACACCTCGATCAAGCACTCGTCGCTGCTTTTGAGCAGACATTCCACCGACAATAGCAGCGACGCTGACAAGAGGGGGCGTTCGTGGCTCCACTGGTTCTTGGCTCTTTTTCGCGACTTTCGTTCCTGTGGATTTGTGGCCCTTGGGTCCCGTTTCCGAAACAGCGTTCAGACACGCGTTGAGATGCGCGGAGACTTGGAGGGCCAGTTCTCGCGTAGGCGCCAGAATCAATGCACCGAGTCGGCGTGTTTTTGACTTTGATGACGGCTTGGCTTCAGAGAGAAGACGGTGGAGGATAGGAAGCCCGTAAGCTAACGTTTTCCCTGATCCCTAGGGTGAACGAGTCAGTTTGTGACCAGAGATCAGACCCGTGGCGTTCGCACTGTTTGAGCAACCCCGACAACATCTCGGCCAGATAGTGCTGAGGGAATTGCAGCGGATTGAATAGGTGTTGGAGATGCGAAGCTTTTGGAATGCAGGATACGGAGAAGCTGAGGGTGTAGAGAGAATGGGTGCCAATTGGGCAACAGGTTTTCGGCTTTAAGAAAGGATTCAGAGTCTATCACATCGACATGAAAGAAGAGCGTACAATCGAAGGGTTGTATTGGCTCTGTGGGATCTTCTACTGGATCCTCCCCATCCTCGACCACTGATCCAGTTTCCAGCTCCTCGCCCTGATCTTCTCCTACATCCAAGCCTGTCCCAATTTCTGCATCCTTTTCCGTAGAGTCTTTGGAGGATTCCATCACCTTACCAAACAGCGACCTCAGTAGGATCACCAGACGCGGTGAACAGACGCACATTGAAGGTGATCTTCCTGCCCGCCTCCGTCTCCTCATAGAAGACTTCAACATCGTCGACCTCTTCTAGCTCAAGGATCCCGTCGTCTCCACTCATTCCAGTTTCAATAGGTCGCGCGACGACCTTCCACGGTAAACTGTCGGCATTCTTGTGCTGGATTTTGACTCGTTTCTTCCCTGGTTCGGACTGCCCACGGAGCTTTCGTTTCGAGCCTGCCAGCCTTTTCGGTGCGTTGAAAGCCATGCGGAATCGTGAGCCGAGCCCAGTCCAGGTTAGTTGAGCGTGAAATCGAAAAAGTGGATGTGATCGGTGCTGCCTGAAAAGGCAATGACTCGTGGCCCATTAGTACAAAGCACTTGTGTCTCGGATTTCTTGTTTTCTCTCTCCGCTTTCCATCCCTCGTCTCGCGTTCGGCATCTGCATCTCGCGCCGCTCATTCGCCATATCTCTTGTCTTACACTGGAGCTCCTCAGATACATCAGAGGCTCTACGGGCGCGTTCTGGAAATGGAATCACCACAGCACCGATCGCGGCGAATCGCCCACCATGACTGACGCTGAAGACAGACCGGCAAGGCACCACCAGACCCTGCCGCCAGAAATATGGAACTCCGTGCTGGGTTTTCTTATCCGGCAGAATGGGCGCAAGTCCATCCATCTGGAAGACCTCTTTGAGCCACCTTACGCGACTGAATCGCTGGAGGTTGTGGATCCGGACATGAGGCAGGATCGCCGGACAGTCACGCTGGTGTGTCGCCAATGGAACGCTCTCGCGTCCCAAATCATACCCGAATACCTCATCATCCGGTCTATCCCCCAACTGCGTGCGATACTCTCTCGACTGGAGGAAACACCGTCGGACGACTCGCCCCGTGTCGGCATATGGGTCCAGCGCGTGGACTTTGAAATCAAAGAGCCTCTTTCCAGCCCTGCTACGCTCGACCTTATCCCGCGGCTACTGAGGCGGACTCCCAATCTGATGATATACGTGAACAAGAACGGCAGCGACTATGCCCCGGAAACGCAGACCCCCTCGGCCGTTTTGGAGGCTTTAGCCAAGTACTGCGGCTCGTCCCTGCGGCGCATAGAGTGGTCGCATGTCGGAGAAGCGCCCACGTGGTTGGACCTAGCCAACCTTCTCTTGCGCACACCCAACCTGGTCACTCTCCGACTGACCTGGATCTTCTCCTACGACAATCCTGGTCATGTAGACGTCGCGCTCGAACTGCCCAGTCTGCAGACACTCTATCTCGGGCTCATACCCGATCCGTCAGAAGCACTGATCGCGCTTCCTCTGTCCTGGGATCCACTGCTCGACTATTTGGCTGCGAGACCCGGCATGCTGCCCGCGCTGCAGCGTTTCGAAATCGAGATATTTCCGTCTCGCCATGGCTTCTTCCGGGTGCACGGACACAAAATCAAGACTTTCCGCACGACCAACTGGAACTTTCCCCCCACTCTGCCGATGACGCTGCCGTTGATGCCCAATCTAGACAACCTCATTCTGACCCAGAGCTCAGAATATGTCATGTTGCCGAAATCGCACCCGTCGCTTCGCCGCATCTGCATTTCGCCATTCGAGGATAAGCCGAGCGCGGTCCCTCCAAGGATATTCCAGCGCGCCGTTCTTCTGGTTTGCACTTTTGCGTGCGCTGACCGGGCCGCAACTGACGCAGCTTTCAGCCGCTTGACCATGTTCTGCTCTCCATAGATACCACCAAACTCCCCCGCCTCGAGCAAGTCAGGGTGCGGAATATCGGGATGCTGGCTACTCTGGTCGACGAGCCGGCGTGGCTTCTCAAGTGGGCGCAACGGTGGAAGTTCAGAGGCGTCGCATTCTGTGATGTGAACGGACAGCCCTACAGTCTCGTCCGCGGTCCGTTCTCCAGTTACCAGGCGGCAAATCCTTGCTGATTTTTACAGATCCTGACAATGATCCGTTGCTGAACGCTGTCCGCGGATAATTTCTTGCGATTGAATATTGTTTTTGTGAATACGGGCCTATTCATTCCTGATCATAATACCATTGGTCTTGAGAGATGTCTATTACAAGCTATGAAATCTGTATATGTTGATATAAATAATGTTCTAAGCAAGTTGGTATCGTGTATGCAATGAAAAACAGCTCGCCGCTCATCGTATCATGAAACTGTGGAGCACGGAGAAGAGACAGGCGGCGCCGCAGATGACAAAGCCCAGGGGATACCCTGACGGATTGTCCTGCACGCTGACTGACCAAAGCTGAAGGGGACGTGAGACGTAGAGCATTGAGATGATAACGAGCTGACATAGCCACCCAAAACGGGACCGAAACAACGGGCTAGACTGACAATGCTCTGAGCCATGCCATTCGCCAGACCGATAGCAGGCGGCGGCGTCACTATGAAACTGTCAAGATCTGCGCCAAAAGACCCTGACTTGACACTCACTGTAGTTCAGCAAGATGGAGATTGAGGTGTAACAGAAAGTTCCACCAGAGTATCGCACAGCCCTGATCAACGGGTGAGACAGAGACAGGAAGAGATCATATAGGGTCTGACGTGATAACAGCAAGCCCACTCATGACCGAGAAGTTTTCGCCTTCTGAATCGGTAGCAAACGGGTGGAGGAGAATGACAGCCAGATAAGCTGGAATAAACAGCACGGAGCCGATGCGGAACATGGCTAGATGTGAGAACCGGCCACGGGGTGGACTAATATCTTGTTGTCAGCCGCACGAGCAGAATCGGCCGTCGACAGGTGGCATACCCGATATTTCTGGAACGGAGTTAGAATAAACGTGCAGTGGAACAACAAAGACTGCTCACGGATATAGGTAGAACTGGTATGCAATTTGGGCCAGGCACATCAGCGCAACTGCACGATGTTAGCAGCCGGGATTCGAGACAGCGGACAACTAACTCAGTTGGGCAAAGTGGCTGGCTTCTAGATTGAGCCCCCCCGCGTTAACGTCCCTGCTGCATGTTAGAATCGAACGGGTGACATAAGGGCCCGCTCACGAGACCAGGTATGACAGAAAGATCTGGTCGTGTGTCGTGGTATGCAGTGCAAGCATCCCATACTGTATGATCACTAGCACAGGAAGCTGTGACATCATTGACGGTTGCGGTTCAATAACTTCAATCTGGCCTTCAGCATCGTGCAGCGAGACACGACGTGATTCAATGATTGGCTCCAACAGGTCGGGGCCGGCCGACGGTGGCTCAGGGTCACGTGAAAGTAGCATCTGGGCATCCAGCACCGCGGGCGGCGTTTTGACACCAGGATGAGCGAAGATGCTCGGCACAGCTGAGAGGCGCCGGGCTCCTTCGAGGGTTTGAGAGAAAGAGGGCCGGCGGACAGTCGATGGCCGTCGAGGAGACTCGAATCGACCAACTGGACCGGCAGAGGGACGACGACCAGCAGAAAGGCGACGACTAGTAGAGGGACGGCCACCGATGGGAGAGACGAGCACAGAACGCGAGGGCCGGTCTTCAGCTTCTTCTTCTTCATCGTTTTCGCCGAGCTCGGTGTCGCTGTCCTCGAAGACATCTTCATTATCCACATTCATTGCAGCAGCGACCCAGAGATCGGCGATATTGGTCACCGCATTCTCGTTAGCAATTAGAAGCCGTTGCGCGAAGTTCAGATCGGTCGATGATGCCATCGAATCCCGCTGTTGTGAGTCAGCCAGACTCATGTGTCGCCGCCGCATCGTGCTGGCATTACTCCCACGGCGATTGTTCACCACACTGCTCGCAAGTCGGCTCCGGTAGCTTCCAGCGTACCCGTAGGCAGAGCCGTTTGCTCGACTGGGTCTAGAGCTTGAGAACGTGCGCGTGCGATCGAGTCTTACTGCTGGCTGACTAGACTCAGCACCAGGAGTAAGAAGCGGGTCCCGTTCAGTTGCTTGGCGCGCAAAGTAACTAGAGAGTTTCTTCGACATCCTCCTTCCGAGCGTGGACTGGCGCTCCTCATCATCGAAAACAGGAGTTGGAGGCCTGGATTCTTCTTCTTCTGGGATCGTCGGGTGTTGATCCGACTTTTCGATCAAACGAATGGCTCCTTCTCTTGGTCCTCCGTCAGGTCCAAGGAAACATCCCAAAATGGACCCTGCAGAGATAAGAACGCGCATATGTCTCGGAAGTTTTTCGATGCGCACCGAGCAGGGTCACCGATGAAGCCACTCCACATGCCAGAAGATACGGATATCGGTCAAAGAGCGTGTTTTCAAACACACCAGACCATTTCACGGCCGGACGTTCGACTAAGGCAATCAGGGCCGTCTCTTTACCGCGGATAGAGAGTGATGAACGCACAAGCTCCACCAACGATAGCACCGGCAACACCACCGAGGCCCCAGCAGAAGCTGAGAGATAACGACTTAAGAAACGAGCCTCTCTCCTGTCGCAGACAAGATGCACGCACCCCAAAATAGCATATGCTCTGCCTTCATTGGATGCATCGGTGATGAACGCGACTGAGCCACGCGCGACACCGACTGCCCCGGCAAACACACCCTGCAGGAGACGAATGCAAATCGCCTCCTCAAGCGATGTCGAAGTGCCAAATGCGGCACATGTCAGCGCGCTCCCCAGGAGTGAAACCACCAAGACAAAGCGGCGACCATGTTTTTCCGCCACAGTGGCCTGCAGGTCAGGTAGGTGAGCCGAGATTAAGGGGTCGTAGATACGTACCCAAAGGATCGCAGTTAGGAATTGGGTAAGGAAGAACGTCGATACTGATTTTACGTTAGATGCCTTCGCGTAGGAAAATGCGCCCCTCACCAAGGATCCCCGTCCAGAACGCAATCTCAGCATCGTCTTTCCAATCACGAAAGCCTACTCTACGTCAGGCTTGCTCAATGACGAGGGTAATGACGACGCGCCTTTGACCATGAACAGCACGAAGGGAGTGGAAACATTCGCAGAAAGAAATTCGCCAAGCATAGTCTGAGTAAGTGGGTTAGGTAGACGTATAAGGGGGCTGAGTACAGCGCACGATCGAAAGCACAATCATGGATAAGATTGGCAGAGGTGTGGCGTAGGGTTCTGCTGCCTGCATCACAACAGGTATGGGAGGTCGTTCGGTACCAGGTGTATCGACTGCATTGTCCCCTTCGCCGTCCGCGTTATCGTTCTGATTTCTCCAGCGAGACACGAAGCTGCCGCGGTGTCGACTAACGCTTCCAAAGGACATTCGACCCACAAAGCGCTGAATGCGACTGGTCGTCGGCTCGGGGCCGTCAGGACTGTCGTCCAAGGCAGACTCGTCTGGGCCAAAGGAACGTCGTGGGGGTGCCATTGCGAGCAAGATATCGAGGTATGGGCCGACGCGGCCTCAAAATACTCTGGCGATAAACGCGCAGGTTTGGAAGCGATGCTGGCCGAATTTGGCAGTGAGCAATGTCATATGTTTGGCTGCACAAGGAGCCAAACAGCCGATCGTGTGCTCTCTCTCCTAAACTTCCGGGTGAGAATTAGCCACTTGTAAAACTTGCTCGCCTGGGTCAACACATCTATCTGCTGGAACGCGCTGAGAATTCTCCAAGTGACCACCAACTGTCTATCTGACTGTCAAGAATCTAGTGACAGCAAGCGATCCAGTCCTGAAAGAGTGGCGAGCATTTGCAACCCGACTTGTGGAAGAGATCCATGCCTTCTCACGCAGTCCCCCTCTTTTTTGCCAATTTTTTCTGCCTGCATTCATTTATCAAGTCCAAACGCTCCCTTGAATGTCTCCACTTGGATGTTCTTGAATGAATGATTCAGCTCGAGGTTTATTTTTTGCACTGGCAGCTGGAGCTGTCGCAGTGCCGGCTCATCGCATCTGTCTCTCACCCATTGTTTGGGAGGGGCGGAGATGGGTACCTACCTACCTGCACTGGGCACGCCGAGACTTGCATTATTTTTGCGCTTAGACGATTGTCCCTTTGATCGCAAACCTGTTGCGATGCAGCACATGGATGAGGTTGCTCTGGTTTCATGGTGATCATTTGTTGTCGTGTCGGACATTACTTATCACTGACACTGGCTTGACTCTGCATCCCTGTGCCACCACTGGACGATCGATGGGCCTTCGCTGACTCATCCATTCCATTCCCTGATTGCACGTCGGGGGGACGATCATCTCGTTCTGACTAAGCTCGCATTGGACGTTGACCTGCTACGCCAAAGCTTGTGCTGACACAAATATCCCTCTACTCTAAAATGCTATTTGGTGGATTGTGGCCGTGGCGCAAGCATGTGGACGCGAAGAGGGGATGCGTCGAGGGATCGACCCGAAAAAAGCGCGATGTTCATGGCTCAGATAGCAGCCTTTAGGATATCTGCATGGGTTTATTTCTTCTCGTCTAAGCAGGATCCGCCCGGCGGCCAGACTAAATGGTCTGTGCCGAACTCGAAATTCAAATGCTCCCCGTCGATCATTGGCGTGAGAAACGGAGGCAAAATCCTACGACGGGCCGATCAAGTGATCACCTCCCAAACACATCTCCCTCTGCACTGTGATTGTTGCTTCCCGTAAGCAAGCACTTGCCGCCCTTTGACTCAGAGTCAGACTCAGCCCTCGATTGCAACTCAATCATATCCTGGTCCAAGCTGTCCGCTCAAAGATTGAAATGATATTGTACCCGCAACCACTAGCGCTCTTGGAGACTGTCGTTGCCGTGAAACGGAGTCAGAGACAATGGCTCGGGAAGCGTGTCCGTGCAATATGGAGCGAGCTGTCGCCTTAACCGCGATGCTTATGTTCGCTGCAACCCTTATTGGCCCACGTAAATCCGGCTACGCGTGCGTTTTTACTTATTCACATTGCCACCCATTTCTCCGTGACTGACCCTGGGAGACAAGGATTTATTTTTTGTCCGCTGCTCGGACAACAGAAAACTTTCCATGGCATTGCCGAGATCGTATGTACATGCCCGCGTGTCCGAATTACGCCCGGACAGAAGTTGTCGACTTGGCGGAAAGTGCCCTTACGCAAGCCATCTTCAGAACCCTAATTTGGCCGGGTGTAGATGCCGATTGAATCGATCACTTTGGAGGCGCGTGCGGTTTATAAACCGGAGTGCTACTTTCTGTCTACGGCGCATCTCTACTTCTTTCTCCGCCTCTTCATCACTATCCACTTTCTGCCTTCTCGCCCATTTCTATCTCAATGGCTTCTTCCTCTCACAAGGCTCCCGCCACAAAATTCGTTCTTCCCGACCTCGTTTCGCACTGCGACTTCCCGCTTCGCGTCAGCCGCCATCGCAAGCAAGTGACCGGCGAGACAAAGCAGTGGCTTTTCAAAGGCGACAACCTCACCAACCCCAAAATCCGCGAGCGCTTCCATGGACTCAAGTGCGGAACCCTTACAGCGATGTGCTATCCGGACGCTGGCTGCCCGCAATTGCGCGTGTGCAATGACTTTCTCACCTACCTCTTCCACCTCGACAACCTTTCGGATGACATGGACACCCATGGAACGCAGACGACAGCCGACACTGTGCTGAATGCTCTCTATCACCCTCACACCGACCGGTCCCAAGCGCGTGTTGCGAAGATGACGAGAGAGTGCGTCCGCTGATCTCTCCGCGGACAATCTGTGCTTACCCACTGCAGCTATTACAAGCGGATGGTCGCCACCGCGTCTCCCGGCACACAGCGTCGGGTGTGTTTCTTCCTTGGCGATACACTTCCCGATCTCATCGCCTGTCTAGTTCATCGAGACGTTCGACTTTTTCTTCCAGAGCGTGACACAGCAAGCCATGGATCGTGATGCAGGTGTTATCCCTGATCTCGAGTCATACATTGCCCTGAGAAGAGACACATCTGGTCAGTCCCGTCGCACCCGAGCGTTCCCGCTGTCTGACAAGATGAACAGGTTGCAAACCATCTTTTGCCCTGATCGAGTGCGCTCGCTCCCATCTGATCGCATCCACCAGCGCTGACCTCAGTCCAGATATGCCAACAACTTGGACATTCCGGACGAAGTGATGGAGCATCCGCTGCTCATGAGTCTGACAGAAGCTGCCAACGACCTGGTGACCTGGTCGAATGTACGGTCTGCTTGCCTCATCTCCCGGGCGTGAGAGCTCACGTTGCTCCACAGGACATCTTCTCCTACAACGTGGAACAGTCCAAGGTATGCACCGATCAGTGCCGCTGCTTCCCCGCTGTTCTGACTCGCACGACAGGGCGACACGCACAACATGATTCCTGTCGTCATGAGCGAGCAGGGTCTTGATCTGCAAGCGGCCATCGACTTCGTGGGCGACATGTGCAAAGGATCGATTGACCGTTTCAACGAGGATCGTGCGCAGCTGCCATCCTGGGGCGAGAAGGTTGACAGGGATGTGGCGGTGTACGTTGATGGGCTTGCTGACTGGATTGTTGGGTGCGTCCTTGTGTGCTATCCGGTCACGGCCGTGGCTAACTTTGCATGGGCAGTTCTCTGCACTGGTCGTTCACCACCACGCGTTACTTTGGGAAGACTGGCTCGGCAATCAAAGCCAGTCGTGTTGTGGACTTGCTTCCCTCCCGGGTATGATCTAATCCAGGTGCGTCTGCGGCCATTTAGGATGCCGGCCTCGTTGCTTATTTCATTTCCTTGTTCTTGCCCAGCTCCGCGTCGGCAACTTCCCTCTCAATATCGATTATCGCGGGGACAGTTTTGGCTCGATTGAGCTGCCGTCGCCCGCTGTAGCACCACATTCCCGTCTTCTCCGCATGGACAAGCACGCCCAAAAACCGCCTACAACTTATCTTACTTAACTGTATCTCATCCCGAACTTTTCCGCATTCCAGACGTGTATTGTCTACAAACCCTTACTTTCCTTGTTTGCTTACCTAGTACTACCACCACCCCTCTTTAGTCATCCCTCACCTAGATTATCTCTTATTCACTCCTTATAGCGTAGATTCGCATAAAGTTGTCTACCTATCTTACAATGGAATTATGTATTCAGCATTTCCGAGCCGCGTCCGACACATCGGAATTCCCTTTCGGTTGTGGCTGGCCATGCGCCTTGTGCGTGCGCGCATCGCAGCAAACATATGTTTCACCTCCCCCTCGTGCTGCGGAACTCGCTGTCCGTTGTAACGACGACTCCGGTCTGTCACGAGTCGCAACCATGAATCTGGCGGCGACATCCGCGCTGTTTTCGGAACTATGTGAATCACTCGACATGCGGACCCAAGCGGGCAGCGCGCCCGCTTTGATCCAAGGGGCTCCCGCGCCTTATCATCCCGATCATTATGCCGGAATCGCAGAGAATGGGGACCGCGGTTGTCTAGGCGGCGGCCCCCGAGCGTTACGGCAGGGCCGATTGCTCGCGGCTAAACGGACAGGAGAAAATTCACGCTGTTTTCGGGTCCACTGTGAATTAGTATCACCGCTACGCAGAACGCGGCCAGGATGCATATGTCGTCTTCTCAGTTTCACCCTCGTTTTTGTCACCTTGACATCTTTGTCACGTGATCGCGTTCGCTACTTGGATTCAATTTCCGAACCCAAGTCTAAGTATATGCGTCCTTCGCGACAGTTTTACCACTCCGTTTGGACTATTCATAGCATAAAAACGTGAATACATCTCCATTGAATATACCACTACATATGTGATGGCATAATAAGTAATATGCGATAATCGATACAGGACAGCAGGATAACAATGGCAGGACGAACGAGAGCATTTCGATAGACAGCATTCAGCTAAATTGGTACCGCGAGACGTCCCTGGCTCTCGAAAAGCGCGAGCTCTCGGTTGGTAGGCCGCGAAATCGGGGGCTGCTGCGTACGTGGAAACGGGGCAAAAGTGTCATGGGGCGCAGGATAACCCAGTGACAGCGGAGCTCCCTCGCTCAGGGAGAAGGCCGTCGTCTCCCCTGCGGAGCCGATGGCCGCCACAAAGGGCTGTGCTCCTTGGACAGCAGCATGCAGTGCCACGGCTTGCGTCGCCTTGTCTGATAATCACGGAATCAAAACATACCCGGGACGATCACGCGATGACGTACACTGACTGCGCCCCCAGCTGAGTCTGATCCGGCTGCCCTCGACGACCAACCCGTGCATGTGGTCGATCGCTCTGACCGCATCGGTCTTGCGGACAAACTGCACGAATCCACAGTGCTTCCCGGCTGGGATCCGGACCTGCATGGAGGACTCGCTTGTCAGCAATGAGACACGCGCAGGAGAGAGCAACGCCACCCACATAGTGGATCTCGCCGAATTGGGCGAACAGAGCCCGGAGAGCGTCCTCTCGGATCAAGGAGCTCAGCCCACCAACGAATACAGTGGTGTTGTAAGGATCCATTTGAGGCTGTTCGAAATCAAGCCGGATTCCCGAGATGCTGCGGGCCTGCTCCCATTCTTGGTTCCAAGCTCGCCCGCCGATGTCGCGATTGGAAGGTTGCAAGGGGCCGGCAGTGTTTCGATGTGCACCGGGAACACGCGCTGTGGGGGCTGGAAACAACGGCTTCGTGGTGGCAAGAGCAATGCGCACTGGCAATCACGCATCAGCATGTGCTCGGGGGCATCGAGGGCTCGACTCACTCGGACGCGACAAGCAGTACATCCCCTGCATCTCGACCAGCGCACGTTGCTGATCAGCCTCTTCGGCGAATCTGACGAACCCGAATCCGCGACTGATCCCCGTTTCCGCATCGACCATCACTTTGGCACTCTTGCAGCTCGGGAACGGCCGCACGAGTCTAGGCGGTCTATCGATGCGGAGACCGAGTCGTGGATCTTGAAATACCTGTGCGAAACAATCTCGTCATCAGCTGTGCCTATTTCAAAGACTGTCATCTTACCGCAAGTAAGTCACTATTTGACGTGTCTGGACTGAGATCGCTGACATGCAGGCTATATTCGCGCTGCGGCTCTTGCGGCGCCACGTCCCGAGAAACCTCCGGCCCAGGAGGCCAGGAACCACGACGCACAGCGACCGGAGCCTGGCCGTCACTGTTCTCGGCATTCAGAGTCTCGATTGAAGACAGGTTCCGCCGGTGCGACTGGCCAGCGAGTCCAGACGAAATTGATGATGGCGGCAAGCGGATTGGGAGACTGCCCGAAGGCGTGATCCAATTGTAACTCAAGGGCAATGCGAACGAGGAGAGGCGAGAATCAGCCATGGGAGACGGTTTCTGGGCGGCGAGAGTCACTGTTATAGGCACGGTGAGGGGAGACACGGAGGATGAGGAGAGGCGAGGAGCAAGATGTCAAGAGCACAATGGGGGGCCACAGCCTTGCTTAGAGTCATTTGCGGGTCAGTATAGGCGAAGACCTTTCCCCAATAGTCGAACAATGGGCTTGGTCCAACGCGGGTTCTTGATCTTAACATGCTCAATGTGCTTGTTAACAGGGAGAACAAGTCAAGTCAGCTTGGATCTGCCGATAACAATGGTCGAGATGAAACTTGGCAGCGTTGTCGTTCACGAGGACGTATCATCAAGGTGAAGAGTGCACTTCTTTGACTCAGTTGTGCGTACAACGGTGCACCCGATGATCGCGGAGGTCAGAATGATTGAGCTTTCAAGAGTGATTCAAAGTGTGGAACCTTCACAGAATCGACGGCTCGGGGCAGCTAGTTGGCGAGAGCACGAAGGAATGGTGTGGCGATAGCCCGAGAATCAAATGTCAGTCCTTGACGGTGGCTGGGAGTCACAGTGACATGAGGATACATCATACATGCGAACGCGATCACCTGATACGTCACGCGACTTAATGTTTGTTTGTTTGTTTGAATCTGCATTTGTATTCCGCAACAAGTAACTGAGTACTAAGACGCGGTGAAACGCGACTTAATGAGCTGTCCCAATCTTACTAATCCAACAACAGGTTCAAATTGATTGTCCTCAATCAGATTTGCGGAAAGCCATTCGTGAAGTGAATTCTCTGCTCTCACTGCTTTTTCTAGTGCGTCACGCCGTTGTCGGCTGCTCGACTAAGACGCATCTACGCATTTATCTACAGCCAAGAGCTGGGCAACGCGCAACGCTATGCACGACGCGCCGCCCAAACTCTCCGGTCTCTGGCGTCATGGAATCGAGAGTTGACTGGCCTGTCGGGATACTGCGAGAAAAATAAAATGGATTTCGTCGTTCCTATCATACATTTCTACCGCCTCGCAACGGGCCATCCGCCATCCCGAATCCTGATTTGTACATTTGGATCGTGCAGCCCACGAGCTGGGACGGATTTCATCCGGATTTGACAGGGCTTCCCGGCTGATTCTGAGCCGTCGTGCCTGCGCCATTCGAGGTCCTGACAGTACTGGCGGCGGGGCTGCTACACAGCTCAGTGGTTTTCGAGACTCGGCACAAGGTCCGACCTACTTAGTAGGCTCGCCCATTTTCTGCTCTTTTTGGGGGATATAGAAGTTATTTCCTGTGGATGGTCAATGCCCGAACGATATTTTATAAATTGGAGCCTCACGCACTTGAGCGTCGGATGAATCAAGATCGGATGAGGAAGAACCAGGGTGCCCAGTTGAGTTGATCCCTTTTGACTCAGGTCAGAGGAGTGCTGCTTTCTGGGCGCTTATCGCACCCAGATATATATTCTCTGCGGCCCCCCATGTGATGTAAGCAAGCACTCCCGGGCAGCCGATGATTTAGTACAGGCTGGGGGTCACCAGACTTCATCCGGCATGATTCCTGTGGGTAAAAGCAGCTAAGGTTCGCCAGAGCACAATATCATTGGGCGCCTAAGTCGCTCTTTGCGAGAAACAGGCACAGATAGGCTGGGGAATTAGACACCGGTCCCAGTTTCCCAGCCTGTCTCACAATTTATCAGTGGCGTCTGCTCGAGAAGACGGTGGACAGAATCAGGTCCTCGAGCCATGGGTCCTACCTTTCGCTATTTGAATTGCATCTTACCATGGGATCAGACTTGCGTAGCGGTCGAAACGAGTCGAGACTCTGTCTTAACTTGGGCAAGCCCACAAGCAGATTGGCGCTTTCCACGCCATCTCCGGAACGTGTCGTTCGTAGCCAGGGGTGGGAGTCGGATCATAGGCAGTATGACAGCAATGTATATTCGCTGAGGATAGAGCGATGAGTAAGTACAAAATTGCAAATAACGCATGCGTGTCCAAGGACAAACCCCCCCTCAAAGACCACGATGAGTAAGACATTTATATATATGCAGCGATCACGCGGCCCAGCGCACAGACCGCTTGGGGAGAGCGGTATCTTCATTTGTGCTAGGGTCGGCTTGGATATTATCCTCAGATAGCCTCCTGATCTCCTGCGAGCGTCTGGCAGCCTCCTTGACGTTTTCATGAGCCGTGTGCGAAGTCGCAAGTTCACGGATATTGACAGACAGAATGCCCGCGGTCGCGGCTTCGTCGGAGGCGGCGGGCAGGGGCGGAGAGTGGAGCGGCAGCTCGATATCTGAAACGACAGCGGATGAGCAAACACGGAGATGCCGTGGACGCGTGAGAGAAAAAGAGACGCACTCCGATCAAAAGCGTTCCCACCCTGCATGGCGAGCAACGTGCTGAGCGGATACGGCTCCGTCTTCGCCACACTGAGCGAGCTGCGTCGGCCGAGCCGGCCAGACCGCTGCATGATCTCAAACACCACAGCCGGTTGGCCAGAGAGGTCCATGTATTCCAGGTTCTGCTCCCATCTCGGATTTGTCATTTCTCCTTTGACAGCAGTTGTTTGGAGAACGCGGCCCGTAGCGGCCCGAGGATGATCCGCGTCGGACAGATCGCGGACAATCTGCACGCTGACGTAGGCGTCTGGACGGACGGGAGCCTTCCCTGCACGTTTTGCGGAAGGGAGTAAGGTGGCTGCATCAACTGGACGAGAGGGGCAGCAAAGGGTCAATAAAATTGCTTTGCGGGGTAAGTATATGGAGCATCACGTACTGTGGAATTGGATGCGCTTCGAGTAGATTTGTTCCATGTTCAGCTGCAGATGCAGAAGGGAGTAGGTGGTGGAGTGGAGTTGCGGGGTGCTGGAGCAACACATGGAAGGGTGGCAAGCCTCTCTTTTATAGCAGGGAAAGCTGTGAAAGGATCTGCGAACATCGTTTCCCGAAAAGGAAACGAAGAGGCTTGGCCCGGCTGTTAACAGCTTTCGGCTGAATCATCCGGGCAACAATGCGCCTTTCCGATCGACGTCGGGGCACCGCAGGGCTCTGCTTCGGAGCCAGCGACATGCGTGGTCCATACTGTGGCTGCGGGGGCGGGCTGTGCGTGCGAGCCTCGCATGTGATGCACCAACAAAACGAGGAGAAAACGCTCAATTTGTCTGCATTGTGCAGCGACGACAGCAATCACACAAGGCTGTAGAACGCCTGACGACAATCGATCGGTGAGACTAATATAACATTGTTCATGGGGATGCTGTAGTGCTAGACAGGCGGATACATGTATGGGGGAAAGTGCTGTAGAATGAGTGCTTGATGGTACAATGTCAGTGTCACAACGGAGGATAAGGAGGGAAACGCATTTCTCGAATGTTACAGTCATACATTCCGCTTGATGACGGACATGAGCCCGGGAACGCCTCGAGCTTGGGCGACCGCAACCGGTCGATGCGGGTCCGACGTACTGGATCGCATCGCAGAGGCAGAGTATGCTATCTAGCAACATGGTACGTTCGAGTCAGCGATTTTCAGAATAGTCTAGAGCGCACCTCCACTTTGAAGAAGCCATTCCTCCGATGCTTCGGCCCACAGATTGTGCAGTCCCATCTGAGCACGGCCCGCAAAGGCTGGCAATCAGCCCCACAATCAGAAGCGCCAGCAAGCGTACCGTTCATCTACTAAGGCGTTCCCTCCCATGACCCCCGCATCCTCCAGGAGATCTTCACGTGCGACCCGCAGTAGCTGCACCACGTTCACCCCGCCTTCGCAGATGAAGACGTCCGCACGCCGGACTGTCGAGCGCCACGCATCTTGCGCGCCCTCGACTACCTGCGAGTGGGACAGAGGTTGAAGCCCGGAGGATGATTCGATGTGATGGGGCTTCTTGACCTGTCGAGGGCGCATGCGCAGAAACAGGCTCGCTGCATCAGCGATCCCGAGATTGGCACGCTGGATTCCTGGCTCCGATGACAGCTGACTGTCGGACGCGGTGTCTCGAGCGACAGGCCCCGGAGCTGTGCCTTTCAAGGCTGTCTTTCTCGGGGACGCATTGGAATTGGGCGTGTGGAGCACTTCACCGATGGTGTCAGGCTGGGTGCTAGTGCTCGAGCCGCCACTTGGGGTCCGGAAGGTGAGAATACGGGTGCGTGGGACTGGGAGAGCAATGGAAGAGGCCGTGCGTGAGGACTCAGACTCTGAGCTACGGGGTTGGAATAGTTTCATGGGTTCCTGGGGAGAGTTGCAACGTGTTCTGAGTCCTGACTGTAACTGACTCCACTGCGGGGTTTCAATGTCGGCTACTTGATTTGGGTAAATCCCGATCACTGATGGACAAAAAGGATGCACGGAAGCAAATCTGGAATCTCGTGTCAGCTGCTGCGTCTCGTTCAACTTCTTCACTGCTTTCCGTATCACAAAGAAGGATTCCAACTCGAATTTCGTACTAAATGGCCCTACGTTCAGGTCCCTTGAATGCGAGTCTTCGGGGAAAGTGCGGCGGCTCATGTGATCAAGTTCTCTTTGGCTGTTCGATTCGCTATCCAGTCATAATAGTCTGTTCACCTTTCCAAGTCTGAAGATTGAAGCTCAATTTTCTGCCATCAAAAGACAAAAAATAGAAAGGACAAAAGACCAACCTTCCAGCCTGGAGGTGAGACTTGCAGAAGCTACAGGATTGCACCCACAGTGGTAGGATTTAGGCTAAGGACATGGATGTAGCCATAAAAACTTTAGTCTAAAGTCATGAATCTAGCCATGGCTTGGCTGTAGCCATGTTCCCGAGACTATTGCGTGGCATCACATGGCTCGGATATCGCAGATGATATACAGCGGGCCGCTGTACCGACCACGTGCCTCATACAATCACCCGGCAGGCAGCCGGCATTGCTGTCTATCACACGCGAGTGTCTGTGCCGTGAATATGCCACCAAAGCCGTGTTGATTGTATCAAATCCCGCCCCGTCAGCCTCGGCAATCAAGCATTAAGCATTCTTATGCCCGCCCCAGGTCAAAATCCCGCCCTATCTTATCTTATCATCCATTCATTCTCAATCCCGACCGATCTTATCTGACCATGCTTATCTTATCTACCTAACGTCCTCGAGTCTGATCCGCCACCGTGGCAAGAATCCTACTGCCCCACTTGTCCTTCAACTGGGTTCGCAGTCGCACATGCCAATCCGCTTGCTTTGCTGCATATGCAGCGGCACCCGCGCGGACCTCCCTGGACCAATCATCACTCGATCCTCGATTACCCCACCATGTCGACTGCCAATCCAGGTACGCAACAACTCGCCGCATCTCTTCTCGTAACAAAAGCACTTCCTCTGTCCACCTGTCCCGACGCGCGCGCGCTCGACACCACTCGACTCGGATCGCTGGATAATCATCAGTCAGAACTTGATCAATAGAGAATGGAGTCAACTCACACTCATGAAGGTCCTTTTCGCAATCATCCAGAGCACCAGCAGCAGTCCATATCCAGGACATGACCTGCTTCGACGAACCCGCCTCGTGTCTAGGAGCGCGCCCCGCCCCCAGCGCAGCGATCTTCTTCGCGGTTCGCACATCCGTCTTCTCGGCATCAGTTGCCATGGCAACACCGCTCATCTGGAGATCCTCATCCTTCAGCTCCCTCAGCTGAGGAAACCTCATCTCCGCTCCCGCATCCACCAATGCCTGCCTGCCCTTCTGATACCTCTCTGCGAGCAACTTGACCTTCTCCCCGACCTCACCGATCAGCGTCCGTGCCCTGCTTGTCTGATTCTGCCCCGTGAGATTGGCGTTTCGGAAACTGATGAGATGGCGCTTGGCATGGAGGTGGGACCGGATCTGCGCCAAGCAGTTCTCACATTGCGCCGCGCGAAGCTTGGTCTCCATCTCCACCAGTCCTGACACAGAACCTCTCTGCTCTCCAAGTTCCGCGGGCATCTCGGATGGCATCCACAACTTGACGCGCTCAGGACGAGGTGACACATCCGGGGACTCCTGAGACGCAATGACTCTTGATGCTGCGGGCATGTAGATTGCTTGCAGCTCCCGAAACCGGGCCGTCTTGACGAGTAAAGTGTGTCGCCATTCCTCGATCCGATTCGCTCGTTCACCGGACTGTAGAACCGTGCCAACCATCTCCAAGATAATTCGGCGCCTCAGATAGCCATTAGTCTATATAGCACTCCCACAACTGTTGAATACGCACTGTAGGTCCTCAATCTGTATGCCCGCTACCAGAAATGCCGTTGCACTCTGTCCTTTCAGAGGCAACTGCCCATCGGCAATAAGCTTCTCCTCTGCTTGACGCAGCTCCAACCGCACTTGAGATTCTGGTATACAAACTGTCGGGCATTAGTGATTGAGACCAATGGACGAGACGGGGACATACCTGAAACAACAAGCATGTATGGATTGACGTTCTTTGATGGATCCTTCAGCCATGCACTGATAAGCTCCCGCCACTGGGCCTTGACGTCATCATGCACCGTCTCGCTAACCTCGTTGAAGGCCATGACTTGGATGTCGCGCTCAGATTCGGCCAGTTTGAGTCGCGCAAGCAGGACTCGACCGATTGTCCAAGATCAGAGTGTTACGCGGGCAAGCAGCAATAGACATACCTAAGCTCATGTTCTTGAGGAAGTTATGATGATCCAGTCGTTCCTCAACAATGTCTGCTCGTACTCCCAGGCCAGCCGTCTTCGTCGCGTATCCTACAGGGTTTGTGATCGACCACACTCGCTCGACCCCCTCACCGTCTGTCTTGCCAACTCCAGGCTTGAAGCTCAGACTATTGTCGTTCTGGCATTCGATGTTGTGTGATCCCGCGTGCCACACAGGTAATGCGCACTGAAGGTCAATGCTGTCGAGAGGTTGATGGAGCTCCGCCGGTAGTTTGTTCATACGAGTGCTGAGATTCGCTTTCCATTGGCACCCGATGTCGTAGGATAGAGTAAGCATGAGTAGCGAGAAGCCAACAAGTGCGGAGAAGACGATGAAGTCCATGTTAGCGTATCTGTTAGATGTTAGTCTACGGTTCCTTGTTGTCAATAGCGAGCGCACCTTTCTCCCTTCTGCAAGTCACCCAACCCGTTTGGACGCATGCACTCATGACGAGCGCAAACACAGCCACCAACTCCCGAAACTCGTAGTCCAGTCGTTAAGCGTGTGTTCTTTTGGAGAAGAGCGGCGAATGCGATACATGTGCTGGCCTGAGAAAAGTCAGACGATTTGGAGACAGCTGACAACAAGCACAAACATCCTCCTCGCTGACGTAGTTTTTGAGATGCTTCTGATACTTGTCCGGTTCCACCCAGTAGCCCCAACCCGGACCCAAAGATGGATCTTGAATTTCGTTTGCTCTCAGTCGATTTTTCATCCGGAAATTTGCATCGATTGCCAGCAGTAACATGTAGATAAAGCTGTCAAAATGTCAATCGTGTGAATGTGACGTCATCAAGGCAGCGGACCGAAATTCCGGAGCAATGTCGCGCCAATTCTTTGGCAGATTCCTCCCTTCGTAAGGACATGCCCAGCATATCACCGCACATTCCCCATTCTTCGTGTTATTGACGCCCAACGGATCGTGACCCCGCCCAGCTCGAATCAGTCGCAGAAGAAACGCCCATTGGCGCGCCATCCGTTGTAGTTGCTTATAGCGATCCTGCGATGGATCCAGTCAGTGCTTTTCCAAGTCCAGAGGCTGATAGGACTTACCGGAACCTTACACATCCCAGCGCGAGCTGACATTGCAGTCATCTCTTCCAATGAAGATACAAAGTCGCGGGCATTCAGGCTTCCCACCACCGAATACAGACGAAAGGACTCGAGCGTCTCGTAAGTAGCGCAGGTATTGGGATCGATTCCGGTTGCTGGATACCACTGATTACGCAGCAGCTGTTCGATGTTGCTGGCATGGTCAGAGCGATCACATTGGCAGTATTGAAACCGGATTGTGTGGATGTATGGTGCGTGTATGACCGTGAGCTGCCTCACAGTAGGATTCGGAAAAGGGCAAGCCCATCCTCCGTGCCCAAGCTGATACACGAGTCCAAGATCTGCCAGTCTCGTTCTCGTCCACCAATGTCCAGTCCATTCCTGCTCACGGTAAGTTTGTATTCACATTTGGTATGTGAGCGCACCTCAATGACATGTAAAGGCATCGTTTCATGTGCGTCGAGCAGGCATCCCTGACATTGAAGATATGGCCCACAGTTGTTGCATCGGAAAATGCGGCACGGACCGCCCTCCAGTGCGCATTCACAGCGGGCACACTGGGGACTCTCCATGTAGTCTCCTAGACCATCGTTACGCAAGAGCTCTTTGACATATAACTGCATTCGAGGTCGCCACAGAGACATTGGGTCTTTCTGCTCGCAAACATCAGCATCGATCACCCGACCAGGCCAATTAAGAACGCACTGAGCTCCGGTAGACCTTTTGCCCACTGTCTTCATCCTCAAACTCTTCTTCGTCAGAGTCCTCCTCCACCATTCTCGCAGCTCGAGGATCGTCACCCTCCATACTGAGGTCCGTATCATTGATTGCGGAGCCGCTACCGCCCACGTCAGGTATCCAGGAAGCAGCTTCGTTCTCCGTCCCTCCTGCGTGCGAATCCAGTTTCCGGCGTTTGCGCTTGACATTATTGAGCTCCAGTACTGCTGTGTTCTCCCTACCCGCCGTGAAATATCCGCGATCCGCGCTGACCATCTCCCAGACTTCGGGCGTGGATTGTGAAGCATTGTCCCATATCGGTGCCTTACTCGGACGCCCTCCCCGCCGACCGCCGCGTCCTTGACGGCCACTATGCTCATTGGAGAGATACATGCCGGGGTCAATCCAGGAACAGTCTCATGCAGTAAATATCGGAAGTATCACTTGTTATTTGGCTTGACAAACTCTCCATATGCAGATTTGTACCATTGATCTCGGCTACAGCTATGTATCAATCTCGACAAACTCACCACATGCTGATTTGTACCATTGATCTCAAATCAAAATTTTTCGCGGGCTACAGCTGTGTATCAACGTAATTTTGACCGTTCAGGGTTCCCAGAATATATCCTTGAGCAAAGCTGCCTCATTGTCCACATAGAAAGCGACTCACGGGTGAAAGGGAGCATTGTTGCTGAACTGACGGATCTTCAGGCACCGCACAAAGATCCGCGATGGGAGGAGACTTACCCGGAGATTGCCAGCTGGATGCAGTGGCAGGGGACGGATTCGGTGACAACAAGGGACTGGGCAGAGATGGCTACGGAGAGGGGCGAAAACGCAATCGAAATGTACTTGGAAGCGAGGGACTTGTTTGTATTGAGAAAGTAGCTTTCATACATGTGCTCACAATGTTGAATCGACTGTCCACTACTCTCGGACATACTCACGATAATCCTCCCTCGGCACAGGATCAGCAGGGTCCCAAGTTCCAGCATCCACCCTCCTAAACAGCTCCCGCTTGCGACCCTCCAAGATACGGGCCTTCTTGGCGGACACAAAGTTGTCGAAAGCTTCTGGGCCAAACTTGTCGTAATAGAGTCTGAGAGGCAGATGAGATACGATACAGAAGCGGAGGAGAATAGACGTACCTGTTGCGTCGCATAGCCTCCCGGACAGCCAACTCTTCCCTGTGACGTGCCCGATAACTAGCCTGGGAAGCGCGCGCGCGAGCTCTGAATGCGTGTTGTTCTGCTTCGGGGCGATCTTTGAGGGCGGCTCGTTTCCTGCTCCAGAGCATAGTGAGCGGAGTGCTCCAACAGTGTGATGTCAACATACTGCGCCATACGAATGCGCGAGGCGGCATTCCTGACCTTGCGCCGGGCCTCTCTAGTCCGGAGTTAGCTCCCGACGACAATCAGGGCGTAATACTTAGCGTACTGGGTTTCCCATTCTGTGGTATCGGAGGAAGAGAGAGCTGATAGCGGCGGACGGATGGCAGTCATGTTGGGCGAGTGGGAATAGATGTGTTGACAGTGTGACAGAGTGTGACAGAGCCAATTCTGGCTCAGACGATGCGAGATACGGTCACGTGCCACATCCCGACAATTATTAACTCACCTTTCCTAGCTCCCATGGTGGCTTATCCACGCGTCAGCAATGCGGAAGGTCAAGCTAGTAACATGTCTCACAACGATGTCGTGACTTAAGATGATTAGAGTTAAAACACCGGCATGGTGACCAGTTTCCCGAAATATGGTGAGTTCGCTAACTGTCGACAATTAAATCGATTTCAGCTCCGCAATCGTCTAAAATCAAGACTCGAGCGTTCAGAACTGGAAATTTATCTGCTTGAAAAAGCCAGGGCAACAGTTTGCTCTGTAGATTGCATTGAATCTGATGAGTATATTTGATTCAAACACTCAGCAAAGAATGGTGAGTTCGCATCCCTTACTTTGTTCATAACGTCCTCAATAACGGAACTGCGCATAATTGGTGGATGTTGGAGGATCATGAACCTATACCAGACAATATGTACAACTCGATTCGAAAATTCAGCCAATGAGACTGTTGTGAGTCGTACCTGGTATAATAATTCATGTTGTTACATGCACATTTTGAGGTCCAGAAAAAAACTTCGGTTTCCGGTCAGTATTTATCCCCAGGAGTTCAATTCAATCATATTAAACAATGTTCCATGCTGAAATCTGGCTCTGGTGTCCTCAGCCTTTCAAGAATGTCTCAGACGATGCTCGGGGATGCCGGGCAAGAGCATAGATTAGATGGAGATTAGATAGAGATTAGATAAATCTCAAAAATCACATTCATGATTGTATCTAGGGAACACCAAGGTAGCTAATTTCTCCCCGTTGAGCCGCAGTAGCATATGCTGATCGCGCCGCCGCTTTTCCGGACACTTTCTCGTACCGCGAGTTTGGCACGCCAGCCACATTGAGTTGGCATTCGAGGTTGGATCGATAGACGCCAGGTCGCAGGCCACAGTATACAACATACCACAGGTCGCATTGGACCTCAGAGACACCTTCTAAAGGATTTGCAGTATCCGCTCCCTCGGCAGTGACAGGAATTGGCGCGCGATAGTCGTTGGTGAGGTTCTTGGCGATGAGCGACCGAGTCCAGCCATGTCGCTTAGCATACTGATAGGCGCACTCCGCATCTGCTCTGTTCGGGTATCCACGATGAATTGCACAGCTGTAACCATCTGTTGAGCGTTTTACATCAGTCCTGTGAGAAGTTTGAGATTCGAAAATTGCACGTGATAAGACAACAACATACCACTGCGAAAAAACCCCCTCAGACCGGCCGACAAAGACCACATAGCAGCTGGGACGCTTCCTCTTGGGAGCTGGAGGGGCTTCAATCTTCTTGACAGAGGCACCAGGTACTCCCTGTGTAGCGGCCGCAGCTCGGGACCTATTGGCGAGTCAACATCTGTTCATCCGAAACCAATCAGATCCTCACCACCGGGAAGTAACCCCAGACTCGGTTGGAGTGCGATAAGCGTAAATCTTGCTTGGGGACCGTGTAGCAGATAAAGCGGGAGGGAGCGCAGGAGCATTATCGTCCTGCTGGATATCGAGTTGTTGAAGCTGCTGAATGAGCTCGAGATCGTTGTCGGACATGGAAGTGAAGGATGAGGTCAATAAGGATTACTATCATCACATGCACATCGTGATATATGTGTCCGCAGGCAACTGCAGACTGTCTGGACTCTGCGGGCCCGCGGTTGCCCGCAGACACGTTGCGTCATAGCTCGGAACTGCTCCCGTGGCGGGAAACTCACCATGTGCAGTGACAGTATCTGTTACGGATAGAGATCTGGTATCAATCGAAGCCACATGAATGCATTTGAAGAGATACAAGTCAGCTACGGGACGGAAACAGTGTACAGACAACAAACGAACGGTTTCCCACATGCTTGAGCGTTGAGATCAGTCATTTGGGTTGGAGAGAGTGTGTGTTTAGTTGATGGGCAAAAAGAGAGGGTGGGAAGATTTGCCAGTCGAGCGTCCTTATATCGAAAATTCAAAACCCCGATGGCGATTCAAGATCTGGAACGAAGCGAGATCACGAGTGCTGGAAATGGTAAACAAAAACACAGTGACCTGTTATCCCTTTACCGCCGTTGACTGCTGTTAGCTCGAAGTACGTGAATACCAAAATTCCGTATCCTTGTATTGAAGAGCTGACATGGGCCAGATACAGATGGCCGTTCTGAAGAAGACACCTCAGCGCGCACGCAAGAAGGTTGCCAAAGACGAGCGGAAGAATCTACGACTCTGGGCTGTGGGCGCAAGAGAGACTATACTCAACACACATCTGCATGCAATCACCCTAGCACGTATGTCGGGCACCTGGGCCGATGAACGCGAGAAGATGCAGCAGGCATGCAATCATTATCACGCTGCTATTGACTGGCGAACTCCCGACCATGAAGAACCGGTCGAAGTTCGGGAGTATGATCCCAAGGCGCCGCCAGTCCCAGAGAATCTGTCTGCGGAAGAGACGATGCAGAAGCGCGCGACAATTGCGGCGCTGAATCTCGTGAGTGACCGATCGATCACGTGTTGTTCCCGTGACCTTTTCTCACCTCTTCCACCAGCGCATTAATCGCTGGTTCATCTATCGCATACGCCATTCGCTCAAGCAGCGCCGTGAATCCACCCTCGATCCCCGCAAAAGCGCCTATGCTGTTCTTCTGGCTCGGCTATCGGGATTGACACGTCCGCCGAAAGGGCTGCAGGGCTGGCAGCAGCTGATGCGCGAGTCATACCGGGAGAGGATTGCACCTGTTGTTGAGCAGAGACGTACTGAGCAGTTGGCAAGTTTGGGAGGTTCTGGGAGTGCCAAAGAAGATTTGAAGTACCGGGCCGGATTCCGGGCTGAGGTTGCGCGTGAAATCTTTGACGGTCTATCGAAGGAAGAGCAGAACGCCTTGAAGGAGAGAGCAAGGGAGGAGGCTGATCGGAAGCGAGAAGAGTATCAAGATTCATTGAGGGAAGGGCCAGCACGCGATTCTGAGAGTCGTCATCTGTATGTGATCGGTCATTGTGCATGAATCTCGAAGCTCACGGTCTCACAGTGCAATCGAACAAGTGCCGGGGTTCATCATGCCCATCCTGAAGGGTATCATGGACGCCACTGGTCTCTCTAGCACACTCATCTTGGGTGGACCAATGCCGGAGTTTGGAGGAGAGATTCGCGCTATCCAGTAAGTTACACTTACCTTCGTCATTCAGAGCGAGAATTGATTCATTCAACAGCTGCTCTTATGGAAAAGAAGGAACAAGCAATTGGGCGTCATCAGATCGACAACGCTTCTCGTCTCAGGTGCTCGATTTCATGGTAGCGTTCCTGAAAACGCAATACAGTACGTGGTTATCCAATCCAAATCCGTTTCGAAACTGACTTCAATGCAGCTGAGCAGGAATGTGCGGCCGCTGCTTTGCCAAACGATTCGGAGGTGCTTCAGAAAACCGCTCTCAGCAAAGCCCTCTACACCATACCTGCCCATGACGACACTGCTGCTAGCGATAGCTCCGAAGACGAGGAGGATCCTTGGTCCTCGGGGACAGAGAGCGAGGATGACCAAGATGCAATTACACTTGCTGAGGCTGCAAAGAAGAAGAAGGCGCGGATGAAGAGAAGGAAGACTGCGAAGTCTCTGGTCGACACGGCCGATGCCACACAGCCTGTCAAGAAGTCGAGGGCCAAGGTGCCGAAACCTCGAGCCAAGAAGCAGATGGGCGGGGATGAAGCGGCTGTACCTGTGGACGAGTCTGTATCCCCGCCTGCCCCGGAACCAGCACCGCCCGCACCAACGCAGAGAGCACCGGAGATGGTGACATACGAGTATGGTGACAATGTCGGCACTGTCACGTATCTGGATCGATGGCCTGGAATCCCGGATAGCGATTTGGCGCCAATGAAGGTTCGGGAGCGCAACATTGCCCGTAACCAGGCAGTGCTCGCAAAGCTTGACCTGATTGGTGCCACGACGGCAATGATGGGAGGGAACAAGGACGGGGGATCAGGCTCAAAGCGGGGAGCGGGGGAGATGGATGATACCGAGAGCCCGGTGCCAAAGCGGACACGTCAGGCCAAGCCAGTGGAGATCTCGAGCAGGAAGACACGTTCGTCCAATGTCCCCACCATTCCCAGCAATCCAGCATCGCCAATCCCCGACGCACCCATTCCCGATGTGCCAATCCCCGACGCGCCCATTCCCGTTGATGCGCCCATTCCCACCGATATCCCCGCCGATGCGACCATTCCCCCCGATGCGCCCATTCCTGCCGATGCGCCCATTCCCGCCGATGCGCCCATTCCTGCCGATGCACCCATTCCCGCCGATATCCCCGCCGATGATATCCCCGCCGATGCGCCCATTCCCATTGATGTCCCTGCCGATGCGCCCATTCCCGCCAATGTGCCAATTGCAATTGCGACTGCCACTGTTCCGATCATCGCCAAGGCCGCTGCTGTCACTCCTTTGACAATCGCCGACGACATTCCGAAGGTTCGTCGAGTGCCGCCATGCCCCGCGGGCGCACCTTCTTGGTTCACAGCTGGTCACGAGTATCTCACTGCTGTGGACCTCGGGCTTCATTATGATGCTGTCATCGCTGCTTGGGGCCGTATGGAGAAGGCGTCCAAGTTTGAGTCTTCCCCGACCGCTCTGCCCAGCAAGAATCGACCCAAGGCTCTGAGTGGCTGGATAAGCAGTCGTCGGAGACGCGTGCCAGAGATCCCAAGTCTGTCCGCATACGAGAAGGACTGGGTGGCTTGGTGGGACAGCATGCAACCCGATTGGCGGCAGCGCGAAAAAGATGGAAAACTGTGGGATCGAATGAGTGCCTATGGCAAGGATGGGCAGGAATGGGGTGATTTGTATCGGTGGGGTCCAAATGGTTTGATGACGGTCGTGGCATCGCTATATTTCTGGGGGATGAAGGTCATCAAACAAGGGACTGAGGCCCAGAAGCAATCATGGGAAGCAGCGGTGTCTGACGTTGTTTGGATCATGGAAGGTATGGCTACATATTACGAACGTTTCGTTGGACAGCGCTGGTAGAGAGGTAATCTAATCAGTATCATTGATGTAATCTGATCAGTATCGTTGCTAACTGGATTCCCTATGGTGAAATCTGTCAGTCGGCGCTGGGGCGGGACGCGTCGCTCGGGTCGCGCGACTTCTTGATGCGCATGCGCTCTGATGCGCAAGAAGCGCGCGAAAGAGATCAATATCAACCGGCGGATTTGATGTGCCAGCTGCGCGCAAAAGATCACTGTCGACTTGATGCGCCAGCAGCACATGAGAGAAACAATCGCCGAGCGGGAACCCGAGGACTTGATGCGCCGAAAGCACGTGCGGAGAGAGGCGGGATTGACCGAGTGATGTTTGCAGAAATCGCCGTGATGCTCACTGTCAACAGGCAAATTTCATGCGCCAGCAGCGCGCGAAAGAGACCGTAGCCGAGCGGGAGCCCCGAGGATTTCATGCGCCCAAAAGCACGTGTCGCCATGACCAAATGATGTGGAGGGAATGGTCGAGTGATGCCTGTATCTTTATCAGGCGGGGAATGATGCGCTCCTGCATGCTACGCAAGCTGTGTCGGGGACCATCCATCACGTTGTCAGCGATTACTGATTGTCGAGAATGATGATGCCGGAGATGGCTCAGAGTGCCGTATCAGCCGTATCACCTATTAGCGGGCTCTAGCCATGCGCATGGCTGCATCCATGTCTTTAGACTGATGTTTTCATGGCTACAGCCACGGTCATAAGTCTAAATCCTAGTGCTATGGCTCAGGATTGTGCAATCTTCAGCACTTGGTACCGAATTATCCCTTGCGCAAACTAGTAATCAAAATCCATGGCCGGGACTATCTGATCGCTGCGCGCGCAATTTTCGCCCTAGCACGCGTGATTTCAGCATACTTGGCTTTCCTCCTCTCCTTCTCCTGCAAAACGATGCGCTTCTTCCGCTGCGTATCGCTCAGATTGATTTCGTACTCGTCCTCCACCATCAGATCTTCCAGATGGCGATCGATAGACATCTCCATCTTGCTTTGCAGCAGCTGTGGCACGTGTTTCTGCCGTCGGGCGTGTTCGAGTTCGGTTCGGGACAAATCCCATTCGAGGTCGAAACCCCAGCCGTGTGTCGTGTTAGCAGGAATCAATTCGCCTCGTTCCAATGGCAATTCTGTTTCGTCGCTGAGCCTCTCTGGAAGAAGCCCCGGGGACGATAGATCGACGGCAGCGATGGATGAATCAGCGTCTAGGTTGGGATTGGCAAGCGCTTTGGCTCGTCTGCTCGGTTCTTTCAAACGATTTGAAACGGACGAGCCGAACTGCAACCCCGGCGGTGCCGCATCAGAGATGGCGAGCCCACCCTCGTCTCGCCACCATTTCACGAAAAATACGGCGGCCCTCCGTCGGTCCACTTCCCCGCCGCGCCCGATCATACGCAATCGCTGACCGAGACTCTCCAAGAAGTCCTCGATCGAATTTGTAGCACGGGCATCGGGGGAAAGAAGGGACAAATACGCGGGAGCTGGTTGAATTGTCAGTCATCCAGCTGGCAAAAAGATGAAAGGGTGGTACACGATGGGTTGAGAATATTTATTCGGTATAGCAGATAGGCTGCGAGCGTCTCGATGTCATACAGGCCTTCCTGTATCCCAGCTGACGAGGGCTCAGATCGAATTTTGGCTATTTGATTGTGACGCACCTATCAAAGCCAGCTTGACTCCACGTTCCGCCCCTCTTTCACCTTGTCCCAAGAACGGAAGCATCACACCGGGTGAGTCGTAAGCGTAAACGAGCGGATCAAGCGAAAGCTTCAAACGCGTCGATATGGCGCGAGTGTGCCCTGGATTTGAAGACGTCTGGAGAGCTTTGGGCGTTCCTTGAAATGCGCTCATGTTGGAACATGTCATGGAAAATCTGGAGAGAAAGACGCACGCCCTTTAATTCCCGCATTCCTCAACGAATTTAAGAGGGTTGATTTTCCAACATTCGGCATGCCTACCACGAGGACATTTAATTCCATCGCGTATGGATAACGTTTCGCGATTTCTTGAACGGTTGAGAGAAAATAGAGAGCAAAATAGAATGCGAGCAGACTCACCGACCAGAGTATCGCTCAATTTACGGATATCTCTTCCGCGGTTGAAAGATGCAAACATGAACTTCTGATCTGGAAATCGACTCTGCATGGCTCTGCGGAACGGCTGCACGTGGTACATCAGATGGAGTAGGGTCTACGGGATTGTCTTGGCAGACCTCCATCCCCCAGTCCGGAACCAAGTCCCTTTTGCTGAACACCACTATGCGCTCACAGCCGACGCTGTCCGCAATCCGTCTAGTCGGGTCTTGTGGGTCCCAGCCGCGCTCGAGTCGCCATCGTTTCAGGACCTCTGTTTCAGCTTAGCTTGGTGGCCGCCGTCCGAGGAGTCTTAGGCGCAGAAGCACACCTTCGAACGCAGGGTTCACACTCGTCAGCGGTAGCCGGGAGTCCCGGACTTCAAGGACGACGTTCGTTTGCGCAAGAAGGGATGGAAGAAGGCGCGTAAACTTGGCCATATGACCCGGGAACCATGAGGACGGCGTGGGCAGAAGTGGGGGTATAATAGGACCCAACATGCTCTCAGGTCATGCGGTGGCGATGAGAGAGAGAGAGCGGCAGTGACCTCAGGGATATCCTCCTCGCCTTTCGTCCGGGAGGGGCAATGTCAAAAGGTTCGGAGATCAGGCGAGCTGTTTGACGCTGTTGGACATGAGCGTCCGATCAGAGTATGTAAGATGTCTTCGCGATCTCATTCGCAGGGGATCAAGGCAGTGAGCACTGGCGCCAATGGCGACCGAAGGCTGCGCCGCAGTCGCGTAAGCCCCACTTGAGGGAAGCGTAGTACCGCAGCGAGCTACCGCCTCTCATGCCAATCTGAAGTCAGGCTCGGGTGACAGGCTAAACGTCGGAACCTTTCATGTATACGCGAATGCTTACCGGCTACCTGGGATTCAAACCGACTTACAGAATCGTTCAATTTAGATTCCTAGATTGTCCCGTCCTTGTACAGATGAGTAGTATAGATTATGAACTCCTGCTTCTCATCATGTAGCCTTCGTAAACGGCTTCTACATATCGTGGCCGAGACTGACGCACGAGCAAAATACATTGGCAAGAGATTGGGTAGTGGGTGGATAGTAGAATGGGATAAGAAAGCAGGGGTGCAAAGAAAGGCATGCGACATAGCAGACTGAGATGAATCAGCATCTAGCAAAAGGATCATACAGACAGACCCGCAAGGACATCGTGGAGGATGTTTCAGCGATGTGGGTGGCCAACGAAGCAGCCGTTGAGCACACACATACGTAAGAATTAGATCCATCCGTCCTTGCCAACGCCAATGGCATCGAAGTTCTTGCCACTTCTGGTTCTCCGCTCCTGCAAGACGGGTACGACATCCAGATTGATGAGTTTCTCCGAGGGTGGAGGCGAGCCCTCAACCCATCCCTTCCATCCTTTGCGCACAGCGGCACGTTGCTTTCGTTGCTTGTGCACCACTATCTCCTCATCATCGTTCGGGGTGCGTGGTCGCTTTGAAGAGGTTCGCGACGTGCTGGACGATTCAGAAGGACCGGGCGTCGATGCAGGCGTCGAAGGGAGCATAGCATTGGGAGAGCTGAAGGGTGGTGGGGTGACAGACATGGATCGATACATGGTGGCAATGTGAATGGCAGGTCGTGCGCTCCAATTGGCTGGCAGGGTCGATGATGACGTCGACGGGACTGGTAGCGGCGCTGAGATCGACATGGGTCGCGACGCGTCGACAACATCGCTGACGTCCTCCACATCCAATCGTTCGGCGTGGAGACCCAGGTTCATAGCCACGAGCCTTTCTCGTTTCCTCTCGCGTTCTCTCTCCTTCTTCTCTTTCTTCCTCTGTCTCCGTACCTCGTCATCGTCGATACGGTACATGGGCGTGTAAGGCGCGACGCCGTTGAGGAGACTCGTTAGAACGTCGCGCGGAGGCCTGGCGTCGAAATCGCCTGCCATGACGGATGTAGCGTTGCGTCGTACACGTTTACGCGATGGCATGACGGGGGGATGAGGATGAGCGAGCGCAGATGATGGATAATGGAGGGTGAGAGCCATGCGTGGAGTTGGTGGTGAGGGTAGAAAGGCAAAGGCGCCGCAGTGGAGTGCACTTTTCGGGCTGTCAATGACAGGTCGCAATCAACAAACATCCAGCGGACACGTGCTTCCCATTGGGACCCGATTCGCCCCTTCTATCTGCGTACTAAACATCTTTCCATGAGTCCACGCCTTTGTTCTTTTTGTATTGTCTTCTTTTCTTCCCGCGCGTCGACGTTGTTCCCGAAAGACATCGACTTTGCTGATGATAGCTTGGATCTTTCCGTGTTGTTCAACTTGTTGGGACTCGAAGCATCTGATTGCCTCCCAGGTTCTGACCTCGCCGTCGACTCAGTGATTCCCCTCATGACTGCAAGAGCTTGAGTCAATTGCCGTCTCCGCCCGTTCTAACCCGTTTCGGATTGACATCCATTTTCGCACAAGCGCCGAGCGCTTCTCCATTGTTAACAGCATCCACAACAGCAGAGCACGAGTGCACACGACATTTTCTCACGCTGCACATCAACGGCTTGCGGCGTTCTCATCCTTTTCTCTCCGCATGGGGTGTAAACATCTGCGACAAGTTGATTGGTTCCGCAACTGAGATCCAAGCGAGATCTGAGCCGCACGAAAACAGATCCGTCGTGAGGAGGCATGGAATGTGCGTGCGGTCTGGTGCCCCGATGGCCCATGGGCTTGTGCGGGCAATTGTCCCCATAGATGAGTAATCAGCCGATCACCCAAACTGATTCTCTTGGTTCCAGTGCCTGTGAATATCTATAGCGGAACAACAGAGCCATACGTACGTAATATGAGCCTTTCTGCAGCCAATGCACTGCCAAACCCTCAATCCGCTCTTCCATACGTTCTTGCGACTGCCCCTCCGGCATTCTTCGTTTAAAGCCGCATGCTTGCCGGCAGCCGCGACGCCGCGGTGAACACAAATTTAGGGTTCCGAATCTCACGTACGGTGAGCATGAGACCGTCGTCGATAATCTTCAGTCATCGATTCTCGCCCGGGATCCGCATGCTGATCTGAGTGCTGCACCGGCATGTCTACTCTATCGAGTTTATTTATGTACTTGAAATCGGTTTCCATCTCAAAGTGTCGGGAGATGATCACTTTACAGTTGTATCGGCCAAAGGACTGCATCTGAGTCCTACACCACCGCAGTTTTTCCATCCAGCAGTCGGCATTTTTCCGAATTCAATTTCGAAACCGCTCAACTAGGGCGCGGGGTTTGCAGCCCATTTTGCAATATTCGTCCCATCGTCGGAGCATTTGTCGGCAAGATATCTTGGCCTTTGAAGTCGTCCTTGGGGAATGGACTGCCAGGCACACGTTATTATTCGTGTGAAATGATATTTCACTCCAGACAATTGGGCATCATTTAGAGGCGCAGCTATTGAATGCATCTCGCGGGCATCATTTTCCACTTTGATGTTTGAAGACTCGATCAGCCTGTGTCCCCATGTGCCAGGTTTGTGCCGACATTTTCTCATTTTATTCCCGTTTCGAAGCTCGAAGTCTCACAGTGCTGAGGCCGCGCCAAAGCTCTCGCAGACTTTATTGTCAAAGCATCGGGACCTGCCGGAAAAGTCACGTAATTATTTCTTTTTGTGGAAGACGGGAGACATAGGAAAGAATCTAGACTTCTTTCTGGGCCCCTGCCGAACGGCGGGTGAGACCGAATTGAACGGTAAAAACGAACCGTGAGAAAAAACTGCATCGCTTTCTTCAGCGTCAGGACATCCGATTGTAACCTCAATAGTCCAGGAGCTCCCACACCAACTGTGCGGGCTGTGGAGTCGAATGTCCAATTTTCGCTTCAGTATACTTCGAAGCGCAGCATCGCCTTGCATCGCTCGTCCGCCCCAGCTAAGACCAAACCGATGCGTATCACGCTGACAGCATATGACACCCAGCGTGCCTAAAACCGCACTTTGTCAGCGATCAAATAACAGTTCTTGAGAATGGAAGTCTTGTCAGTCCGGGCCCGATGACCTGACCGGCCTTGATCATACGGGCGCAACGGGCGGTGATTTATATCGGCGGGAGCGTGGAATATGAAGTGTTCGAATGACGATGGGACGTCAAATTGAAGCGCATCTGTATGTGGAGAGTGCGGGGGTACCCGAATAATCATCTCAGCAGAGATCCTCGTGTGTTCCGCTGGACGCTTGCTCTCCCCAAGTCCCGGCAAAGCTTTGGACCGGAAACTGATCTCATCAGGAGAGGCACGATCGCGGCGTGACTCACCCCACACCTCTAAACTCTACCATCCCGCGTTAAGCCTAAATTTGGATCCGTGGCCTTTGCAAATACTATGTTAACAGTCACTTTCGTAAGTCGGGCGTCATGGCCGACAGTGCCGATACTAGTAACACGCTTCAGATCCGACACGGTCAATCGGAAGACAACTTGGTGGGTAACTAAGTGAAGACTCAAACACGAGGACTGCAACTTTACGGACCAGCGAGATGTTTGGGCTGGATGGAAGGATGCACCTTTGTCAGAGCTCGGTACGTGCACGGCATTCAACTCTCATCTGGGCTCGCTAACCGTTGTGCAGGGATGAAGGTACGATGATCGCTGCGCAGTAGCCACTTTCATATGCATATACCCACCTTCGTCAGCAAGCAGACGCTCTCGGTCAATCATTCCGTGATGACGACACTAGCTTCGACTTCCTCTACGCCTCTGATCTTCTGCGCGCGCATTCGACGGGGCTCGCAGTCTTGAACGCCCACCGCGAACCCAAGCCCGCGTTCGCGGTGAGCGAGAAACTCCGGGAGCAGTACTTTGGTATCGCTGAAGGTAACCGCTGGCTTGTCCGGATACCAAGCGACAAAACGAGGGAGCAGCTGTATGAGCAGAAGCTCTTTCCCGTGTTCCGCTCTCGTCACGAGAAGTTTCCCGAGGGCGAATCGTTGGACGATTTGGCGGAGCGTGCCGACGAAGCTGTGAAGCTGTTCATCCTGCCGCATATCAAGAAGGGCACGAATGTGCGAGTGGCGATAGCGAGCCACGGGCTGTGCATCAGCGAGTTGGTCGCAGCACTGTTACGGCTAGATCCAGATTCCAAGAGAGACGTCTCATACGCCGGGCTGTTGAACACGGCATGGACTCGAGCTGTTGTAGATCTCAAGGCCTGTGCTGAATCGACAGATGTTACTTGGCTTGCTGACGGATTAACAGGATACCTCATTCACTGGTCCCATTGACAGCACGAATCCTCCTCCCCTGAATGTGGAGATAACGCACGTAAACAACTCGGAGCATTACAATCTACTCCAGGTGGGGGCTCTCAAAGCGCCCCGATGCCATGCAACTGACTAAGCTTTCTATAGGGGACCAATACAAACCCGGTCCCATTGGGCGAGGAGAGCTCAGGCGCTCGTGCCTTCTTTGGAGGCAAGACCGAGATCTAGATCAGCAGACTGGCGTCGATCATTGCTGTAGGGCTTGTAGTCTCCCTCCAGCGACTTCCATAGACCTCCCCGGCCTGTTCAGAAACGAATCGCAATGTATAAGACCGGTTGGGCCAAAGTAGAGGAATCTGCCTCCGCACGGACAGCCGGTGGGCGCTCCGTCGGAACGTCATCTGCTGTGAACTGTTGGCGAACCCGCTCGGCAACTTTTGCCTCGCATCCTGATCTCGCATTCGAGCGAAGTCTTCCGGAGACGTTCTCGGAGGGGCGGCATGCCGATGGGAACTCACGGTGCCAGATCATGGCATTCTTGACGTCCGTGGAAACTAATGAGGCCTCGTTTCTCTGCTTCTTCCTGACTTGCCACCATCTTCGCTTCTGCATTCCTTTGCTGAGCAGCAATGCCTCAGCTGCACATAGAGGCATGGGTTCTATTAGCCCTACTCACATATCTGTTCGTCCGAATCGTCAAATACACGCACATCTTGACGGTGAGTGCGCTGATGTAGATAGGCAGAGTCCGTACCCAAATAAGCGGCACATCAGGCTCCGAGATACTTTCCGAGACTGATCAGCCCGTTCACACCACTGGGTCTGCCGGGTGCACTGCTTCCAGCCAGCTCCTGGACGGTTGCAGGCACGGGATTCCACTGGAGCTCTCGTTTCGACCGTGAGTGTTTCGAGCCCCCCAAGTTTGATCTTGCGACATTTGATTTGATTAAAGTCTATAAACGCGGGGAAACGATTCAACTTACACCCATTCTCGGCGGAGAAACATCCATCTGGACCTCCAACATCGACGTAGCTAAGCAGGTCGCCGTGGGATCTCACAAAACCAGCTACGTCAAACCTCCGTTCGGTGGCTTGGCCTTGTTGTAAGTGGCTATCATTCACACGGAGGCATCGGAAATCACGCAGTCGTTAGGATTTGGGGCATGAATCTGTTCTCTGCTGACGGATCATTGTGGCGCAAACATCGTCGCATCGTGGGACCAGCTTTCGGCAATGAGCTGTGAGTCGCCCGCTCACTCTCTCGCGAACGACGCCCATGAGCCATCAAGCTATGAGTTAGTTTGGGAATCGACTTCTCGGATCTACGAGGACATGGTCGAGAGCGAAGGATGGATACGCAATTCGGGAGGCTTTGATGTCGAGGATATGCATGTTCTCATGACCAAAGTGAGTGTCCTGTGCGATGCAGATAAACGCTGACCTTGTCCGCCTGTCATTCAGTTGGCATTTCTTGTCATAAGCACATGTGGATTCGGGTTTCAATCGGACTGGTCAGTGTTCCGAATTCAAACGAAAGCTGTGAGGGGCCAACGACTAGATCAGGCTGACCCCAACCGAAACCGCGAACGAAACTTTCCTCTCTGTGCAGCAAGCGCTAGAAATAGTCGCAACCGACTACATGATGCTTATCTTTGTCCCCGAGTTCATACTTAATTTGCCACTTCCCCGGTCAGGACACATGCTTCTCGAATGAAAGTTTCCTTCATCCCTAGCGTATCGCAGATTCATCAAGATCAGAAACGCCCGCGCCATGCTGATGGGATTCATGTTGAAGCAGGTGGCTGAACGGAAAGCGCTGATTGCGGCGGGTGTGTCGAACAAAGACGCTTTCACCCTTCTTGTCAAGGCGAACGAGGAGGAAACAGGCAGTCGTGTGCTGGACGATAGCGAACTGGTGACTGCGTTGCGCCTTGTGTCATCAGTTCCTGTATCTCATTGACGTAGATCGGGAATGTTTTCCTGTTTTTGTTTGCAGGCCACGGTCAGTGCGCAGAATCTTCCGGGCTCGGAAGCTGATGGACTTACCAGAAACGACGGCGCGCTCTTTGACGGCGACACTGGCTTGCATCGCACTCGACGATGAAATTCAGACCGAGGCGCTGGATCAAATTCTCGAAGTCGTGGGACCAGATGGCAAACCTGTGAGCAACCCGATATAGTACATGTTTTTAGCAGCTGATTTCCTGCAAATTGCCAGGAGTTCGAAGACTGCAATAAGCTAGATAAGGTTCTCGCGCTCTTCTACGAAGCCACTCGCATGTTTCGTGCGTCTGATTCAGCTGACATTTGACCCAGTGTATTCAATAGCTCGCAGCGGCAGCACATCTCCTGCTGAGGCAGGCTACAGAAGACAACGTGTTGCTTGTTCCCAAGCCCGTCAGCGAAGAAGGCACGATCGCTGTTCCCATTGCCAAAGGCACGACATTCATCGTGGACATGGTGGGCGCTCGTGAGTATCTCTGAGGATCTCGCGTACATTTAGATCTTATCTTGGGCAGAATACAATCCTCGCTACTTTGACGAGCCGGAAAAATTTAAGCCCTCGAGATGGCACGGTCTTCCGCCAGATTCAGAGCAGTTCACGGCCTTCAGTGTCGGTGCGTCTGCCAATACCACAAATTTTTGTGCAGTTACCTATTAAGAAATATTCCAGGCTCTCGGGCCTGCATCGGCCGCAAATTTGCAACTGTAGAAGCAATCTGTTTCTTGACGCGTTTCATAAGAGACTGGAAGGTGGCACCACTGCTGGCTCCAGGCGAAACCAGAGAACAATGGCGGAAACGTGTCCTGGATGCCAAAGTGCTGCTTGCGCTCGGGATCGAACGACTTCCGCTCACACTGGAGCGGAGAAAGTTGGCGTAAACAGGGAGTTCCGAATCACACGTGATCGCGTTTGATGACGCATTGATACATTTGATCTCGATATCTCAATTCACGCTCTGTACTTTGCTCTCGCTTGAGTGTGGACCGAATATTTAGAGGATCCTCTCATGAACTTGGCACGCCCAGATTAACCGGTCTAACACAAGACTCAACCATGTTCAAACTTCAAACCAGAAATTTGACGTCATAGGAGACGCGTGGGAATGTGTAATTTCGGGAATGTCAACACCGATGCGATCCCACGAACCATTCATCTCTCACCGCGACGATGTTGGGACTGGACGCTAACCCGACGACTTTGCTGTTTACTCTGGCTGCGGGTCTTCTGACCCTCCGGCCTGTGATGAGATATCTGCGTTCCTATGTATGTCAGCCTCGGAATACTCTAGCTCAAGATAGACAAGTCACCAATCTCATCCTCGCTCCAGCCTGAGAAGGACATCCCAATCGTGTACACTCTCTTCCAGCCTTTTGGGATACCTGGGGTCCTTCTACCTACGACCCGTCGCTGGACGACCGGCTTGGATTGGATGTGGATTCGCAGGGGCCAAAGTGCGTTTCTCAGGGGCAGCACAGGAACCCATTTCGTGACTAACGCGCCCAAGCCTACACCACGAATGAGACAATCCGCCTCGTACCCCTTCTGGCGGGTGACTCCGAGCTCTGGACTTGCGATATGGATGTCGCGCGGCAGACGGTTGTCGGCAGTCACCGCTCGAGTTGGGTCAAGCCCGCGGAGATGAGCCGCCTCTTACTGTGAGTGGATGCCCCCAGCGTCTTGCTTATTCACGCTGACGCTTGCGAAACACAGGATTTGGGGAATGAACATCGTCGCCGCCGACGGCCAAGTCTGGCGCAAACATCGACGTATCATGGGACCAGCGTTTGGAACCGAACTGTGCGTTGGCGTGTCCCTCAAGTGCCACCGCGTGTGAATGCGAAGCTCAGGTACCAACTCGTCTGGAAGGAGAGCATTCGGCTGTACCGGGAGATGATTTCCGTTGAGGAGTGGGAGAGCGAGAGTGCGGCCAAAGTACCGGTTGTGCAGGAATTGACGCTCAAAGTAGGTGGCCCGCTTTCTCTGAAACCCGATGTCTCCCGTCCTCAAACTCGCGTAGTTCGCCTTCCTGGTCATATGCCGTTGTGGATTTGGTTTCCCAAGCTCTTGGTGCGTCGTCGTTCGGGTGTACCCTGCCACCTGATGTAATGTATACCATGCAATGCAGGGCCGATCCTCCCAAATCTTCAGACACGGAGATGTCTGCACAAGAGGCATTGCGCATCGTTTCAAACTCACACATGATTAAGAATATCATGCCTCTCTGGATGCTGCGACTACTGCCCTTTCCAAAGTGCGTCTCAAACTGCGCTCTTTGACCTTGCCACAATTCTATCACAAGGATTCAGGCCGTTCGCACTGCACACGATATCTTCCTCCAGTTCATGCGATTCCAAATCGATGCCCGGAAAGAAATGGTCCGCGAGTCTGAAGTGAATGAAAAAGATGCGTTCACTATGCTGATCCAAGCAAACGAAGATGAGGCAGGAAAGAACCAGCTGGATGAATCCGAGCTGGTCAGTCGACATACTCTTATGTGACATCGCGCCAACTGCCAGTTATAGATCGGAAACATCTACATATTGATGTTTGCAGGACATGGTTGGTACCTCTCCCGCTGTGATCGTCCATTAATCTCAAGGTTCATGATGATCAGAAACCACCGCACAAAGCTTGGCTTCAACTCTGGCGTATTTGGCTCTCGACGAAAGTCTACAGGATGAACTGTTGAACCATATTCTTGATGTTGTTGGCCCTAGTGGGGACCCTGTTCGTGCTCAAAAATCTTCTAAGCTATCTCTAATGCCGTTCTTGACAACAGGTTTACGAGGATCATCACAAGCTCAACAAAATCGCTGCCGCGTTTTTCGAGGGTACTCGCCTGTTTCGTGCGTCACGGGACTTGTATGATCCCATCTTATCTGATGGCATCATAGCTTCGGCCCAAGTGCTGATCCGACAAGCGACTGAAGATACCTTGCTGACAGTGCAGAATGCTCTCGGCGAGGAGGGGACTCGCAAGATTCCCGTCACCCAGGGAACCCTAGCGATCGTGGATATGGTCGGTGTCCGTGAGTAACCCGTCCATCACAATTACACGTCAATGGCTACTGACTGCTCTCGAGAATACAATCCCCGTTACTTTGAGGATCCGACTGCGTTCAAGCCGTCACGCTGGTATGATTTACCCGTCGAATCCGATATTTTTTCCGGGTTCAGCGTTGGTACGCTTCTGCTTCTCGTCTGACAGTGAAACAGGGCCCCAAATCATTTCTTGCAGGACCTCGAGCGTGTTTAGGACGTAAATTCGCCACCGTCGAAGCCATTTGCTTTCTGTCTCTTCTGATACGGGATTGGAAGGTTTCTCCACTGCTTAACTCCGACGAGAGTATCAGCCAGTGGAAGGCGCGGGTGCTGGATGCGAGATTCGGAATGACCTTGCGCATTGCGGATGTCCCTGTCAGGTTTGAGCGCCGCAAGCATGGATTGTAAATGACTTTTATAGTGTTTGTGGCTAGCATATACCTTTTGACGGGTTTGTTGACCTTGAGTTCTTGATCCGTCCGAAAATGAACTCGGATTATGGATTCATGCGAGACTGAGTGTTGGACAATCCTGTCTGATTATCTTGGATTCGAACTCAGGCTGCATCTGCAGGGTGGATTACTACTAGCAGCTGACAGTTGTGGCAGCAGGAAGGGATACTGATTGACGCTAGATTAATTGTCTCTGAGGAACGACAATCTACCGGCATTCTGTCAATTTAGCTGCAATTGGTCGGGGGACGTGCAGGCTGTCCTCTGAGCGGTATAAATATGTTGCGAGGGATAGCTTGGCGTGGTCTCGACACTACTCAGCCTGGATTCCAATGATCGGGGTCTCCGCCCATACAAAACTTGACACTGCCGGTGCGAGAATAACCAACTAGTGCATCTCATGCTTGCCACCTATATCTAATTCCACCCACAGATGTCAGCCTCGACAAGGACGAGGACATTCTGGGGCTTTCTCTCCGACCAGATTTTCTCACCCATGAATTGCACGTCTTCTGGTGGTTTACGTGGCGCGATTGGTCTGCGAGTATGATTCCCGGATCAATCTACACGGTCGCTGCCCTCCGTTCTCTGGACGAATCGTTGTCCCTCAGTTCCCTTTCGCGAGGTCTCGCGAGATCTATCATCTACTTCCTGTTCTTCGTCTATACCTTTTGCCTCGCCAACCAAATCACCGGCGTCGCTGAGGACCGAATCAACAAACCCGATCGGCCACTTTCATCCGGCCTGTCCTCGATCAAGGGTGCTTATGTGCGACTATGTGTTTCGATCACAGTACTCCTCGCCCTCGGTGCGGCGTGGGGTGTGCTCCCGTGGGCTGCGCTGTGGATTGCCAATACGCTGCACGCGAGTTTCTTCGACGGGGACAAGCACTGGGCGACGAAGAACCTGGTCTTCATGAGCGTCGCCTCGTTCTGCATAGTGCAGGCCGCATGGGGCATGGCCGCGCCGATCACCCCGGGTGTGCTCCGATGGAATCTCATCTTCAGTGGCGCTTTCGGCGCGGTGGCGAGCGTGCAGGACTTACGCGATGCCGAGGGTGACAAAGTCACCGGGCGGAGAACTCTGCCCATCATTCTGGGCGACGCCTTCCGTTATGGTATGGCCGGCGTGATCTGTGTCATTCCCGGAGTCTGTTGGCGACTCGGCTGGCTAAATCACTCGCACTGGATGGTCGCATACTGCGGGATCGGGCTGTGCATGGCCATGTTCTACATGGCGTATCGTGTCTTCGTTGGCTCCTCCGCGCAATATCACCACAAGACATATATGGTGCGTGATGGTTTATACAGAATTCTTGCCGTCAAGTTGGCTAAATTTACCCATAGATTTTGACCTATATTTATTGCGGCTGTGTTGCGGTGCCGATGTTGTTTCCATGATTTGGACATGTAGATTATGTTTTCGGCCCGTATCCGTAGTCCATCGCATTAATATTATTATACCAACGGACGCTACCCAGCGACATGACTTGACAAACTGGTGGCATGAACTTCTTTGGCCAGGCCAGGAATTTCGACGAGTTTGGCAAGTCAAATCATTCCCTCAGCTGCAAGCACTGATTAAAATAGCACCAGTCAAAAACATATCACGTGTCGGAGTTAAACATTCGGTCACGTGAAGCTATACGTGAGGAACTTGCCCTTCTCTCTTCTTTCCCGTGTGGTGTCTCAAGCTTCTAAGCTCTACATGATTATTTTCGCGATGCGGACCCGTTTTAGATGCTAAACTTCGTGCTCCTCTTCCAAAGCTTGAACCGTTGTTAAATTTGTTGACATCTCTAGACCATATGCAAAGTAAACATGCCCGTTCTTGCTCAACTTGCTCTTCAAGTTCGTCTCTTTATCTGTGACTGGATTATAGGTAAAGCCGGCCAGGGGTCTCGAACATGACAGCCTTCATCGTGCTGCTTATTCATGACGTTTACAGTAAGTTTCTGTCTGGAACACCAGATGTGAGTCGCTCAGCGCTTGACTTATGCTTGGCGAGGGTCTTTTCGAAACTCCTGCGGTCAACGGTAACCGCTCACGGCGCTGCTGCCGAGCCCCTTTTGATATTGATAGTCACCATGAGGTGGCAGCGAAGGCATCAAGAGACCGAAGAGCTGACAAGCCCAGAGCTCATCAATCATCTATCGTTCGCTGGCGTATGTTCTGCTTCCTATCGCCCACCCATGCTGTCGGCTCATGCTCCCTGTCAACCAGGTTTTTATAGCGACTTTCCCACCCGCAACCATTTAAGAAGCCCGCACCCAACCATGTTCTCGTCTGCAACCACCCCCTCGAATGCTGAAAGAGGCTAAAGGTGCCAGTTAGACCGCTCTCCCTCCGTCTCGCATGCTGGCCCATCTGACCATTGAGCAGACTCGCAGGCTTTGGGGCACGCCGCTCTGGCCGAGAGAAATCTCGAAGGCACCCTTGGGCTCGGGGTAATCGCAGAAGTGATCCAGCACGAGCTAAAAGTCTTCTGGGGCTTCACGTGGCGGGACTGGTCCGCAAG